TTAAATATAAATATTTTTCCTTTAAAAAAACTCCCTCTATCTCAAATATAAGCATTTCTAGCTATAAATCTAGATAAACAATTGTTTAACTTTATAGCTAGAAATGTTTATATTTTAGGACGAATATAGTAACATTTTAAATATGAATATATTTAGCTATGCATTAGTACATTCAGATGAATAGCTAGAATTGATTTTATTTTGGATTAGGAAGGAGTATGAAGTTGAGCGGTTGGCTTGACCGATGAGTCGGCGTGTGCACCGACTGGCCGGGCCATCTTATTCGTGGCTGCATTTTTGCCGTGTTGCTGCACAAGAAAGATCGAAAGAAAGAGGGCTAGCTAGCTGGCTGGGTGGCTGGATGGCTGTCTGTCCGTTCGGCCGGTTGGATCGGACAGGTCGAGTGAGTGACAGACGTACTTAAAAAAAAAAAAGACAAACCTTTATTTCCGTGTCCAATGTTTGACTCTCCGTCTTATTTAAAAAAATTATAAAAAAAATTAAAAAGATAAGTCACGTATAAAGTATTCATCATGTTTTATCATCTAACAACAATAAAAATACTAATTATAAAAAAAAATTATATAAGACGGACAATCAAACATTGGTACGTAAACCTGCGGTTTATCTTTTTTTGAACGGAGGGAGTAACTAGCTACCGGTGGTTGTTGAGGTGCGCTAATCAGTCACTTGATCAACAGCTTAGCTAGAGAAATGAATCGTCTAGCGGATAAAGGATGTGAGAATGCGGCAGTATTGTTTAAGATAATGGATGAAAGTTCGGTCATTATTTATAACCACAAATGAATACACACAATCAAAAGTTACATTAATAATTATATTCTAGTTTTAAGAGAAAACGGAAATACTAGGCTTCAATCTTATGCTGCATGATGAGACCTACTACATCAAAAATCGCAAGGAATCGATCATTACAGTCTCATTCATTTCTCCAACGAGAGTTAGATAAAGATAAAAATTTCCGTGACATGTTTTTTAAACTACTAAACGATGTGTGTTTTGTGCGAAAACTTTTAATATGAAATTTACTCTAAAATATCAGATTAATCTATTTTTCAAGTTTGTAATAACTAAAACTTAACCAACCATATGTTAATACCACCTTGTTTTACGTAAAACACTTAATCTCCATCTTCATTTTTATTTACAGGAGAAAAGAACACCACATATATGTCTAAGCTCCTGCACCTCTCCACATTTCATCCACCTTTGGCTGGCTCCTTTTCCTTTGCCATCATGTCTCTACCTTCTAGTGCCTTTGCTTGGCGATGCTATCCAATGAATGCAGAGAAGAAGAAGCCACTCCAATGCAGCTTGCCGAGGCACGATAGATTCGGACACCAATGGCCGCCTTCCATCTACCCCGAATGCCATTGGAATCATTGTACCACCTACAATATCATTGCTGTTGACGTTAGTCGATCGGCCACCGCCACCATTGTTGAATACTGACACATCCATCACGGCCTCGCCCTATCACCATAGCCAAGACACTCCTGGGTCGCTCTGTGGGAGCTACACAAGAGCCCATGCGTCGATTTGAGTCCTTATAAAAATGCAGGAGTTGAATCCTTTAGCTTATGATCGTCAAAACATCTTGCAGCTTTGTCAATCCTATTATGAATGTCAAAACATCTCGCATCTTGTCAATCCTAGCAACCCTTTTTATGCTACTAGCAACCTCATCGTTTCCCCTATATAAAATCAACAGCTAGCAAAATTTAAAATTTAAAACGTAACTTTGGAGTTTATTTTAGTTTTCAACATAGTTTTCGTTCTCAATATTGGATTTTAAGTCTCAAAGGAAACGTATAAAAAATTTTAGTCATAAATTACTTTTTTTATCGTTGATAAGCTATTTTGGCTGAAAATTAACTCATGGCCAACTAATTAGAGCTAGATCTTTGAGAAGTCATTTCAGTGCAATGAATTGCATTTCAAATCATGTACTACTATATTTCTAAAATGGAAATAAAATTGATGAGTTAAAAAAACTAGCATGCATATTACATACTGTACTATACTCCTACTAGTATCATCCTAGCACATTAGGGATCGATCCGTGGCAGGGTTCACCAAATCGTAAAAAAAGGGGGTCAACGGTTTTCACCAAAAAGGGGTTCATGAAAACCGTTTGAAAAGCATTGAAAAAAATCAGGTCGGATTTTGTCAAAAAATATTAAAATTAAGTTTGAAATTTTTTACTTGATAAACAAACTGAGCGGTTGTAATCTCCAACTAGTCCGGGAAATAGAGGAGGAGCTACATTAGGTTAGGACAGTGCCCAATATATAACCTGACTTAATTTCTTTTCTATAGTTTGTCTATTTTTACCATATATGCATCCTTTCAGTTCAAATTCAGACACTCGCATCAGTGTGAACTCGATATAAATAGAGTAGAGTAAAGCAAGCGAGTTGTACCTCCCGCCATTCCGTTCTAGCACCCCAATCCCCGCGGCGGGAAATCTGGTTTTGTGAAATCTAACTGGTTTTCATCGGTCTGGTAAACCCTAATAAGTGGATCAATGGAAGGAGAAGGAACGGATCCAGCCAAGTCCAGTCCAGGGGTTCTGGAACGGATCAATCATGCATCAACGGAGGCATTCAAGAAGCTGCAGGATAGCCATGGCCATGTCCCCTCCTGCTTCACGTACGCTCGCATTCACTACTGCCCGGCCCTAATTCTTCTTCGATCTCGATCGCTGGCGAGGAACAGCAAGCAATGCAGCCGACGACGACATTGGATTCTATGCATCTGCACGCGTGCGCCCATCCCCAGTTTATAGTATCAATCATCCATCGATCGCCATGGCTAGCTAGCTTAGCTAGCTATATGTGTCAAATCGCTGCCTGCTTGCCTTTGTCGGAGCCTAATCTGATTTCCGTGTATTATTGCTGCCTGCAGGCTTTTTTTTTTTTTTAAGGAAGGGCGAAAGCTTTACCACTTTTATATTGATAGAGAAGGAAAAAAACACTAACAAAGTATTTACATGGTCCGTAAAATAAAAACCGAAAGGCGCTACTCTCCTAAAGGGATTAATTCTGTGATTTTTGCCTGTGATCCAGGTCCGTGCCTTCGATGATGGATGGATCTATCGATTCAAGCAGCATTTGTAATTAGTTCGTGGAGTACAGTATCAGCAGGTGTAGTATGGTACTGAAATTTATCTCGATGATATGATATGATCATACATTATGATGATATAGGGTCCGTTTAGTTTCTCAAAATTTTTTCCCAAAAACATCACATCGAATTTTTGGAGACATGCATGAAGCATTAAATATAGATAAAAAGAAAAACTAATTGCACAGTTATGGAGGAAATCGCGAGACGAATCTTTTAAGCCTAATTAGTCCGTGATTAGCCATAAGTGCTACAGTAACCCACATGTGCTAATGACGACTTAATTAGTCTCAAAAGATTCGTCTCGCGGCTTCCAGACGAGTTCTGAAATTAGTTTTTTCATTCGTGTCCGAAAACTCCTTCCGACATCCGGTCAAACGTTCGATGTGACACCCAAAAATTTCCTGTTCCCCAACTAAACACACCCATAGTATTCAAGTCGAGAAGATCGGATGGGTTGTGCAGGCTGCAGACAGATCAAGGGCTTTTAACAAGTCACAGTACTATACACTGCTGGTGCTTGCAGTACTGCTCCATGCCTCCATGGACCATAGATCCAAGAACAGAACCTCCCAAATTAATACTCCCTCCGTTTTAAAATAAACCATTTCTAGATTATTTAGCAATGATTAAGATTGATGGGAAATTTCTCTTTCAATCGTATTATTGGTTGAATTTTGAATTGCTTAGATTTCCTTTTTAAGCTTCTGACGAGTTGAAAATGTTTGGATTTTTATACATAGGAATCAGTGTCCTGGAATCGCTTATATCGTTACATAAATTTTAAATCCTAAAAATGCTTATATTTTAAAACTGGTAGGTGATAGCAGGCTGGTACAGTGATTTTGCCACGGTTCTCAGACATGTAATAGGGCTCCTTGATGACTTGAAGATTGATGATTGATCTGCCCATGTGTACGTACGTTCCATTCATCAGCATGCCTGCCTGCCTACCTGCAATGTTTTTTGTACTCTTGCCTGCAAAGTTTTTTGGATTCTTGCCACACTACTTCCAAGTTCCAACCCTGAACATTCCTAGCTAACCTTGCTCAAAGACAAAAAACTTGCACAACCCAACTCACATGTATACACTTCTCATTTCAAGATCCTACTAATGGCCAGATGATTAGAACCAACTCATCATTATCAGTATCAGCAGCAGCAGAAGCAGCTTGTCAACAAGACAAGAAGCAATCTCCCAATTCTCTTCAGACTTCAGAGTAAGCTGGTCCCCTGCCTCCACACTATCCTTCTCTTCACTCTTCTCTTCCAGGAGACTAGTAGAGAGGAGGGACCAGCAAGGAAGGAAGTGAGATGAGATGACGGCTCCTCTCACATCTCAATTCTCATCTGCCAGAATTGAAGCCCACCAAGTACAGTAGAGACAGTACAGTTGAGCCAAGCATGTCATGTGCCGGCAAGCAGCAATGCAGCTGACCTAGCACACCTCTCCCTTTCTTTCTTTCATCTTTCATTCCTATCTCCCTTGAGGACAGATGCCAATTAATGTTTCTCTCCACAAGCAACAGTGACATACTCCCTCAGTTGCAAAAAAAAATAAATGTTCGATTTTTAGAGTTCAAAATTTATCCTTAAAATGAGTTGTTTCTATTCTTTTATCTACCACCTGTCCACAAATCGAGAAATTTTATCCATTCGATACCATTTATCTACCACTGACAATACTAGTTTTCTATTAACAATGGGTATTTGATCTTTTTCCCTCTCTATTGATTTCTTTGAGATGGCTATAAATTTTGAGACAAAGCTACCTGTCCATTTATATGGATGGATGGCCCTGATCTGCTTGTCATTCAGTCAGTAACGAGAGAAACCAATGCAACTTACTGTAGTTACCATAACAGCATTGCAGGTGATGTATATATTTTTCATTTTTTATTCCTCCTGGATGAACATACACATGACACATCGTATGCGTTACAACTTGAGAAGCACCAGTGTTTTTTACCCAGGTGTTAGATCTGTCGTTAGTTCCAAATTAACCGAGAGATATCGTACACGAATGTTGGCGACAGGAAACAGATTCTAGCAGCTGTGATGGACCCATTGTAGTGGCGGCCATTCACTGATCACTAGTAGGAGGATTGTACGATGTAGAGAAGCAGCAGCACCAGCTGCCTCCTCATGATGAAGTAGCCGAAAGGATCTTCCATTCACTTGGAGAGTAGGCCAAAGTAGGGGTTTTCCATTGCAGATGCTACCTCAACTCCAGCAGCATTGAGAAGTGCCAAGTTGATATTATCCCTCGGCATTACCAGGTAGCCGCTGATCGCGAGCTTCATGAATCCGCACAGCTCCAGGAATTCTACGCCTCCTTGCAAATTGCCCACTCTTTCCTGTTTAAGAGGAGAATGGTGGATTCAGGATAAGAGAAATGAATGAAAAAGTTTTTATGAAATAATTAAGGAATTCTATGCCTCCTTGCACATCGCTTTTCATAGTTACCTTGAAAACAGGATTGTTTAGTCGAATCCTCCTGAACTTCTCCTCTTCTGGGTTCTTCACTATGTTGGCAATTATCTTCAGCAGTATTTGGAATGCTCTTGTGACTTTAGTAGTGTCATCCTACAAATAAAGTTGATATGTATGTAACTCATGAAACGGTATCTGAAACATGACACAAGAGTTTTGCTGCCTAACGCAATGCTATTTTGCATTTATGAGGCACAAATTGTTGGATTCTACGAGGGTGAGCTTTTGAGAACATATCAACATTTTCTCTGAACGATGATGTGGAAGAACATATATACGATAAACTACAATTGTGTTTACGAAGCATCATATCAACAGTGTCCAGTAACAGTCAATAGCTCAATGCTTCGGTGTCAAAATGATCGCAGGCATAATTCGTATCTGCAATCAGAATACTGTTTTACCTTGTAATTCTTTTTCAGATTTCGTAGGCAGTCTCTCAGTTGTTCTGGTGACACAGCAGGTTCAACAGGTTTTATCTGAGGAGCTAAAAAGGTGAGAAATGTTGTTTCAAGGTCGCATGAAAAATAGAGGTGCTCTGGAAATTTTAGACCTTCGTTGGAGTTAAGGTTGGGACTGAAGCTACTGGGTTTTCCATTGGCAAACCAAGCCTTCGCCTTCTTTCTGCCTGCATAGGAGATAAGGATTTAAGGCTCTTTGGTACTTCAACAAGTAACATAGCATGTCACTGATTGAAGCGTACTAAAATCATGTCACTCTGGTCATGGAGTAATAGTGTAATCACACTATGGCAATAAGCAATGTCATCATTGAACTAGCTGGTTGTTTGGAGGTCATGCAATGAACTGCAATTGTAAAATGTAGGCTGTACTAATGCATATGACTGTGGTCTGAGGTGATATACATGGCAATAACATAGTCAATGTGGAAATCCAATAACAATAAAAAGACAATTACAATGATCAATGAATTTACGGTTTCAGATAGCCATACTTTAAATGAACAATTGTGAGGGCACCAGGAGATTGAACTATCCTAGAAAACAATTGGATTGAACTGAAAAAAAAACTGATGAAGGGAAATTTTGAAGTTAAAAAAAAAAGTTAAAACCATTGGATCAGGGGGACCTTATCATCTTCAATACGCTTCCGGATTCTCTCTCTTGTTCTTTTCTCCTCCTCTTGATCTGCTTTTCGACTCTCCATCACACTGCACTAAAAAAACCGTGTCTTAAGTAAGCACCCTTAAGTTGGAATATCACATACAAGTTGCATATGAAACAAACCGTTTTCTTTGATTTTCCTCAAGAGTCCTCTTTGCTTCCATAAGATCTTTAGCAGCTCGAATCCTCTCCCTCTTCACAATGTATGACAAAAGTAAGTTTTGCATGACAAGAAATGCTGAAGGATGTGATGCAGTCCAACAATCTCTCTCAGAAAAAAAATGATGTCAGCACAGGGGCACTACACATTGTAGACCACAGTATATGTTATTATCGGTTGTATCATGTAGACTATATGGTTCACTTGTTAGTTAGCATACTATATGATTCAGTTGTTAGTTAGCATAATATATACGTTTATCACAATAGATTTCCATTCTTGCAATCAAATAAAAAATTTCAAAGAGACAATGTCTTGTTGTTTCTTAACAAATAGTATTCCAGTCATGTCGTACTATAGCCTTCAATTATGGTGCTTCAACAACCATCCAGTAACAAATAGGGATGAGGAATATGCTGTAAAAAAACATCTTGTTGTTTCTTAACAAATAGTATTCCAGTCATGTCGTACTATAGCCTTCAATTATGATGCTTCAACAACCATCCAGTAACAATTAGGGATGAGGAATATGCTGTAAAAAAACATGATAGGGAACATATGAATAGTTCCCATTTAATTTGCCTAACACTTTTTGGTAGCTTTCTGCTTCAAGGGCTTAAGGCAGCATATCACATGCATATGGCATCCCAAAGGGGGACAGTGCAGGCCAGCATGGATTTATTGCGTGGTTACCAAAATGAAGTGAGATGAAAAATAAGACCCAAAAAAGTGTATTTTGTTTTATCAGACCTTATCCTCTTGTAATTGATTCCGGATTCTACCTCTTTCTCTTTCTTGACCATCCTGTTTTGACTTGAACAATTCTATGATCCTGAAACGGCACGCACGCTAGACTTACCAGAACGATAAACAATATCATCAAAGACATGATATCTGTCCAAAGCAAATTACATACCTCCTTCTGACTTCGTCCTCGTTTTGATCTGCATTAAGTTCTCTTTCTACCTGTGATGTTTCCTGATACAGGAAGTTCAGGTGTGAGGTGTGACAACAGTTTATGAAAGTATAAAGCACTGGCTGCAGAATCCAGATCAATTAATCAGGTAGAAAAACAAACTGCTAGAAAGTGAAATGGGTTCCATATTGGCATCCTTCACATTAGGCAGTAACAACGAAAGTAAAGTAGCCCACTAATTGACCAATATCTTTGGTCAATCATATAAATTTGCAAATTATACTGAAATATTCCTTAATTTTCTGTCTAACTATGCTGTAAGCAGATCTAACAATGACCCAAATTGTCTAATGTAATAACACTAGACTACTAAACAGGATATGCAAATCAAGTACAATTTTGAGACAAGGATAAGGGAATATATTTGCTATTGCCCCTTGTATGTTCTTATGCACAACTTCTAGTCCAGTGTACTATTAGAATCTGAGGATGTGTTCTGACAAAATTGGAAAAGAAACTGATGCAAATTGCCACCTTGTTTAACCTTTCCTATAAGAGTTGCCTCAACATGATGCACTTTGCAGGTTTTACTCCTTCAAGTATAACAATAAAGGGTTTGTCCATAACACACTGATGTAATGGAAAATGGTTAAGGTGTCAAAATTAGGAAGTTCTCTGAGTAAACCTTCTGTCTTCCAGCTGCTGTTGACTCTTCTGGTTTACTCTCCTGGGCATCAGCCCTACAAAACAACCATGCCTATTACACATTTTACAGTGCAGCACATATCGAAGAAAAGAATGCGATCATACATTCTTTGAGTTACTTGAGTATACAAGTTTCACAAATCTATATGGATTAACAGATGGTGCCTTTTGTCTCCACTTGTTTGTATTTTGTAACATAAAGTATTTGACAATGGCATATGGCATGATAAAAATGCATGGTGAAATCAACACATACAGTGTACTTGTACCAGTTAGGAGAACTAATGGATAACATCAGAACTGTTCGGATTTATCAAATGCACAGGCTAAAGGACAGGTCCATATAGCAATCATTTTACAATTATAATAGCAGTACCAAAGGTCAAATGTGCAATTGCTCTTGTAAGGCATCCCCAATAAGACACTTGTTTCTTGAGGTATATCAGATTCTGAACCTACAGCATTACTAGGACATATCTGGCTGTTGCCATATGAAAAATACAGTGGATATGTAGAGTGCAGATTTCTTGATTGATTACGTAGCTATGTAACAGGGAAGGAAAAAAATGCCTTTTCCCTGAAATAATACTCTGATATTTTATCAGCTCTCATCTGAAACCATTTAAGAAATAAGAGCTGACCTCATTCCTTGAATGTCATTTCTCGCTTCATTTGGTGTATCACCACATTCAATGTTGATTTCTCTTGGAATCTAGAAAATGAAAGCAAGTACTCAGAACAAAAGGTGAAAATTAACAAAAGCACTATTTTACATGACAATGTGCAATACTATGTAAGTATGTAACTGATATAGAGGGAAGCTCTCTTTTAAAATGCTTGAAGTGAAAAACTTCTGATAGGTTTCCCGATTGATAATTATTCCACCAATTACAGAACAATGCATATTTCAATGAACTCATGTTGAACAGTTATTTTTTTATAAATAACATACCAGTGGTAGCTGATCAATGTCTGGATCATTTTCATGTTCCAGAAGCCAGTTTATTGCAGATTCAAGACTGGAATTACCTGATAAAGACCGATTGTTTTAACCAAACCGATTCGGATATGTGTTGAAGAAATTCACAAACAGGATTACAGCCATGCAACCATAGACGAAATTAAATATCCTTTACTGTTCTAATTGAATACTATGCCATTCAGCCTACCATAAAATAGTTTATTACAATATGTCTACCTTGTATTCCTTTTGAAATAGACATACCAGAAAAATGGAGTGCCCTAATTGAACGAGCAGTAGGGAATCCCATAAGTTCAAGTTCGCTAAGAATTCTCTTGTCCAATTGTGGGGTAGCCATCCTAGAAGATACATATATGAATAAGAATAAGAGCATTCTACTGACCATAAATGCAAAATTAGAACAAAATAGGAATGAAATGTTATCCTCATGAGAAAAGTTGGTACACTTGAAGCTAGATCTCCCATAAAAATTAAAGATCTAAATTGCGAACTAGCCTTTTTAAGGACAAAGAATTAGCAAATGTTACCAGTAAAGTGAAGTTGAGATATCTTTGGAGTGATCTATATGCAAATACTTCTAACTCATGTTTAGTAAAGTTACAACATTCTGAAGTTTAATGTCTACAATCTGTCCACGCACTGATCTCATTCCATAGCCTATTTGTGTAATTATCATTCTTGGTTGAATAGGAGAACGGAAAACTGCCTGGTAAGCATAGTCTAGAATTACAGGCTATTATGGCACAGTTAGGGAACTGAAGAAGGCTGAGACATTTGCATAATTTGGCATCACACCTGTGCATACTTACAGGATGGTAATATGGTAGAAACAGCAAAACATAGGATTCAAGTAGTTGGGCGAAATAATCAAAGCATTTTCCAGGTTATCTTGACAGAACATCAAAGGAAAATGTTGAAAGTTTTCGACTGCATGAACAAGATGAATGGTGAACAGAATTTCTTACCTTTTCAAAATTTCTTTTCACTTTCAAACTTTGGACCCAGGTGGCTGTACGAATCCTCTATAAGTAGTGCAGAAAGCAATGCATTACTCCAAATGCAGAAGGAAGTAAGAAAATTATTTGAGGAGGATCAGAGCTTTTGCTTCTTCTGCACTTCATTCTTATCTTTTCTTCCCAGATGGTTCTTTGGACCTCAGGAGACTCTAGTGACATCTTCCTTCCTGCGGTTACTTATACCTTTCTTCCTACTTAAGTTTCCTCTTGAATCAACACCATGCTTACAGCTGGATCAGTAACCTCTTCTGGGGTGAAAAGCTCATAATAAATCACTAGGAAGACCAATAAGGCAACAACTCAGCAGGAAATGGGACTAATGAGGAGTAAATTTCAATTTGCAATTTTGTAGCAGTGCTTCAAAAGATGGGACATAGGTTAGCTTTGTTTCCTTGAGCACGGCCATGCCATTGCAGCTGCTGCCCCATGCTTGATGAATCACCGACTGTTGTCCATACTAACTGTTGCACCAGTGCAGCCACATTATGCTGTTCATGGATCCCAAAACTGTCCAAAAACACATAAGAAAGCAATTTAAAGTGTATGTAAGACTTCCAAGAGCAAAACCATAATTCCCTTTAGAATGACCAATCTTATATTGCACATATCGCCAAAGCCTATCGTGCCATCACCAATTCACCATCTCAAGAACTAGTGCTTTCGTCAAGGAAGCTGCATTGCATTGTCTTATAGGAGTATATTATAATTAGCAGCGAAAACCCTTTAACTTGCAGGCACAAACATTTGGAATTAAAATCCCCATTCCTATGTGACCACTACTTCGACCCATAAACAAAGGCAACAAGAACTATACGGCGAGCATGAGCGGCGGACAACCTCGTCGCCGGCTGAACGCTTGCAATCTCCGCCGCCAAGCAGAGATGCCGATCGTTGCCCCACCCCCGACTCTGCTAGCATGGCGGCGAGGAAGAGGGGGCATGGATGGCGAGCAGAGAGGCGGAAGGGGGGGGGGGGCTTCACTAGTTGGGGGAAGGCGGCAGCGGCGCCGAGCCGTAGACCTTGAGGAGGACGTGGTGGTGGTGGCGGTGACGATGGGGAGGCGGCGGCTCGCCGGCTCCGGTGGGGGAGGCGGCGGCGGCGGGGGAATGGCTTGTACTGGAGATCTAACCGTTGGTGATAGATCCAATGGCCAGGATTCCTTCCCTCCTGCATTTTTCAAAAAGGAACCCTTATTACCGCTACCATTGCTAACGGTCCATATTTTTTTTACAAATACCCCTGCATTTTGTTTTCAAAAAGGCCCTCTTTCGCACCTTATAGAAGGCAGATATTTCTCATATTTCTGTTGTTTTTCGCTGAAGCTTATTCATTTCTACTTATGTTGTGCCTGGACGAAACTGATAGACAGATGAGAGATGTTTGTCTGATTAGTTTGAATGCAATTTAACAAATAGATGCCTGCGTCAGTAGTTAGTGTTACTGTTACTCTCTCTGTTTCATATTATAAGTATTTTGACTTTTTTAATTAAAATTCTTTACGTTTGATAACATCTGCAATACTATATTAGTTTAATTAAATTTAACATTGAATATATTTTAATAATATGTTTGTTTTGTATTGAAAATGTTTCTACATTTTCCTACAAGCTTAAATAATTTTGACTAAGAAAAAAATCAAACAACTTATAATATGAAATGAAGGGAGTATTTGTTATTGACTGTTCCATTTGTTTCATTTTTATTTGCTTTTTCCTAATCCCTATCCTCCTTCCAGTATTTTCACTGTTTGGGCTCGGGGAGGAGCAGCCTATTGGCAGAGATCCATTCACTCCGTTGCTGACGGAAGACAAATCGACAAGACGTGGCAGAGGACGAAGTGAAGAGGCGCGTTGGACGACAGATGGACGAGGCAGCCGATGGTTGCAACTAGAGGAGGTGATTGATGCTGCTGCTGCTGCTGCTTTGACACAAGAGAATGAATACAAATAATGGCAAAAACTGCTACAACTGACGACGACTGATGACTGGATGACGAGAAAATGGCTCGCGGCTCGGCGGCGGATCTTTTGTTACGATACCATGTCACAATTTGGGGAATGAATGAACAGTTTTAATTGGAGTTAGCCTAATAGGCACATATATAGTAGATTACAAGACTAGAGGAAAAGACCAAAATGCCCTTCACATCTATACCCTTAATGAATTTAAGGCTCTATTTGGGGGAGCTTTTAGCTGTTGCAACTTCTCCCATAATCAGAAGCTCCCCCAAACAGTCCATCTTTTGGTCCAGATTTTGAGAAGCTGTAGTTATAAAATCCAGAAAATGAACTAAAAGCTAGAAGTTAGGAAACCCAGCTTTTCCAGATTCTTAGAAGCTAGCTAACAACCAGCCGCTTCTCATATCTCAGAATCTTAAGCTCCCCCTAAAGCCCTAAGCCTTTAGTGTCCTAGCTTTTGTAACCACATTTTGGGTAGAGGCATAGGTTGAAATATCAAATATGCATGATAGAAATAGCTCCACTCTTTTTTTGAATGTTTGTTTTTGTGAAAAACGCTTTCTTGGCTATATCATAACATGTTTGCAGAGCCAAAGCTTCCTTTCGGAATTTCTTCATTTGTATTTTACCTGTGTTGAAGTTTTAGGTCATTTATGACAACAAATCGATAGAGCTAATTGTGAGAGACTCTTTTCTTGACACAATTGTTGTTTATGTAGGCGGTTTCTTACTATGATTTGGGCTCAGATGAAGAGTCCAATCAATAATCCATAGATATTGGCTCTTCTCAACAATAATGTGGTAAATGCGGTCAAGGTCTTGAGGTCGTTACTACTAAACATTGCTGGATAATTGAATGAGAGTTTCTGTATTTATGTATTATTTGCTAGTCTGTTGAATGTTCTAATTTCCTCGGTTACAAAGTTTTTCCATTCATAGGGTTCAACATGTCTTCGTTATTTGAAGCACCCACCTTTACATGTCTCACCTGTACTAGCCACGTAGTCGCACTTTGCACGACTTTCAATCCCGTTTAAAAACTTATGTATAAACTTATCTTTTAAGAAGGTGGTTTTAATAAGTTTTTTATTTATAAAATATTGATGGCCCAACCTACTACAGATTTAGCTAAGTTATACTACATATTTATAAAATGAATCATTGGAACCCTCTAGGTATTTTTCTTCCTTCATTGTCTTTGCGTTCTCTCTATTTGTATCATGTGTTTAATAGGAGCACTAGAGAACTCTAGAAATTCCCACATACATACATACATATATATATATATATATATATATATATATATATATATATATATATCAATTCATTTGTGTTTTTTTTATTATTGCATGTATCATTTTGATCCGATGGTCATTGTTTATCTAAACTCTTTATCCAATGGCCAATATATTTTTTATGATGTGGCACATCCTTATACAAGAAAGTTTGTTGCTTTCATTATATAAGATATACTATGGGCCTGGTGATAGTTCTTCTTTTTGGATGTTTTTAAAATTTTACTCACTGCTGAAGCAGAGTTGTAAGCTCAACTGCTGATAGTTGTTTTGAATCATTTTCTTTACAATATGCTTCACAGTTGGTTTTCATCTGTGTCTATGTTTATACCTCTGCTAAGGGTGTGTTCGGCATCCCTTTTCTCAACCCCTCTCTCTCGTTTTCTGCGCGCACATTTTTCAAACTGCTAAATGGTTCGTTTTCTGTAAAAAGTTTATATACGAAAGTTGCTTAAAAAATCAAATTAATCCATTCTTTGAAAAAAAAGCTAATAATTAATTAATTAATCACGCGCTAATCGATTGCTCCGTTTTCCGTGAGAGAGGGATTATTCTCATCCCCTGAAACCGAACACAGCCTAAGGAGTTTTACATTCCTTGCTCATCCAAGCGCTGACTTTTTGAGGAATTACGGGATGAATATGACAGTTCAAAATTAAATCCAATACTTGCAGCTAAGGTTCCACCAACTCAAGCCGTAAAAATGGAGTGAAGGCCTACTAACCATGCTTGGAATCTTTTGAGTGCTAACGGAGATGTAGAAAAACAATCAGAGTAGTGGCATAGCCTCTTTGCCTTTTAGCTTATGTTTTACTAATTTCTTCGGTAGCTAGATGATTTGTTGGAACAGCTAGTCAACTGTTCTCGTTCATTTACAGTACGTTGCATGTCAGTACTCTGTACATACTACCAGCGCAGAACGTTTGTACTGAACTCAGAGAAACGTCATGTACCTGGGGAAGCTGTGTTGTTCTACAGTTGTAATTCCTCCGTCCCATAATACTTGGCTCTTTGGCATTTAAAATTTGTCCTAAAATAGTTATCACTTGCAAGTAGTATTTGTCACATCAACTACTTCAAATTCAAATATCTCCCCATCATACCCCCAACCAACATTCCACATTTAACTATATAATATTTTATTAAGGGTATTATAGTCTTTTTCTTCTAATCTTAGCACATGCTAAACAATTTAGAATGACAAGTATTTTAGGACGGAGGTAGTAGTAATTTGTAATGTTGCTTTGAAAGTACTTGTCCTCATCAATGGAGATCATTCAAAGTCAGACCAAAAGTTGTAAGTTCTCTTTACACATTACATTAGAGAAAAATCGTTTCACAGTGTATCCATCCAGAAAACGAGAGGAATGAAAAAATGTGGTTCTTAATCATCTTGCATACATTGTACATTTGCCACCAGAAAGAAAAAAGAGGCAAAGCTCAATGTTTCAAACAATATGTTCCAGATATTTCCACAGTGCTGTAAAAAGCAATTGCAAAATAACAGTACCATCCGACCAAGCTGTACCAGCGGCTATACAATCATCTTTCTCAGTTTCTATACTTGCACATGTCCTACTATACTAATTGCATGTCTATCCAACAAACAGGGGAAGAAAGAAAATTAAACGCATTATCAAGAACAACATCGTTACTTCTCTCTAAAGGATATCTCCAGAAGTCAACTTCTATCAACACAGAACTACATTCCTCTGCTTCGGAGGATAATAATATCTCCTAATCTCTCTACCAACAGCCCATCCAACAATGTTTCTCTTCAATGTGGAGAAATAACTGGAAGCGTAAGCAAAGATACTATGCTCTTTCTTCTTCTTCTTTCTCCGTAGTTCATGAGGCTCTATAGGATTTTTTTATCAGTGGAACGTAGAAGCTATCGAACACATCAAATAATACCCATCTGATAGGTCCATCATCTGCACAATTGTCCATAATTCTAACGTAGAGCTCATTTGTCCTGCTGTCAACCCGGTATGCAAAACAGACAACGCAATGATGGTCCCCCGAATCTGGATCCTTTTGTAGCCCTCTGTAGACACGGTCTCCAAACGTTTGTGCATAACCATCATCTGTCCAAAGGGTGCTGAGAAGAGGACCATAGGCATACAGCAGGCGCATAAACTCAAGTTTTCCAAAAGCTACATTTCTCTCTAGCCAAAAAAATCCATCAATTGCAAGCTGGATGTTATTCGGTACTCGTTGCGTGAGGATACCGCCTTTCTCCATTATCATTAAAAGAACGTCGGGAGTCCAGGCCCCTTCCTCGCTGCTCCAAATCCCTTGACGGTAGCAGGCCTTCTTCAGTTCTTTAGGCACTTTAGCTTTGCATGGGAAAGAACCTTTTCCGTACAGCCGTTCAAAGGCCAACCTGTGTTGGGCCTCTATGCACACTGTGGCAGCTGCGATGGTGCAGCTTCCTAAAATAAAAACAATTCATTCAATTAATGATCCATATAAAGATAGGAATAACTGAAAATGAAAGCATTGATAGCAACACTTACCATCAGTGTTAATAACGGGATCACCCATAACAGAGATCCAGCTAAATTCAGGCTCAGGGGCTTGTGGCCCTCCTCTTCTCCAAAAGAAGCCGCACGGGAGCCAGCTGAGAACTGAATCATATAAGGATAGAAAAACCAGCTGCCCAATCCTTATTGTGGCAAGTAGTGCAGATAAGAAAGATTTGATTCGGACATCAGGTGGTTCAATAGAACTTGCTGCTTTTACTCGATGACCTCTCTGAAACTGAGTGTAATTAACAAACAAATCAGTTATTCAGTCTAATAAATAGAAACATCCATCATTGTAATATTCAGTTGAAAGGCATCAAAATTTGTTAAAGAGGAACATGGACAGAAAATAAAAGGTGAAGGTGTGAACTTACTTTGTAGCTCCTAGAAAATTCAGAGGTCCCCTTAGGCCCTGGTGCTCAACAACACCAACTGGACTATGCGAATTATCTTTGTCGCCAGAGCTGAAGATTAGAGAGAAAAATGATCAAAGCAGACATAAGACTTCAGCTCATATAGCTCGATGTAAACAATAGCACATCTTTCTTGGCTAAATATCAGAGTGAAGGTTTTTTTTAAGGAGATTGTGATTCTTCACCAAAAAGAGAGGTAGCCAAAGAATAGTGAATGATACTATGCTACAGTGAATTGACTTTGGCCAGAACGATGGATATTATCAACAAACCAATAATTGTTCTAAGGATGTATAATCTGACTCTAAAAGGTAGGAAAGAGCAAGAGTAGAGTAGAATCAAATCAGGTTCTTAACATCACACAAATTCAAATTATTCTAAAATCCAAATCACAACCAATTCCCCAAATACAGTTAAAACATTCAGATTGTCGCCTTGTTTAATTGTTTCCATTTCACAAAATAACAGAACCACCATTCAAAATTACTAGCATTAGATGAGGCATCTAGATGACACCTTCGCACATTTAGTGGTTAGCATTAGATGAGGCATCTAGATGACACCTTGACACACACAGTACAATAATTCATATACCCATAGCAAGAAGATGTGAAAAATGGACATACAAAGATTGACCATCAAGCATCAATGCTTGTGTCATCTGAAAGTAGCCTGTTGCAGAGAGATGTCTTCTAAAGCAAAAGGAACAAATTAGGAAAAATAATATTTATTAGCTTACTGCAAATAAGAAACTTGATTAATTTGCTGTATATAAATGCCAATTGTTATATGTTTTCGAAAAGAAAAAAAAAACAGATGCAGTTGTCATTACCTGGGGTCCATGAACAGTCCCATATCAAGGATTTTCTCAAAGCTCACATGTCCTATAACCTTACGAGACCCCAAAGATCTCTTCAGATCATCTGTTTCCTCTATGGCCACATGGGTCACATCTTCCAGTTCTAAACCAGTGATATGAGAATCACGGCCTTCAACTATTGCTTGAACAATATCTGTGTTACATGTGCCAACCTCTGGGAATAGTTTCTTCTCATAAGATTGCTCACTTTGGCATATTATCTTCTCTGAATGTTCACTCTGGTTTCCATCTGTAGTGTCCCCCTTGGTACTTGACATGATGGGCTCCCTGTATTCAACTAGAATGATGGAGCAGTTCTCATTGGCCCATTCTATCATCTTTGCTTCAAAATGCAGTTCCAAGCACTCAATCGATGCAAGAGATTCGATATCCTGTGCCTTGTCATAAACAACATCGCTAATCTGAGTTTTCCCCTTGTCTTCTGTAGTAACTTTTACTGAGGAAGTGGTTCTCTTAGCTTCTGTACTAACTTCTGGCTGAACAGCACTGTCATTTTTCTCATCATCACTGCCTGATGCTAGTGCATTCTCTTCCCTTAGTGGAGAAACAAATGATTGTGAAGCAGGATCTTCTGGAATGAGGGAATCTGCTGTTGCCACATTTATTCTGTCAACTTTGACATCATACAACACTTTTTGGGGAAGGACATCAACAGCCTTTCCTTGGACCTTATCCTTCTGAGTCTTCAAAGGACCATGAACAGCATCCTTGTTTTGTGTGATCTGTTCCATTTTAGTAGAATCTGCAGAATCAAGCATATACGTTTTTAGTTTTGCGCACATCAGCTATTTCATGCAACCAGTAACCTTCATTCTCTACATGGTCTGAACCTTTATCCACTACATTTGATTATTTGAAGCTTCTTTTCTTCAATAATCTCCACAATTTGTAGAAAAAGTATTATACGAAAACAAGGACGACTCAAAACCCTGAGTTATCTCCCCTGTGGCAATAATGACAGCTACACTTGTAACAAAAGGCTATACCATGTCAAAACTGCTGAAACGTCCTTCTAATGTAAACATGATGAACTGCAATCCAAGTAAGAATCAAGTCCTTAAACATTTTTCTTCATGTAGCTAGTAAAAGAGTGTCGTTCCGAAAAATGCCCTTGTTTCTTATCTTGAGCAAAAATTAACACAACAATAGTGGTACTATCACAATTCGCTGTGCTCATTCATGAAAAGTTCTATTTTCTGACTTCTGACACACGATGCACGTCTGTAGGCCTGTTAAGCATTGTTTTCTCTTCCTTTAGTTCAGCACATGAGTGCATAACTTACCAACTTTCAAAGGCTCTGATGTTTTCACCGTGACCACATCTTCCAATTCTGAAGCAAGACTATGAGAATCACCTCTTTCAGCAATTTGTTGGCTGTCTTGCATAGAATAGCCTTCAAACTCTGAGTCCTGTATGAACTGCCCCACATCAAGGATTTCCTTAAAGCTCACATGTCCTATCACCTTCTTAAAATCCTCCAAATATCTCATCAGATGAATGGTTAATACAGGTGGCAACTTGCGAATAAGACGTGTTTGAATGGGACATTCATTCTTATCTTTCTGCTCATTTTGGTTTTCTTCCACTTGGTATGCACTCTTCTCTGACTGTTCACTCTGGTCTCCAGCTGTTGTGTCCTCCTTGGTACTTGACATGATGCCTGGCTTCTCAACAACTTTGGAGCAGTTCTCACAGGCCCATTCTCTCTCCTCTGTTTCAAGATACAATTCCAAGCATTTCTCAATCGATGCAAGAGAGTTGATATCATGTGCCTTGTCATAAACAACATCGCTAATCTGAGTTTTCCCCTTGTCTTTTGTAGTAACTTTTGCTGAGGAGGCGGTCATCTTGGCTTCTGTACTAACTTCTGGTTGAACAGCACTGTCATTTATCTTTACATCACTGCCTGATGCTATCAGTGCATTCTCTTCGCTTAGTGGAGAAACAAATGATGGTGAAGCACGATCTTCTGGAATGCGGGAATCTGCTGTTGCTGCATCCATTCCATCAACTTTGGCATCACACAACACTTTCTGAGGAAGAGCATCAACAACCTTTCCTTGGACCTTATCCTTTCTAGTCTGCAAAGGACCACCTATAGCATCCTTGCTATGAGATATCTGTTCCACTTTGGTAGAATCTGCAGAATCAAGCATATAAATTTTTAGTTTTGTCCTCAACAGCTACTTCATGAAACCAGCAATCTTCATTCTCTACAAGGTTTGAGAACCTTTATCCTCTACATTTGATTATTCGAAGCTTCTTTTCTTCAAAGATCTCCACATGTACTTAAGTTAACCAACAATTTGGAGAAAAAAATTATTATACGAAAACAAGGACTCAAAACCCTGAGCTATTTTCCCTTAGTGATAATTATTGCCACACTTGTAACAAAAAGCTATGCCATGTTAAAACTGCCGAAACATCCTGCTAATGTAAACATCCTGTTGTGCAGTCCATGTATGAATCAAGTCTTTAAACATTTTTCTTCATGAAGCTAGCACGACAGCGCCGTTCCAGAAAATGCCCTTTTTCTTATCTTGAGCAAAAACTAACAAACAATACTGGTACTATCAAAGGTTGCTGTGCTCATTCATGAAAAGTTCTATGTTCTGACTTCTGAGACAGCATGCACATTGTAGGACTGTTGAGCATTGTTTTCCCTTCCTTTAATTAAGCACATGAGCATATAAGCTTACCAACTTTTAAAGGCTTTGATGTTTTCACCAAGAACACATCTTCCAATTCTGAAGCAGGACTCTGAGAATCACCTCTTTCAGAAATTTTATGAGTCTTTTCATTGTCTGTGTTTTTTCAATGCCACAGTTGTGTCATGCCACACTTTCCTACCCTTAGGTCCCACATGTCATACTCAGATAACTAGAGCTAACATTGCCACACTTGTGGCTAACTATTTCTTAGCCATACTTTTGCCACATGATACAACTTGCCTAAGCTTAGTTATGGTAAGCTTAGGCATCAACCAAATAACCCCTTAATGAAATCTCGTCTAGGCTTTCAGAAAATGAAAAAAAAAAACTTAGACTAACATAACATCCATAAGCGATGGGGGATATTCATCGATCCCGTGGCGATTGTTGTTTATCGATCCGGTAGCGAGGATGCCGGTAATTGCAGCGATGCGACTGAGCAATCCGGGCGGCCAACTCGGCGTCGGTCTGGGGACGATCTTGCCGCCGCTCGCCCATGAGCCACGCCCACCACCCCACCGGCCGCTCCTCCTCCTCCTCCTCTTCCTCCTCGCGGTGGCGGCGACCCCGGTGATTGCAGCGATTCGACTGTTCAATAATCCAAGCAATCCGGGCGGCGAACTCGGCGTCAGTCTTGGGACGCTCTCGCCGCCGCTCGCCCATGGGCCACGCCCACCACCCCACCTTCTCAATGCGGGCGTCCACGAACGAGCGCAGCGCGGCGTAGGCGGAGGACACCACGGATCCCATCGCTTCTCGCTGAGATTCAACCGAGCGTCCAAAGAAGAAGAACAAGAGATTAATTGATTGATTGATTGATCGATCTGGTAGTTGTAGGGGGAAGGGGACGGAGAGGCCGTATCGGAATCCAGACTCTGATCCTAATCCCCGTCTCGGTTTGAGAATTGAGATGGGCCGAAACCCACTCCTTTTTTCCTTTGGAATAAGTCCACTTAGGCTCCCTAGAGTTATAGGTAGAATTTAATTCATATCCCTCAACCAGAATTGTACTCTCTCCGTTTCTAAATATTTAACACCGTTGACTTTTTAGCATATGCTTGACTGTTCGCCTTATTCAAAAACTTTTGTGAAATATATAAAACTATATGTATACATAAAAGTATATTTAACAATAAATCGAATGATAGGAAAAGAATTAATAATTACTTAATTTTTTTAATAAGACGAACGGTCAAACATGTTTTAAAAAAGTTAACGATGTCAAATATTTAGAAACGGAGGGAGTAGTATACCAGATATCTTGACAATACCAGTACGATTTGACTTCATCGGTGGTTTTGTAGGTGGCTTTAACTGATTTGGCGTCGACACCCTCAAATATAGGTCGAATATGATTCAATATCTCTTAACCAGAATATCAAATATTCTCGTTAAGCGATATAAATTATATTCAACCTATACTTTTTGAGGGAGCCAACATGTACTTATCCTTTTTTTGTTTTCTCCTCCTGTGCCGAGACAAACGGAGCCCACCAAATCCCACCCTTTGTCTCACCGACAGTGGGCCCCACCTACAGAAACCGCGTCAGGGCAAGTTTTATAGTACAGGTAGTTGTCACATCTAATTTTATCCATGTAAGATAAGAGGTGATATATATAAGGGAAAATAATACACCACATCTACACCACCTCTATCATTATAACCCAAATAATTTTATTTTATTTGTTTGTCCAATCCCCTTTTTCGTTCATTTCCTTTTTCTTCGGGTTTATATGGAGGTTGCCCCTTGCATGAGAGGTGGCGCACCTTCTCTTTTCTCAATTATTACTGCCACCTCATCATCCAATCCTACATGCCATTTTTAGGGGCAACACATTAAGCATCATGTTACTTGCCCTCATCGTCATCAACAGCAATAGCATGACCTATATTTGAGGTCATGGAGAATGCAACTTGGCAAGTACCTTCTCTCCCCCAGTGTCTTGAAGGCTTGAAGCTACGGAGAAATATATCGTGTACATGTATTTCAACTTCGACTAAATTTTCTAGTGAAACCTTAACCTGTTTGAATCTTCATTGTAAATTCGAGCCAAAACGTTGGAAGGTCATGGCAGAACAGCAGTTTTGAATCTCCAGAGATCATGAAATCTGCATTGCTACAAGTGTTCGGAATCATCGCTATATTCAGATTACTCCAAACATTCACGCATCGGTCGGAGTAAAGCTTTTCCATCTTCCAATTTGGAAGCAGGCATCCAAAATACAGAAAGCAGACGACAAGCATGCACCAGTTTGCTAACCAAAAGAAATGAGTGAGACATCTCATTCAACCTCACAGCTCCACGGCTCCACCTGAGCACATTAGCTGACTATGAATAAAGCGAAAAGATAAATGACAAGTTAAGGAAAAGATGCACAAACCCACGGAAACCCCCAAAAGCCGATACAAATAAAATCTCCTTATCTCCCTAGCTGTGCACGCTAATAATGGGCTGGGTTTACATGATACGGGAAAATAATTCCGATGCATCATATGTTGGCATCTAAATATCCGCATAATATCAGAACATAACTCCTATTGACAAGCTGTTAATTGCCTCACAACAGCACTGCTAGATCACAGTTCTCTATTTGTACATCATCTCGATGGAAATCTTATACAAGAAATGGGGTTACTTGGGTTGATCCTGGCAGTGCACACATCCAAATCAACATGTCATCTAGCTACTACGTTTAAAGATGCATCAACTATTCAACTGGTAGGTAATGATTTTGATAATTTCTTCTTCTTGGAAGCCAATGCTGACAATATCTTTTTCCGAGGCCCCTGAAAACAAATCAAGATATCTAATAAATATGGACACAAAATCAAGGCATATAATGCTGCAAAACTCAATGATATCGCTACTCATAAAGGCTGACAAACTTGAAAAATAAATATATGTAAGTAGATTGCAATCGGAAGGATAGTTGTACACTAGTACACAATGGACACTCTAGCAATTGTTCAGTTTCGTTACGGCATGCACGCATACCATAGACAAGAAAGATCACCGACATGCATCTACCAAGGGCACACCGGAATTGCTAAATTTTAGAGCTTATAGGCAGTTAGCAAAGCCAACATTTATGAAGTTTTTACGAAATAATAAAAAACCAAAGTGAAGGAATACTTAGCTATATATACAAAAGAAAACAGGGGGAAATAACACACAGGAGATAACCACTTGTACTTGCTTTGTCTGCAACCAGACGCATGTCATCTATGAAATATCATTAGTGGAACACTAAACCCTAGGATAAAATCTGAAAGATGCAAAAGGTACACAAAGGCACATATGACAGTACTTATACCACTTCATTCATTTTAGAGAATCATCATTTAACTCTATTAAAAGCTACTAGAAATTTGGATTAGTAACCGATCTAGATTATACTATCTAACAAGATGTCAAAAGAGAGACAGGTAGCTTATAAAGAATGCATCATAATTCTAAATAATTTGAAACATCTTAGTAATAATTCTGCAAGACAACCCCTAGCCCCACCCCAGCTCACCCAAACACACAGGAGAATAGGGGATTAAATCAAGTTAATCCTCACTCTTCAGGGAAGTTATATAACTTAAACCTGCTCTACCAACTTGCATATTTAAAATTATGACAGTAGGAAAGGTGGCAATACAGAGGCATCTAGACACTCATTTGAAAAAAAAATAATAATAAAGAATGGACTAGCTCCTGCATGTAAAACAAAGTTCCAATCCAAATTCGTACAGTACCATTGGAATTCCTAAAGACTTCATGTCTTCCTCATTCATGTGAAGCAGAGCCTTCATATCAACCTGAAAAATGATTAAGCATTAACAAAATGTAGTAGGCTAGTAACACATGAAAAACTTGAATACCCAAATAAGTCAAACATGCCTCTTCAGCCTGAAAATTTATTGAGTACTTCTCTACATCAAGAGACTTCAGTAATCTATCAAGAGAGGAATCAGTCTGCACATTTTAAACAAACACATTATTAAAATGTTCAACTGATAATATTTAATGATGAAACCCAAAGTAATCATAAAAGCATCTGGACAGATAATTACATTGGTACAATACTATGCAGATGAAGTTTGTATTTTTTAACAAGCAGTCAAGCAGATTAAACATAGATAAGATTATATACAAAAAGACAATAATTCAGAATAAAGGTTGGAGAAACATTAAATGCTCAAGAACACCACCATCACATCATTACACACGCGAAATACATAAAAGGGATGTAGCATAATGATACATTATTGTCCCATTAGTCTAGAACAAATATGAAAGCATATTAGTTGATCAGGACGAGAGTTTGTGAGAAGATAATATGACAGTGTCACCACCTTTTCCTGGCATTGCTTTGGTGCAGATGGTTCGTTCACTTTCTTAGTAGCAGGAAGGGCCGCATTAACAGGGGGTTCCCTCTTTTGGACAGGTTCCCTCTTTTGAACAGGTTTAGCGCTCGTTGATATCTCCGGTACAGACTTTGGGATCTGTACAGTACTATTCAACTGAGGCCGCTGAACTCCAGACAATTTTTCACGAAGATCTGGAACTGATGATTTCCTCATAACCTGAGTGTTTTGCTGCAAATGTGGTTTCTGGTTTCCTTGGATATTTCTGGAAGGAACTCCAGCTTCACCGTGCAAAACGAAAGTAATACAGTAATGGTAAATCATCATGCAGGAAGCAAAAATGAATTGTATGTTTAGAAAATATACTATGAATGTCCCTTACATGAACTTTGAACTCCCACAGAGTCCATATAAAGTTCACGTCTCCAAGTCCCATCTGCCTGACGAAACCTGTCCAAACCACAAAGTAGAAGATATAAGCAATAGGATTGTGTTTGCTTCTGTGCTCACAATTAATCTGGGAACATATAAACCAACCGATCATACCAACCATTTGTGAATCTTACACATCAGGTGGAAACACTGCAGTGATGCAGCAATTTAAACATGACTTAATGATGCGATAACTAAAGACAACACAAGAAAAGTGACAATACTATAGTAACTATACCAAGGCGTGCATGCATATAGACTGGCAGATAGTGATAAAGGTTAGCTGCAGCAACAACAGACGACACGGCTGTCCAAAATGCTACACTCTCCACAGTTTCAAAACGAATTTAAAGCAAATGCAGTATTCTAACCAGGTCACTGGCTATCACATTTGCAGTAAGACAAAAATAAACACATTTTCCTCTCAGTCTGACTAATCAATCCGCTGGTCGCAACCACATGTCTCCCCTCTAAGTGGGTCAACCTGGAATCAACATGCAAAATGCTCATTTAAGTGCGCCCTAAAGCTACAATCACCACGCACGAAGCCACGAACTCCCTAATTTCCACGCCCTAAGCGGCATTTCCCAAACCCACCTCGATCCCCATACGATCCAACCACGAGTCGCAAGCCCGTAACATCTAGCAGCGCATGTACAGAGACAAAAAGCAAGCGACGATTTGAGCCTATAGCGAGCTCGAAGTCGCACCTCTTCACGGAGTCAGGCCGCGGGCGAGAGCCTCCGCCGCCTCCACCGCCACCGCCACCGCCACCGCCACCGCCACCGCCGCCCGATCCGAGGCGGTCCATGACGGAGCGCTTCCGCCCGGAGACACTATCGGAGTACATCGCGGCGGCGGCGGAGGCGATGCCGCTAGGGTTTTCGTCGGCGGCGAGGGGGGCAGCGGTGGAGAGGCCGGAGGAGGCGGAATGGGAAAAGGGGGCGACGTGGAGGTGTTCCTCGGAAATTTTCCTTCAAAGGGAAAAAAAACATTAATTTTCCATTTTTTTTAGAGGGGAAATAATATAATGGGCTTGGGCCTAACTGGGCTGGACTTTGAAAATTAAAGCCCATCAAGTAAAATAGCTGAAACTTATATTCTGGCCCAAAATTAGCCCAGCTCAATTGGCTCCACAAATCTAAGCGCTTGTTTGGTTTGAACCCAAATTTTGCCATACCAAAATATTGGGAGTCAAACTGCTACTCCCTTCATTTCAGGTTACAAGACATTTTGACTTTGTCAAAGTCAAACTGTTTTAAGTTTAATCAAGTTTGTAGAAAAAAGTGGTAACATTTTCAGCCCAAGACAAATTTATTATGAAAATATATTCAATTATTAATTTGATGAAACTAATTTAGTATTATAAATATTAATATATTTATCTATAAACTTAGTCAAACTTAAAACAGTTTGACTTTGACTAAAGTCAAAATATTTTATAACCTGAAACGGAGAGAGTACAATACAATTTATACTAGTATGGCGAACATTTGATATCAAACCAAACATCCATAAAGTACGGTTGAAACTACCAAAAATTTGGTAAGACATAAATTAGCCTAAATCCAAACAAGCCCTAGGAACCAAATTCAAACAATGCATAAAGTTAAATCCCTTGAATTTGACAGTGAGCAAGAAACCAAACTACATAAATGAAATGGGGGTCAATGCACAGTTTGACTATGCAAGGTAGAGGTGGTCAATGGAGAGGAGAGGAGGAGACCATTCAACTCAAGGCACTTGTTGTACCAACCAACCGTGCAGTCCACTTGTATCTACACTTACGCGGGAGCATTGACTTGCCATCCATCCATGCGTCTCCTCGTCGTCGTCGTCGTCGCAGCAAGAGGACGGCCGGTGCAACGACCGGTTGATCAATCGATCGATTGATCGCCGGTAATCTCACCGTTGAATCAGGGAGGAAAGAGTCGCCGGATGGGACCAGATGATGGTTAAATTAACTTGTTAATTAATTACGAATAGGTTGCAGCAGTGTACGTATGCATATAGAACAGGACAGAATTAATCGTGTGGTTAGTTCGAGTAAACAAAGAAAAAAAATGAGAATGAGATGGAGGTGTTTAGCTTGGAAGCATCGAACAATCCATCCGTCGATTGGGAAGCTAGAGGAAGAAGACAGCGATGGAGTTGGCGAGCCGGCGAATGGTCAAAGATGGCCAACTTTGGTTTAAGGTGTTAATTGTTAAATCGTTCGAGCTATAGTGTGCTAGTCAACTGCTCCATCTGACCAATATTTTTTCACTAAGACCCCTTATATTTTGACTATTTTCGTGAAATGAACTTGGCTCTATGATAAGGATCTATATGCAGACGCGGCCTTATAATTGCTACCTACTGGCGATAAGCAGTGAACTATTGAAGTACTCCCTCCGTTACATATACAAGTTTATAAAAACAATATAATAGTATTTTCAACACAAACAATCATATTATAAAAATATATCCAATGTTATATTTAACTAAACTAAACTAATTTGATATTACATATGTTACTATTTTTTTAAAACGTAAAGAAGTTTGATTAGAAAAAAACGACTTAAAATATGAAATGGAGGAAGTAGTAGTTTTTCTTCCGGTTTCGATGTGTTAAACAAAATTAAGGTTAAATATTTATAACTTTAAGTATCAATAGTTTTAAGTTTATTTATTTTAAATACACTAGAATAACATATATAGATTTAATTTACAAAGTATTATAATAAAACAAAAACTTGTGATACATATATTATAATAGAAGGACATGGTTAAAGATATATATCAGAGACCGTATCATTATTTAAAACTTGTCAATTATATAACCAGAGGGAGTAGGTGTTGCCATCTTCCATAACCACTGAAAAATTGCAACGATTAAATATTAATCATCATCAAGAGAGACTAGGGAAGACTTGAAGTGACATTAATTACGAGGACTATTAAGCAAAATCAGAGAAATGAGAGGGTACATAGCAAAGAAGCGACTTGGCTGGGCCTTCTGGGTCCCTTTCGTGGAGTTTATAATCCCAGGCTGCAGCTGCAAGCCAGCCGGCCTGAGAGAGAGGAGAGGAGAAGGACTCCATTGGCGACAAGCTAAGCTTAGCTATAGCTATAGCTAGCTAGCTTAGCCCCTGCCTTCCAAGGAGGAAGAAACGAGGCATACATACCCATCCCCTCCTCCTCGACGGCTAGCTGCTACCTCGTCTGATCGATCGATCGATCTCCTCGTCGGCCATGGCGGTAAGCTTTCTTTGCTCTTTCTTCTTGCTCTTCTGTTCTTGGGCATGGGCATACCTTGCAATTGCATGCGACCATGTTCTTCCATCGCTCTTTCTGCCACAGTTTACCGTTAGGCGTAGGCTAAGTTTGATCTGTCCATGGTTTTCTGGTTCAATATCTGAACCTGAAATTTCTGAAGGAACAGTTCTCACTTTCTTAATAACTTCAGAGTAACTCGTTTTTATCTGTCCATGGTTTTTGGATGCGAAATCTGAGCCTGGATTTTCTGAAAGAACCGTAACAGGATCACCACGATTTTGTTTCTTGTCATCCAGTGTTAGCTAGTTAATTAGTTGGAACACCGGTTTCATCGCTTGGAAAACAAAGTCCTCTGTTGTTGTGCTCTTGTTCTGCTTGAATCCACCTAGTTTGCTCAACTTGAATGGTATGAATAACTTATTGCTTGTGTGAACGAAGGAATATCCTTGACGTGTTCATCTGCAAGAAGTCTTTCTTGATGGTTGAGATGTATCTTTCCATCACATTAAGTTGTTTTTTTTTCTTTGTGAATAAACATTTAAGTTGTAGTATTGTCTCCATAGTATTCATACCACAATTAATCAAACTGCCATAGAAGATAGATGTTGTCTGCTTAACTCACTGGAATACGACGTCCTGGATAATCAATTGTTCTCCCTTAATCGATTACATTATTCAAAATCTGTTCTAACCTGAAGATTGAATTTGTATATAACCAAAACTGAAGAGATAAGGGATGCATCATGCATGATGCATCTGTGTCTCTTTGACTTGAAATTTCTCCCACTTTTTGTAATCTTAATCAAACGTAGGGTGTCAGCAAGGTAGACCTACCTTGCGCTGTCATTTCTCCAGAAGCTTTGACAAATTGGCACACAAAAGAGATTAATTGTCAGACCTGAACACCCAACCGCCGCATTAGCCCGGTCCTGTCTGGCCAGCCTGATTAATCAGTCCAAGTGGTGAAGCCACAGCATGTGAACGATTGATTAATTCCGATTAGAAAATCAGCACGTTCCATTTGATTAGTCCGGCCATATACATCAAATGTATGCAGTGTGTGTGCAATTGACCAGTTCCTGGTCTCCATTTTTCTTTTGCTAATTTTTTGCTGGTCAGACTGCTCATTTACAACCACTTGTAGTAGGCAGTAGTACATGATTCAGCAAGTCAGCTCTGTCAAGTTGGCATGTTCAATAATGTTTACTTCAGCAATGTCCTTATGAGTATGACTTTTGAAAACAAAATCAAAATCTCGATATGTTTGATGAATTCGCACAGCTGTTTTTTTGTAGTTGTATATGGCTTCTTGTAGAAGTTGATCTGACATGCAAAAGAAAATGTTCTTTTTTAGGTTAAAATTGTGGCAGTGGTCATGTCAGCGATTTTTATAATTCTTAAGAAGACATCGTGATATACCATATTTTATAGTCTAATTTTTGTTTTACCATCTAGTATACTAAAACTGTATAGTAGTTACTGGGATTCAGGATCCACTATCTCAGTATACCTAAATTTCGGATCGGAAAAAAAATAAACATTAAACAAATTCTGATCGAATTTAAATACATTTTGCCACATACGCATTTTTTTTTTGAATTTTTCGTGCGAAATAGTTTCATGCCCGGGCCAAAAAATCCCCAAAATTGTGAGAAGGGGAAGAAAATGCATGGCGGCAATGGCTGATCATATATAGCTTTGCATTTATGCAGCAGCAGCAGAAGAAGAACGCGCACGTGCCGAAATTCGGCAACTGGGACAATGGCGGCAACGTGCCGTACACCGTCTACTTCGAGAACGCGCGCAAGGGCAAGGTCGCCGCCGCCGGCAAGATGTTCAACCCCAACGACCCCGTCGACAACCCGGAGGCCTTCTCCTCCTCCATCGCCGCGCCATCGCCGAGCCGAGCCCCTCCTCCTCCGCCGTCCCACCACGAGCGCGCCCCGAGCGACGCGCCGCCGCCGCCGCCGCCGGCCCCCTACGCCGGCGGCTCGCCGTACCACCGCCACGCCGCTGGTGGTGGCGAGACGCCGCCGGCAAGAAGAGGAGGCGGGCGGACAAGCGGCGGCGGCGGGTCGTCGTACAGCGTCGAGCACTCGCCGTCGCCGTCGCCGCTGCACCCCTACTCCGACAGCGGGAGCGGCAGCTACGGCGGCGGCCTCGTCGCCAACTCCCGCGCCAAGGGCGGCGGCGGCGGCGCCCCGCGCGGCAACGAGACAGTAAGCTAGCTTCCCTCCGCTCCGCTCGACCTCTCCGCCATTGATGACGCTTTTGCAAGCTTCGTGACCTTGTTGTTGTGATCGCCAATGGCAGCCGACGAGGGGGTCGGCGGTGCCGCGGTTCGGCGACTGGGACTCGAACCCGGCGTCGGCGGACGGCTACACGCACATCTTCAACAAGGTGAGGGAGGAGAAGCAGACCGGCCAGGCCGCCGGGAAGCCGGCGGCGGGGCTCGGCAAGGGCGGCGCCGCCGCCGCCGGCCACGGCAACGCCGCCAAGCGATACCACGACGACGACTTCGCCTCCACGGTGAGCCACTCCACCAACCAACCATTGCACATAGGGGCCTCATTTTTAGTTGCTTATATTTATCAGCCAAAATTTAAATTTTCAACCTTAAATTTAGCTGATTTTAAGGTTTTTTATCAAAATTTATTTTTTAGCCTTTGCTTTTAAATCGCTAGAACACGTATATAAAAGTTTTATTAACAAATTATTTTTTGTTTGTAAATATAGTGTTTCACTTATTCCGCGAATAAGCGAAACGATGGCTCCGCTAGGTTCTTGATTTCTTTTACATTTCTGATCTCATTTGAGCTCTACATTTTTTTTTAATTTGCAGAAGTGCTCCTGCTTTGGATGGTGCAAATAGAGATGGATTTTGAGGCTGTTATCAATGTACTTGTAAATTGCAGAGAATGGGATTTTCGTTTCCCCAGTGCGATTCATCAGCTTCGAAACTGCATTTGGTCATAGATTATTTATTTGGAAGTGGGGAAATATACATTACAGTATAGTTCATGCCTGCTGTAATGGTAGATTACGTATTGGATTGTTTGGTTCCTTCTGTACTGGATTTACATGCTTGTAATGGCAGGTTAAAGCTTGGGCTGTTTCTTGTTCTTATCGTCATTTAATTTGTCCCTTGTCAACACAGAAAGTCCATTATGCACGTATTAATCTATGAAACTAGATTTCTGGTAGATTTGGAGTTTTTTGTTTTTTGGATAGCTTTTTATTGCTGAAGCTGGCAGTCTGCTGCAGAGCTCCCTTAATCTGAAGACTGATGAACGGTCGCATCACATGCACTCTGATCCTCAAAAGTTCTAGAAGCAATCTGTTCTTTTTCCTTCTGAATTTACTTAAACAAAACAGTGTAAATTGAATTGCTTGAAACTATTATCATACAAAAAAGAAATGCACATACGGTGCGTACTGGATCAAGAACACTCAAAACCCAGGGGCTATTCAGATTGTAGCCAAAATAAACCTTACCAAATTTTGGCAAGTTGACAATATTCCTAAAATTTTAGTAGAATTTCTTATATATTTACCAAAGTTTGGCAACAAACTAAATATAGACACTTTTTTGGTAATTTTATCTAAAAAAAATATAGTATGATTGAAAATGGTATCAATCTAAACAGCCCCCAATCGGATGGCCTAGTGAGCGTAGCTAGTCCATCTGGATTCAAATCTAGTTTTACAGTTTTATCCGGCCCATCTACGTGTGTGGGCCGTGATTGAGGCCCATCAAAACGAGTCCGAGACGAGGAGTGGTCAGCACCGGGGCCCACCTATCAGAAGCCCAGCGCGGGAGGAGAGGAAGAGGAGGGCGCCAAAGTCCACAGCGACTCCCCTTTCCTTCCGATCCGTCCCGAACTCGAAGCGAAACCCTAGCGAGTTTGCGCCGCGGTTCGTTTTGGTTGTTCGTTCGAGACCGATTCGGGTAAGGTTTCCCCCTCGCCAATTCACCCCTTCCGTTTATTAACTGCTCTGATGATTTGCCTCATCTGATTCATCTGTTCTTTGCTCTGGGATTCCGCCGCGGAAGCAAGCTCGTCCGGTTTCCATCGTCGTCTGGGATCGGGCTCGCTAAGACTTTTCTTGATTTAGTAAGCTGATCCCCCTCAGTTCGTTGTGAATTGTGACGGATTCGGGAAAAATTCAGGCACTCTTGATCAGGGTTTGGGGTTTAGCAGTCTCGGTGAGCATTTGTTTCCCCCCAAATCTTTCTTTCTTTATTGTTGTTGCGCATCTGTGTGTTGTGATAAGTTCTGCGAAATGTGATATAAAGTTATGTGTGTATAGATCGTAGAGAGCTGAGATTAGAGGATATCATTGTAATTGATATTTGACAACACCTAAAAAAGAAGTTTTTTAAGTCGGCAGGAGCATGAGAATTGCCTGATTAGATGATCTTTACAGGTTCTTTATATACCACATACTTGAAATTTCCCAGTGCTTGCAGGCATTTCTCATCTCGACTCTTGTTTTGCCAAAGTATTGTTGAATTGTTCCCTTCCTTCCAAATTTCCAGGGTTCTCAGTTTTGTTTTTTTCCCCCTCTTTTGCTCTTCTGGCGTGCCCAGGATCGCAATCTGCGTTTTTTTTGGTGCCTATCTATCTTTAATGCAATGATACGCAAATCTTGTGCATGTTGCCAAAAAATGGGCATTTCTTGTAGAAACTGTTAAGGGAATTAGGGTACTTAAGCTGAAGATTCAGCAATAAGTAATTGTGGCTCACTGATTTCCAGGTTATTCCAAATATCATAAGAATCATGAGTACTGCAAGTACTGCACGCTCTAGGAAGCGAGCCCATGATGGATCCAGACAAAAAGTTGATGTTATAAACTTGGAAACAACTGCTCCAGTGGTGAACACTGGGAGCCAGCATGAGGCTCTGATCCTTAGGGGTACACGGACCTCACCCATCGATGTTGAAGCTCTAGATGATAAAGTAAGCTTTTGCTTTCTTCTGTCTCCAATTAAGCGAATGAATAACTGAAACCTTTACAAGAAGCTGAAGCTGATGTTTCTTTTTGATAGAGGAGGAGCAGAAAAATTATGAGGCGCTCTGTGGCTGTAGTGGATCCGGAGAAGGATACTGGTCCGGGAGGTAAGTACATTACTTATGTTTGAACTCCACATAGCTTAGTCTAAAAGAACTATTTGGAAGTCTTGTGTTACTCAGAAACATTTGGATACTTCCAAGTGACATAAGAAATGTGCACCATTAATTCTAACCCATAGTTCTGTACTGTAGGTGAAACTGAAACTTGATAGTACATCGGTGTACTGTCTTATAGATTATTATTACAAGACACTACAACATATACAATAATTATGATTCATACCTCACAAATGTTCATCATGATTCCCTGTTTTCCCTGTTCCCCAAGGTTATGGCGTTGCTGGAGCTATATTTTCCCGGGGCAGAAATTTTCAGGGTGCTGTACATGTTATATGCCTTTCTCCAGATAGGGAAGAAGGGACCAGCAAGGTTGTTAATCTTTTTAAGTTGATCTTCTTTGTACTGTGATGATAATTGCAATTCCGCATTGGCTGGTGTATGTATATTGTTTTCTTAATGCTTAGTATTGTACTCCTACATGCAACTCATAATATGCTCTCACCTTTGCAGCCGAAAAATGTGGCCCAAACCAGTACGACGCATGCCAAGGTTGCTCCAAAGGAACCAACCTTTACCTGTCCTGTGTGTCTGAACAAACTGGACAAGCCATCCACGACAAATTGCGGTCATATCTTCTGCGAGAAATGCATCCAGGCATGGCTCAAGGCTCAGAAGAAATGCCCTACTTGTAGGAAGAGTCTAGGGATCAAGAGCTTCCATCGTGTTTACCTCCCTACTCCTGCTGATTATGATTAATTAGTTTCTGCTGGCCTGAACCTCACTAGTCCACTCCTGCACATTCATCTTGTGTGCAAAAGAACTTGAGCAGTAGTTAGAGTTAGACATTTAGTCTTTGTTTGTTAGCCCTGTAGGCTAACAATGTGGTAAGAAGTGCACAACACGATTCTTAGCTCATTGACTACATCTGATCTGATTTGTATGTAATGGCGTGCATTTTTCTCCTGTGGGTTCTGAAAAAGGGAAAATATCTAGTTTTCCATGACGGCATGACCCATGAGGTTCACTATAACAATGGCCTTCCTTTACAAGTGTTACAAACCGCTGTTCTGACTCGATCGTGAATTGATTCATGATTTAACTACTGTACAGCCACTCAATGTGATGTGAGATGCTAAATTCTACTGTAATCTATCGGCACAAACTTGTTGCTCGCTTTCACCATCTTCATTCTACCTCTAATCGATGCCAACCTGAACTGAAAACAACCTGATATTCAATGTTTGAGTCTTTATATAAAAACAAAAAGAATTGTGGGTTTTATGATGAACTCATGAACTCATCTGAGTTCACGGAGCAGATAGCCGGAAGAGGCGCCGGGGAGGGTCAGAGATTTAGGGGCGTTTGGTTCACTCCCTCACTTTGCCAAACTTTGCCACACTTTTTAGGATATTTGTGTATGCCAAAGTTTTTCGATTCAAAGGCCCACATGTCATACACTCATCTTTTAGCCAAACCTTGTCTAAGGTGTGGCCATCAATTTATAAGCCACACATTTGGCTAGTTTTGGCATGGAGGTTTGGCAATGTTCGGAAGTGAACCAAACAAGGTCCACAGGAACCGTGTTGGATCGAGAATGTACGGTCCAGATGCAAGAGGGGTAAAAAAAGCCGCTGATGCTGGTTCACGGGAGCCATTGGATCGCAGGAATCGTCCGATCGAGAATGTGCGGTCAAAAATCATGCGGATAAAGTGCGGCGATGCCTCCGAACCCCTTGAGTCCATGAAATCCGTTGGATTGTGATGATGCGGTGAACAATCAGGCACACAGTGTCCGTATATTTCTTGACTTCTTGAGTACTGATAACTTAAGCTTGATAACTATACTTTGGGGGTTTGATGATCTTCTGATTCCACAGCTAATTAGGGATTAAATCGCCGTGACCTGCATGGAATTAATGCAGTTCAGTCAATGCGAGATATCTCAAGCTCATTGTGGATCCAAACCGTCGGCTCTCTTTTATCTGCTTCTAGGCTCCAAGCTCCAGCTTCCCTGAAATGATGTGAGAGTAGGACGTGCTCAGTACTTAATCCAAGAAAATGACATTGGTGAAGGATCATTCATTGGTGTCATTTCTGTCCATGCACCATGCATGTCGGTGAACACAAATCAATATCTCCTCTTTGTATTATCTTCTTCTTTTCGAGCAGATTAACAGGTTCAGGAGAAGTTGCATGATCCATACCTTTTCTTTTCCATTTTGTAATTTTCTTCATCTTTTTTTTTACTGTATCTTCTTATTTTCCTTTGAGTATTGGCATCAAGAAAGAAGAGCAAAAGACTAGCCGGATGCAGCATAATTTCACATGACAATATGCCCTTCCTCTGCAAAAAGTGTCAGGAAATACTAGTCCATTTCAATCAGCAACAGAGCTAAGTACAAGGACAACCCTGTCCGGACCAGATACTGCATTGGATTTGATTGGGCTTGTCTGGATTTGGACAGCCATGTGTTGGCCGGAGAAACCAAACAAGATCAAGAGCAAAATGAAATTAATCATTGAGTATACACTCCTTGGATGGATCTTTCACTCATCATGATTCATGCATCCTTGCTCATGTTCACCAATGCAAAATGCATGGGCCTGAACCTGAAGCTTCTTCCACAACATGCCATGAGAATAATAGAGGTGGGATCAATGGCACCTTAAGATCAACATTCCATCATGGTCTAAAGAACAGAACCTTCCATCATCAACCCATGAACCCCCAAAGCTGTGGGCCCCGGCCATGTGTGAGCCTAGCCAGTGGGCCACCCCCCTGACTGGTGACCTATTGCTCCTCTCATCAGGCGTCACTACACACTACAACAAGTGAAAAAAGTGAAAAAAAATTCTACTTTTAATCTTTGCATATGGCATCAACATTAGCAAAAGTGGACATGTTGCCAGGATCATCCACGAGTCTTGTACATCGGCCAATATATTCAGAACTTTCATCCACGTTAATCTGGCAGATGAGCTTTGTCAAATGCAGTTCTAACACTAGAGTTCAGCTCCATTCATGGAGTGAGACAGGAGCGGCCACCGACAGACTGACAGAATCGCTCGTAGAGAAAGAGTGCAGTTCAGATGATTAATGTTCCATCTGCATACAGAATTCCAAATACTAGATTATGGCCTAGTTTAAAATAGATTATTGACTAATTTATTATAGTAGATTATATGATATACCACACCTGTTAAAATATAGCAACTTTTAGCTATGAATTTAGACGCATAATTGTCTAAATTCATAGCTAGAAATGCTTGTATTTTGAGACGGGGTAGTAAGTTAAATGTTTTGATAAATAACTTAACAAACGACTTAGAACAAATGCATTAGAACAAGAAATGCATACAATGCATTAGGAATTTTTTTTAAGAAACATTTTTAGAGACGTGGATCAAATTTTTCTCTCAATAATAATCATGTGAGTATTCCCTCCGTCTCAATATATAGTAACTTAGAATCGAATTTGATATATTGTAGAATTATAAATTTGGACAAAACTATATCTAAATTCATAGTCCCATGCTAAGCTTACTATACAGTAGAACAAATGGAGACATTGAGTAGTTGAAAAGAAATAGAATGGAGATCGGGTCCACAGCACATCACTAGCAGCTGATCCAGAAAATATAGCAACTTTTAGCTATAAATTTAGACGCATAATTGTCCAAATTCATAGCTAGAAATGCTTGTATTTTGGGACGGGGTAGTAAGCTAAATGTTTTGATAAATAACTTAACAAACGACTTAGAACAAATGCATTAGAACAAGAAATGCATACAATGCATTAGGAAATTTTTTTTAAGAAACATTTTTAGAGATGTGGATCAAATAATTCTCTCGATAATAATCATGTGAGTACTTCCTCCGTCTCAATATATAGTAACCTAGAATCGAATTTGACATATTGTAGAATTATAAATTTGGACAAAACTATATCTAAATTCGTAGTCCCATGCTAAGCTTACTATTCATTAGAACGAATGGAGACATTGAGTAGTTGAAAAGAAATAGAATGGAGATCGGGTCCACAGCAAATCACTAGCAGCTGATCCAGAAAAACGTTTTGTGCACATTTTCATATCTTTGGCAGCGATCACAATGCCCAATAATATCGTTTTCACCGAACATAGTATAAACAGTAATACTATCAACATTTTCTTTTTTACTCGAGAGAGCCTAAAAAATTACTGGAGTACAGTAATACAAGTACACCTTTAGCAATCGAGGCAAACCTTGGACCTAAACTGGAGTTAAGTAGATCTCCTAGACCGCCGTGTTTTCACAGTAACACGCTCTTGGTATGCCCTGTGGGACAGAGTCTTCATCATCAATCATGTCATTACCACCCACAAGCGAGATTTTTGAAGTGCGGGAAGATTTTCATGATCGAGTGATAGAGGTATGGGATAAGCCGGTGAAAGGGCAAAACACTGTCCAAAGATGGAACAATAAGATGAATGCCTTATGGCGCCATCTAAAAGGCTGGGCAACTAACACTAGTGGCTTTTATCATATAGAGAAAGGACAATTGCAACACACCATTGATACTCTTGATATCACCGCAGAAAGTCATGTCCTAGCTAATATGGAAACAGACACTTTCAATCCAGAGATCGGTTGGCACACCTACTTGGGGGAGAAGAAACTAAATGGTATCAAAGGGCTAAATCTACCGATGTTCTTCTTGGTGATAATAATACTAAATATTATCACTAGATTGCTAATAGCAAACATAGAAAGAAACAGATTATTAGCCTAGACCGGGATGAAGAAAAAATTGAGGGGAACGATGCTTCAAAAAAATTACATCACAAAATTCTATAAAAAGTTTTTTAGACCACCGGAAGTAAGTTCCCTTTCCCTAGATGATTCCAAATTAGATGACATCCCCCAAGTGTCGGAGGCAGAAAATGATCATCTTATTGCCCCTCTCTCCGAGGAGGAAGTAAGAGATGCGGTTTTTGGGATGGAAACAAATAGGGCGCCAGATCCAGATGGCTTTCCCGCTGAATTTTAGCGAAAATTTTGGGATGTTCTCAAGCATGATTTATTGCTTATGTTCAATGAATTTTATGCTAGAGAGTTCCCAATTTTTAGCCTTAATTTTAGGGTAATCACCTTGATACCCAAAGTAAAAGAGGCTAACCGAATACATATACAGACCGATATAGTCTTTTAAATGCTAGCTTTCAAATCTTCATCAAGGTTGCCACTAATAGAATCAATTCAGTGGCTGATCGTATATATAGTGAGACCAACTCAGACAGCTTTCATGCGAGGGAACATCTATCTCAGACAGCTTTCATGCGAGGGAACAACATCTAACTGAAACAATGAAATACTAGTGCTCGATAGGAGCAAATTATATGGTTAACCATGTCATTATAACGGAAAAGAAGCATTTCATAGTTAACCGTATCATTAGAACGAACAAGGAAAGAGGTTATCGACTGTTCGAGTCCCACGAACGTCCGCGAACTAGACCCACCCCGATTACGTGGTGTCAAAGACGTTAAAATCAGCCCTGTTATGTCATTTGGCCTTGATTCGCACGCAGTACACAAGTTCGTGCATCAGTCTGTGCACTATTGCATATACCTTGCGTCTTCATGTACTGCTAACTTCATTTACTCAATAAGCATGGGCCAGTCAGACATTCATCATGATATGACGACAGTTTAGTTCATGTACAATATAAACTTTCCAAAGTGTTTATACAGTATATATAGTCATAGCTATTTCTTAAACTTTTAATAAATGCAAATATATACAATATTTAAAGAGGCAGACTAAGGAGTATAAAAAAGGATGCTTCACAACACGATTGTCACAAGATGAAAAGTTCATCTTGCTCTCCATGGTAGATACAAGGAATTGCTTTGGTGCAGCTCCTGTCCTGCTAATGTAAATTGGTGTTTTTCATATTATTAAGAGAAAATAAGGAAAATGCCATCGAAAAGATACAAGCTGCAAGATATCATCGCCTATGAGAATGGCATGTGGGGAATGTCAATAACATATATGTTGGCATTTTCCAACTCCGTTATTTTTTAGATGCCACCAAGCAAGCTGTCATTAATTACCACGTTCACATTCAATATGTTTCCTAACTACACACTAGCACAAGTGTTGCAAATTTTATTTTCCCTAGGTATACATAACAAAATTGAAAAAATTACAGGGTAGACATATTCTATTCAAGCAAAATTTTATTATGAGAATCAATTTCATTTGCTAGATTTTAATAAAACAAATACTCAGAAAATAGAGGACAAGTTCATTGTTCAGTAAGTATGTATTTTTTTATCTGTCCAATTAAGTTTGAATTTGGACTAGAAATTTTGTCTGTCCTAGCTTGGTAATTTCTAGACCGAGTTGAAATGAAATTTGCAAAAAGTGTACCATTTCCACATGATGCTTCCCCACTTAATTCTTTAAATTGTTGATTCAGTTACTCTTCTCCAGAAATTTTACATTTGTAAAAACTATTGGATGATCTTCAGCCTTCACATTATCAACAGTTCAAATGCTTAAAAGTATCCAGAAATATGCAGTTTATAGACATGTCATTAGGGTAATGACTCACCGAAGTGATCTTCAATCAAGCCTCAGCTGTTTCTGGGAGTGTAATCAATCGGGATGCAGAATCGTATACCAATGAACTGCTACAACTGATAAACATACAAAGTAACCACATTAGTTAAAATATAAGATAGAATGCATCAGAAACCGAGGACTAGATTTCAAATCCATACTTTGCACATTTCACACTGTTTCTTGCACCACCGCTAGGCACAGACAGTATAGTCCCAAAGAAGGAAAGATTTTCATTGCCACAGTTCGGGCACGGTCCCTAGTTATCAAAAAATTTGTCATTTTGTACCATACTTAACATGCCCACGATGTATGATAAGACAATGAAAATACCTTCAAAATTAAAAAGTCCTTCACTATGGCACTCGTAATTGCCTGTGCTACCCAAAATATTAGAGGCAGTGCGGCAAACCATGTGAAGATGAAACTGAAAGGCTCTGGCAACTGCATCATTCATGAATGTAATCAGTAAATAACAATGTTTATTATCTAAAAAAATCAGTAAATAACAAAGTTTGTTTTATGGCATCAGATCCACTGTAAGGTCTGATGTAGAATTAGACAGTTTGTTCCAAAAGTGACGTATGATATAGAATTACAGGAGTCTACCATGCTCAGTATTCAAAAACAACATTGTAGGTTACTATTAGATGGTTATCGTGGCACTGCTATAATATTTATTTTCTGGAAAAATCCATACATGGCATGGAAAGCATATATCAGGTATGGCATCATCAATTGAAGCCCAACAGTTAAAACAATGGCGTTATTTGAACAAGCCAAACTCCAATTACAAGGAAGATGTTTCGTGAACATATTTCTTATAGCTTGTTGGAAAATATGGAAGAAGCATAATGACATTAGCAGGTTGGCAAAGAACAGTTAAAGATATTTACTCTGCTTATGTAGAGGGTAAATGATGTTCATGAAAAAAAGACCAACACAATTTCTGCTATATTATAAACCATTTATTTTTTATTTTTACTTTTCTACCTCCCATAGGTGCCTCACTATATTCCCATACTTTCCATATTACCCTTACTGGTGATGATGCACGTTCTACTGTATGAGGGCCCACATTGCATGGATGCTTTCAAACAGTGCCATACCACTGTCAGATACTACATCGGATATGAATACAGTGTACTCTAATTAGCATCAGATATGAATATTACATCGGATGCGGATACGCCATCAATTATTCTTGGTCACTAATAAGAGGTAGCGAACATAATGTTCGATGCAGCATGCCTACATCTATGTCCCAACTGGTTGTGAACCGTGACCTTGTGTTGTTGGACTAATATGTTATATCAAGGCCCATGTATTGTAGGACCATATAATCTATGAACACTTCATATATTCTATCAACTATCATCCCTAAGGGGCAATCATCTCCTCAAACCTCTGATGTAAGTGACAATAATTTGTGATTTCTGCTCTACTTCTACTCATTTATGAAATTGTGTACTGTTGAAATAAAGTTAGATGAGGCCACCGACCATAACTTTGATGTCAAAAATGCTTGTGCTTGGTCACCCTGATGGACTCTCTCTCTCCCTGTGCAGTGTGCACAGCCTGCACCGACCTCTCTCTGTACATGCATGAAGCTCCCTTTGCAACCTTCAAATATTTTTTTCTCCTAAATTACTAATAATCTAATCTACAATCCAATTAGACCGTTGTATTCATCGCAATTAAATCACGACAACAAGACCGTACATGATTGTATTATGATGAAAAAAATATATGTATGTTTCAACCATTGTAATTTGATGTTTCATGTACAAGTGAATGTTTCAATTTGAATTCAACTGTATTGCACATTTTAAGTCTTTATGTTGCAACGAATCTGTTTTATGTTGCACATGATGTTATTTGGATGTTTCAATGAGTATTTTCTAATGTTTCACTAGTTCATTTGTAAATGTTGCACATGGTGTTTTTTGGATGTTTCAGTAAATATTTTGTGATGTTTCAACAATTACAACTCGATGTTTCATATATTATATAAAAATATTTCAATAAGGAATATAATATTTTCTATTTTTTCATCAAAAATTAAATCATATGTGAGATCTTGTTGTAAAAATTTAATTACAACAAATATAACTATGTAAATTGGACCGTAGATTGCATAAGTAATTTAGGAGAAAAAAACATTTAAAATTTGCTAATGAAGTGGTTAGAGGAGGGGTAAGTGGGAGAGAGGATGGAGTATGCATGCAATATGCAGAGGGGCAGAGGCAGCAAAGCATGCGGTGCATGTGGTAGTGGTTAGAGGGTGCTCAATCTTTCCCAAAATTCAGGTGCTTGAGTGAGACGATGAAATTGAAAACCATGTATCCACCACCCATTACTTCTATGGAAAGATGGGCCCAAACAAGCCTGCCCTCAGCCCTCCCCTCCTGTCTCCTATGCAAATTACAAATTCTGACCCCTCACTCCCTCCATCATATCACTCCTAACTCTCACTTCCTAGCTGGAATTACCCCCCCCCCCCCATCATGCACATGTCTTAGTGCGCACTTAGGTCCATGCAGCAAACCAAGCCGGGCAGCCAAATCGTCGTCTTTAACTGCCACCTGGCCCATTGATTACGGTAAAATAGAGGTATAAAGGTCGCACCTAATTCTGACTTTTCAAAATCTATTCAAGTGAGTGAACAAATTATAGGACTATAATGTATGTTTAATTCTTTACATGTATAAAATCCTGAGGATGTCATATATATAACATCCTCAGAATTTTATACATGTAAAGAACTAAAGAAACATTATATATTGGTGACTTAGCTACTCCCTCCATCCTAAAATAAGTTCATTTTTTACCCATCCCACACATACAAATACAAAACCAAAAAAGATTATAATACTCTCACTTTACCAAATCCCAGTGCAATTATACCCTACTTTCACAAATTACGATACAATGATTGCTTAAAAGTGAACTTATTTTAGGACAAATGGGAGGCAAAAATGAACTTATTATGGGAAGGAAGAAGTATTATTATGAGAGAGGGCCCCACAGACCCTCGGGCCCACATGTCAGTGAGCAGTACTGTATGGATCTCAATTGGTATATTATCTTGAATTTGTTAGAACTAACCTCAAGAAGATATGTGATCTCAAAACCTGTCAAATCATCCAGGAAGAAGAATCTGTGAAGACGAAATCTAGATTAGATATAAACACAGTATTTAGTACACATAAACAAAACTGCCAAAAACAATAATGATTCTTCATCGAAGTGAAAAATGACCATAAATCTAGTCAAGAAAAAATATATTAAACATGGCGTAATGCAAAAAAAAAATGTATCTCTGACATCATGTCATATGATTCTCACAGTGTCAGAGCTAAAACTGCTGCTGGAACATTTAGCAGGAACATCTTGAAGTAATCGACAGTCAAGTCACTGTAGACCTGCGAAAATAACAAATTTGTTACTCCAGGATAGATTAACTAAACAGCATCACATTAGCACCCAAAATAGTGATGATGTGAATAAGGTCATGTCTCTACAAAATAGTTCTCTAAGCTAAACTATTCTTGTTTTAATTTTGACATGACATGGTTTTTGACACTAGATCATAGCATGTTGCTGGAAATATTCTTATAGATATCTACACAGGGGAAGCTCCCCATGTAGGGAGATGTGACCATGGTTACTATTAATACAACCGTCGCTCACATCAAGATCAAGTTGACCAAGTTCTGGAATCTAATTCGGCCACCTGCTACAGTGCTGACTTCAAACTACCGCCAAATGTGCATACAAGCTCTGTTTTGGGTCCATGAGTACTTGATGGAAAGCATTTGGAATCCTCTTTCCAACAGATCCAACCTCATCTCCAAATTCCTAGCAAGTCATCGGCAAATAGAGAAATAAGGTATTGCGCCACTTGTCATGGGCCTTTGGGCTTGTAACTTTGTTTGGGACCCTGGCCCAAGTGAGGCCCATGTGGGGTGGACCCCAACCAGGTGGAACACGACCCTAGGGGCCCCTAGGTCGTCAACCCACCGCCTTAAATAGCTAGGTACCCCTTCAGGGTTTATAGGGTTTTGTTTATATTAAAGTTTAGTTTCGCTACTTTGCTGTGTAATCCCGTGATCGGTTAAATCGCTGATTTGCTCATTACGAAACCCCAACTTATCATTTGTATTCAATTCTTATTTGCAATTTAGATTGCTTTTAGCTTGTTCTTGCTTGTTTCTTCGATCTACTTGCAGGATTAAGGTTGATCTACACCAGCTAGATCAACAACCCACGGAGAGATGTATCGATCGCTAAGGCGCAACACAACAATGTCTCGTACGGTTGTAGGGGGTCGTCAACGTTTCTCCCAAATCGTAGTTATATTCAACTCACCGAAAGATCGGGTCAATCATAGCCATGAGTGTCTCGAATGGAGCTTAGGATTTATCATCGGGAGGATTGGCTTTCGTGACCTTTCTTGGCCCCGGTTTCATATACTTCTTAATTATACTACCCTGGGGAGGTATTTCCCTTTGGGGCCGAGTTCTTCGAAGAGGCATAATTTAAACACAATACTTTTTGTTAACCAGATGATTGCAGCATGCTTATCAAAATGGAAATTGCTTACCGTACTTTTCATGTTCAACAGTTTTTATTCCACAACAATGGACTGCTATTTGGCTAACTACTTTTTAGGGCTGCTAAACTGAAGCTTTACTATTGTAAATTCCCCATATCTGTTATGTTCAATAGATTAGTGTAATAACTAAACTGCAGTTTACAAAAAAAAATGAATTAGTATAATAAAACAAATAAGTCAATCCCAACCTTTCGACTTCGAAGACTGCATCTTGGACCTTCTTGTACGATTTCACTTCCCTCTTTCTGGCCAAGAGAAAAAAATAATAACAGATTGACAGGTAAGTTCAGTCTCGGATTTACATTACTGCTACAATGTATGTCTTTTATATGTATGGTTTCATCTTTAAATCTCATTTTTACACTGAAGCTAACTGACAACCAAATATCATGATAGAAATTACTAAAATTTACCGTTTAACTCAAAATGCTGAGCCTTATAACTCATGTTTTTTATAAGGCAACTTTAGCATCATTACCATGCTACAGCACTGAGAAGTACAATTAGCGGAGCCCCAAATCTATCGCTGATATTAAATAATAAGGTAGAATAGCATTCATTTTTTACAGCACTTAATATTACACATTTTAGCAAGTATAAGGTTACTAGGGACAAGAAAGACCAACCCTTAATCTCAGCTTTAGTTCATCAAATTCAGCATCTGTCATAATGGGGTTGCCAGCCACATAAGCCATGGATGCTTCCAAAAGTCTTTGCTCATCAGGGCCTGACGAAAAAAAATATTAAATAAAAAGCAACGATTAAGCATTAACATGACAACATTAGCATGACTGAATTAAAAAAAAACCTCTCCTAGTATTTTTTTTATATAAATTGGACACAAACATTCCTCTGTTTGCAGTTCATCCATTTTCCTGTCTCTCCTATCGTTTTAATGTTATTGGAGAAACTCAAAATATAAAGTGTGCAGTGTTGATAAGAATGCTTACAATCATTTTCTCTTTTTCCTGAAAATTAGCAGGGATGTCTCGCATTCACTTAATGATGGATATATGTTGTCTTAAGAATTGAGCTTCCAATGTTACTTGCATTGGGTGGACATAATATAACGGCACCAATCCAGCGAACGCTATCACAAACTCACTGTCGTATATCGAACACAAGACGATATGAACTAGTATATCCAGAACACAAGGTATTTGTGCTGCGATAAGATGGCCATTTTATGTTTCTCTTCCATTGCGATATATGCGGATGGGCAAATCGCCACGATCCACACCTTAGTGCACCATGATCGGTTCTCAGTGTGTGCCATCCCACACGCCCCGATCACGGCGCATGACACGACATGCGCAACCAGACAGCCAGAAAATGATAGCAGCTAAATAAACTAGCTACAGGGATATAGATAGGATTATCTCTGAATTTCCAACAATAATCTTTTTCTTTTCAGCGGCATGCACACTTATAGTGTACAGTAAGGGCCGGGATCTCGTACAAGCTAGAAGAAAAGGAATATTTTATACCACTTACTTAGCATCACAACGCTGCTTCCTTCCCACATAAGCTCCTCCTTGAGGTTATCGAACTCCTCATTCGACATTACGGCCTTCTTGTCGTAATAAAAGGCCTAAAGAGAAGGAAAAAGAGGAATCTAATCGAATTAAATTGTGACTCAATTGACTTGTAAGTATAGTGTATGTAAGGTAGGAGGTAGCCGGATTCAACAAGAGGGAAGGGCAGGGCAGGGCACGGGCCTGCAGCGCCTGGAGAAACTCCTGCTCCATCTCCCCAATAGTCTTCTTCTCCTTCCGGTTGATGCTACAGTAGGGGAGCACGTTGCTGTCGACTACACCGTCTTCATTTTCTTCTTGTTGTTGCTGCTGCTGCACCCCTCCTTGCTGATCAGCAGCCTGGGCGGCCCAAACCCGGTGATGGAGTCTCCAGCCCTGACAGTTGGACCAACCGTGCGCCGAAGATGACGTTGTGATGCGGCACCGGCACCGGCACCTCGAGGACGAGGATGTGGACGCCGCGGCGGCGGCGGCGGTGGGGAACACCGGACTGGGTAGGAGCGAGGCCATGAAGGCACGCGACGCCGGCCAGGCCAGCAGCTAGCTAGGCGAGGCAACAGGTACTGGTAGTACAAGAGAGCGGCAACGGGGGAAGCGGCCGGATCACTGCGCGTGTGCGGGAGATGCGGTCGTGCGAAAGGGATAAGGTGGTGGTGGTCTTGGTGAACGGGGGAGCGATGTGTGGTGGTCTGGCGCTCCCCTCCTTTATACTGTGATGATCGGAAAATTACACGCCAACGACAAAATCAGACATTGACGATTGGAAGAATCGCACGGACGAAACGGATTGACGGACGAGAAATCTTAATCTTAACTAATAATAATAATAATTAATAATAATTATTAAAAGATTGATATTTTTCCAATCGTCACCCAAAAATTATCGTCCGTAAATCCGAGTGGCATCCTCCGTCCCGCACACATGTGTTCATTGCGTCGCCAAACAAAAAAAAAACAGAGACAGATTCAAAATCCTTCGCGTAAATAACAAATTTTCCCGTTCGTCACACAGAAATTTTCGTCCGTCCTCCAAAATTTTGACCGATTCAGTGCGCATGCTTTCTGCACGACTTGTAGGAGTCCGCATCAAATACAAATAATCCAAAAAAAAAACAAAATTGAACAAATCGATTTTTAATAGAGGCAAACAAAAACAAAATTGAACAAAGACAGGCAGGGAGGATACCAGATTCAACAGGAAAGGAAGTTGGATGCGGATTCGATTTGAACTCAAAATCGAATAAAATTAACCCCATAAATACACGAAAGAGTTACTACAAGCAATCGAACAAGTCACGGAGCAATTGGTGATATCTGACCTGATTTCACGGAGGCGGGTTTAATTCATCTCCCCATAGATGGGACAGGTCGTAGGCGGCGGTTGGTTCGTGAGGAGGTGGAGGGGGTTCGGTGGGCCTCCGGCGAGGAGGCGGCGGCAGGGCTCCGCCTCCGATGGGGCGGAGGCCATGAGGACGTGGCGGCCCTCAACGGCGAGCTCCTGGATGTTGGGGTGTCGAGGGAGCCAGGCAATGATTCCTGGAGGATGGCGCATTAGGAGCGGCGGCTCCCACATGCGAAGACGTCGAGAAAGCAGGCGGCGGTGGCAATCGTGTGAAGCGGAAGCAAGGCGGGGAAAAGGACTGTAAAGTAGAAAGGGGATCGATCTGATCTAATCGAACCAAGGAGTGGTTTTTCTTCACCGGGAAAATTAAAACCGACCAGTTCTTTTTTTACAACAGACCGGTTCTTTTCAGAACATGGAAACCGACCCATTATATTCCTGTTCTTTTTCTATTATTTTATTATGTAGGCTCCCACAAAGTAAAAAACTACTGCACAGAAAAAAGGAAGCAAATCTTATCTTATCGTATTTTTCTGTTCATCACGAAGGCGCTTTCGTCCGTTGGCGGGGCGTCTTCGCAGCCTCCAAATCAATAGCTCTGAGTCGGATACAGGAAACACATCCCAAAATCGACACAACCAAAACTCAACCACTCTTTGCCCAAAAAAAACAACCACAATAATCACCAAATCACAAAATACGTCACAAAACTTCACAAAAATATACATAAAAAAGAAGAAGCCGCCGGATCCGCCACCAGCCATCGCCACAGCCACCCTCCGCCGTTGCCATAGCCGTCCTCGGCCGTCGCAACCGCCGCCGACGCCACCACAGCCGTCGGAGGGAGTCGCCGTTGCCGGATCCGACCGCGGCCGCCGCCGCCTTTGCCGTGGGAGGAAGGCAAACGGGGGTGGAGGAAGCCGCCGCCGATCCGCCCGCGGCCACCATCAACCCGCCGCAACCGCCGCCGTATCCACCGAGGGAGAGGAGAAGGGGGCGAGAGTGGCGAGACAGTGTAGAGGGAGCGGCTGCCGGCGAGGGAGGCGAGACAGCGTGGAGGGAGCGGCCGCCGCCGCCGCTCGCGGGGAGAGGGGGAAGGGCGCCACAGTAGCCGCTCGTGGGGGGAGGGCGCCGCCAACGCTGCTCGGTGGGGGAGGTCGCCGCTACTACGGGGGTAAGGCCGCCATCGCTTTTCGATTCGAGGGAGAGAGGGGATCGGGGCGAGTGGGGAGGTGGGGAGGGAAATAAAATCTAGGGTTAGGGTTTGGCTACAGATATTTATGTAGGTTTGGATCAATCTGAACCGTCCATTCGATCGGATGGTTCCGGGTTCTCCCGCTCGGGCCGTCGGACTATTGGGCCTCCAAATAGACCTGCAAGTTTGCGCAATCAGAGAAGGAGTTAAAGGAGGTAAATTAGACTTTATTTACGGGATGAGACAGTAAAAAGACTAAAAATGGCCCATAGAGAAATTGGGGTTTTTATTTACATTTTTATTTAAATAAATGCTGAAATGATGTTTGTATTGTCAAAATTAGCAATGAAGCTCCGAAAATTCCAAAAAAGTTTCAAAGAGCGTTATTAATCATGGTTAATTTAATAAAAATTAAATCCAACCATATCATATTATTTTACGACCTGCGGTGGGAAAAGGCGCAGCTACTGTCGCTTACGTTGGGAGAGAAGGGGTATTGTTTATGTCTAGAACTATATCTTATAACTCCCATGGAACTATAAAATAACTGTAATCATTATCATAACAGTATTTTTTTCCCATTGCAACGCACTATTAAATAATAATTTATTATGAGCTACTATATTACTCTCTGTCATTGGAGACTTCGGTTAAAAATAACTTTGGTTAAAAACAAATATTTTTAGTTTTTTTTTGAACTTAAATATTTTTAGTTTTAATACACCGTACCGAAGCACGGGCATTTAACTATCTGGTAAAATTACTAATAATCTTTTAATTAGTTAAGATTAAGATTCTCCGCACGAATCTCAATGAACATTGAACGGTGTAGATATGAGTTGGGTTTGCAACCGGTTGCACAAAACGCGCTTCCCAACTCCATCCATCACGGTGCGTCATCTCAGCCTCGCGCATGTAGCCCGTATCTAGGTAGTTTCCAAATTCTAAATTTCCCGAGTTAAACACGAAACTGAAAGGAATCAAACTCTAATCCACCCAATAAAAAATCAGCACAAGGATACATAGGAGAAGACCATATCCAAATTTCCATCTGGAAAAAAGAAACTAAATGACTAAATGAATCGGACTCTAATCCAACTAAAATCGGATATGAGAATTTCCAACTCCACCTTGACCTCCTTCTTCAAGCTTGCTGCTGGATCGATGGTGGCTAGGGATCGCTTGATGCCGCGGTCACTAGCCGCATGCGCCCTCCTCCTCCACCGCTGCCCATATCAAGAGAAGATCGGGTGGTCGCCAGCCTCTGCCCATCGCCAGCTTTGCATTGCTGGCCGCCCTCCGTCGTGGGCCTCCACTTTGCTTGTGAGAAACTTGAGAGGTGAAGGATGGGAGGAGGAGGAGGAGGCAGAGTGTGCCGGCGGCTGCTCAGATGCTCGATCTGGGGTTGGCAAGGTTGGTTTGGGAAAGATCCGGGTGAGTGTAAGCGATAGGGAGGTTGACCGGTCGCTTTTCTCGCCCTTTATCCACGCACGCGGATACATCGACAGGATAGGGGGAGAAAACGGTACGGTTTCCCTTTTCTATTTTTCCTACTTAGTTCGCGAAATGAAAATTTTTATGTGTCACATCGGATGTTTGACTGAATGTCGGAAGATGTTTTTGGACACGAATGAAAAAACTAATTTCATAGCTTACCTGAAAACCGCGAGACGAATCTTTTAAGCCTAATTAATCTGTCATTAGCACATATAGTTTATTGTAGCACTTATGGCTAATCATGGACTAATTAGACTCAAAAGATTCATCTCGTGATTTCCTCCCTAACTGTGCAATTAGTTTTTCTTTTTATCTATATTTAATGCTCCATGCATGTATCCAAAGATTCGATGTGATGTTTTTGGGAAAAACTTTTTGGGAACTAACGGGACCCATTTAGCTCCCCAAAAATTTTTCCCAAAAACATCACATCGAATCTTTGGACACATGCATGAAGCATTAAATATAGATAAAAAGAAAAAACTAATTGCACAGTTATGGAGGAAATCGTGAGGCGAATCTTTTAAGCCTAATTAGTCCGTGATTAGCCATAAGTGCTACAATAACCCACATGTGCTAATGACGGCTTAATTAGTCTCAAAAGATTCATCTCGCGGTTTCCAGGCGAGTTCTGAAATTAGTTTTTTCATTCATGTTCGAAAACCCCTTCCGATATCCGGTCAAATGTTTGATGTGACACCCAAAAATTTTATTTTCCCCAACTACAACACACCCTCCTTAAGCTAAGCATTCAATACAGTCAGAAACTCGTCAAAAAACCTTGAATACATGTGGACAAAAAACTGATCTCTGCAAAGTTCAGAAAACGATGAACAGAGAAGGACGCGTTCTCTCGTACGATCCTGAATAGTAAACAACAAGCACCATAAATGGACTACGTGTAGCTTATGCAAATCTTTACGCATTAGGATGTGTTTAGTCACACTAAAATTAAAAGTTTAGTTGAAATTGGAATGATGTGACGGAAAAGTTGGAAGTTTAAGTGTGTGGAAAGTTTTGATGTGATGGAAAAGTTGGAAGTTTGAAGAAAAACTTTGGAACTAAGGCTATGTTTAGATCCAAACTTCCAACTTTTTCATCACATCAACCTATCATACACGTAACTTTTTAGTCACATCATATCAGTTTTAACCCAAACTTTCAACTTTAGAATTAACTAAACACAAACTTAGTTTAGCTCGATCAACGTACCGAAAAAACCTACTACTCCCTCAGTCCTACAATATAAAGGATTTTGAGTTTTTTATTGTAACGTTTGACCACTCGTTTTATTCAATTTTTTTTTTGCAAATATAAAAAACGAAAAGTTGTGCTTAAAATACTGTAGATAATAAAGTAAGTCACAAATAAAATAAATAATAATTTTAAAAAATTTTAAATAAGACGAGCGGTTAAACATTATAAGAAAAACTTAAAATCCCTTAATATTATTATGGGACGGAGGGAGTATTAGAGTTTAGTGGTAATCTCAGAGGTCAGCGACAAACATCCCGTGTAGTTTTGCTTTGTTGCCTCTGAAAAGCGCGTCAGTTTCTGAAAATCTGAATCTTTCTTTTTTTATTTCTTGAGCTGCTGTCTGCTGCTAGGTGAGTCCTCCGAGTGCATTGAATCGATTTCGACGCGCATCTCGCCTTGTCGTTTGCGATGTGCATGAGTGATCTCTACGATACCCGAGTGATGTCTGTCTCTGAATCTTCAGACTTTGGAATGAGCTGTAATCTGTAGGTCCATCACTTCTCAGAAGCCCACCACCATAGTAGAAAGAGGGTTCAGTAGAATGTATTCTGGTTCGCTAAAATATCACTCTAAAATAAAAATAATATGTTAGAATATTAGTTATGAAGGTATTTTGTAAATGACACGCTAAAAAGTTGACATTCCGATGAAATCTATGATAGCATAATATCGATTTTGTCCCTAGCTACAGACTTTCCCTGGATCAAGAACAGCAAAATGATTCAGAAAAGTGACAAGTTTTTGTGTGAGCACTGGAGGCAGTGTTCAAGATGGTCATTGAAGTGATTACTGATCCTGACATTATGAAGGATTTATTGGCCAGGCGGAGAGGAGGACGTATGCTCAGCTTGACAGCTTGCTGTAGCAAAAGAAGGAAGATGCAATTGGTTAATAATGGCCCTGCCTAACTAATTCAGACATTGCAATTTGTTGCATGATACGACTCTTATGGACCATCATATATATCGCTACCTGTTGTGGTCTCGCCTTCTTTTTAATTTGGTCAGTGCCATGGTCGATCGATCAGCAATGATCATCACTTCATCAGCATGCATGCATGACCGTGCCATTATAAACTAAACTATAAATTCTCAGAAACTAAGGTCACTATCACTGCCTTATTATACCAAGGTCTCATCAACCACACTAATATCTCTCTGTAGTTAATTCAGACAATCAGTTACCACTGGAAGCACTACTACTATTCACCTTTGCACTATGGACGCACGGTGATAGAGCCAGCGACACGCCAACACCGTTGAACCTGAACTACAAATAGTGTTTTTCGATGATCAGCCATTTTTTTTCAAATATCAACGATATTCGAGAAAATAGTTGGCAGTGAGGACGCAACGACAATACTACTAAGTATTTTGTAGTCACAAGAAACATGGTCGAATGTAGTGTTCCTCGAGTCCGGAATACCGTCCCAAAACACGGGGGACATTTTCATCCCATCATGTAAAAACATCTCATAAGTAGCATATCACTTTTCTCGATCCCACCAACTTAGGAATTTCGTGACTATACACGGATTTCTTTTTTTTCTAACAGTCAAACCGTTACCGACATTTTATATATAGAAGAAGTGTCCCATTTTAAGGAGAGAACGGGACCAAACCGTACAATGCACCATTAATTAGAGAAAACTAGGTAAAAACCACAACTATTACGACATTCCACCAACTAAACTAAGCTACCAAAAAAACGAGAGCAGGACAACCGAGCTCTACGTACTCAACAAAAGCCATTCATGTACAACAAGCTAAAAGAAAACAGGGCTCCCATACACTGGCAAAGACGCAATGTTATCGTCATCACACCAATACTTGGGCGACTCCGACTTTATCAGAAAATACCAGGGTTAGGACAACAACCTAGTCCATACTGAAGCGCAACTCAATTAGGGTGTGTTTAGTTGGGGAAAATGAATTTTTTGAGTGTCACATCGAACGTTTGACCGGATGTCGGAAGGAGTTTTCGGACACGAATAAAAAAACTAATTTCAGAACTCACCTGGAAACCGCGAGACGAATCTTTTGAGACTAATTAAGCCATCATTAGCATATATGGGTTACTATAGCACTTATGGCTAATCACGGACTAATTATGCTTAAAAGGTTCGTCTCGCGATTTCTCCCATAACTGTGCAATTAATTTTTTTTATCTATATTTAATGCTTCATACATGTGGCCAAAAATTCGATGCGATGTTTTTGGGAAAAATTTTCGGGGAACTAACAGGCCCTTAGACTGATGTCATCGTTGCCACACAACTCAACTAGACCATACACTGACTATAGTTGCGTGCAGCTAGCTGTGTGTTGGATGCACACGGACTACTTCAGCCGGCGGCGGCCGGCCGCCGCCGGTCTGATATCCCGGCGGCCAACCACCGTCTCCCGTTTCCGGCGTGCGGCCGCCGCGCGCGTGGGGTCGCACGTGGCTGCACATTGCGATCGATATCGATCATACGGCGACGACAGTAATGGCGCTAGCTTAGTACGAAGCTAGCTAGCTATTACCACGTATATACCACGTACCAACCGTTGGATGGATGAAGAATGCTGTAGTACATGCGTGCATGTGAGTTGCTGACCTTTGTCATCAAATCGATCATGAATTCAGGACTAGAATACCAATTTTTGGAGTCTTGGAAGAGCAACTACTAATTAAATCACACATCAGTTTGACATAAAGAAATGATACAGAAATGCAGAAAGTTTCTTCAGAGTCGCATTGATTATACTAAACAGGAGTGATTTACAAGTGAGTCCATCGGCTCAACTTGCCCTAATTTGCTAGCCCATTGCCATGATGTGATTAATTAAGCGCTGTGATTTATTATAATCACTTCATGAACTCAAAGCTTTGCATAGGGGCTTAGGCTATATACTGATACTCTACTACTTGTCCTGACTCCTGTATGGCTTGTCATTAGGATTATCTAACTTTGTCAGATTGGCCTATGGGAAGACACTTTCCCTTTTCGTGTTGATGAAGTATGGAGGTAAATGTAATTAAATTAAAAGGAAAATGCATTAGAAAATCCGGCCAGCAAATTAAACCATGTTCAAAAGTCTCCAAAGCACCATCAGTTCATCCGTTCACACCCTTTCCAAACTGTCATCCAACTCATCAGAGTTGAATACTGGGCAAAGTACAACGTACATAGTATGCATTGCATGTTAAGAAAGACAAGTACTTTTCTGAAAGATAAGAAAACGGCAATTATTTAGTACTAGATACTCCCGCCGTTTCTAAGGGTGTGTTAGTTCACGCCAAAATTGAAAGTTTGGTTGAAATTGAAACGATTTGACGAAAAAGTTGAAAGTTTATGTGTGTAGGAAAATTTTGATGTGATGGAAAAGTTGGAAGTTTAAAACTAAACACAGTGAAAATATTTGACGCCGTTGACTTTTTTAAATATGTTTGACCGTTCGTCTTATTCAAAAACTTTTGTGAAATATGTAAAACTATATGTATACATAAAAGTATATGTAACAATAAATCAAATGATAAGAAAATAATTAATAATTACTTAAATTTTTAGAATAAGACGAACGGTCAAACATGTTTAAAAAAGTCAACGGCGTTAAATATTTAGAAACGGAGGGAGTAGTACTGAGTATATATTCCCTTTAATTTGGGTTTTAATGTTTGACGCCGTTCAGTTTTGAATTTATGTTTGACCATTCATCTTATTCTCTTTAAAATATAAGTTGTGTTTATTTTTCTAATAGTAAAATAAATTAAATATAATAAATAATAATAACATGATCTTTTAAAATAAGACGAATAATTAAACATATGTCTAAAAGTAGATAACAACAAACATTGAAAATCGGAAGGAGGGAGAGCACGATTAATCACAAAGACGAGGATAAGCTAGCTAATTATAAGGTAGACCCCATCAATGCTCACCATGTTATCGTGGGCTATATACCAAATGGAAAATTTCATATTAGTTTGGACCTTTCCACTTTGATCTATTTTATTCACCTAGATGTCATTATTCATTAAGCCAATTAGGTCTAGATCAAGAGATCGCTTCTCAGGTACTCGATTGATCTCTCCATTCTAGACGCTGTTCATAATGCTCATAGTTGCACTGGCAATTTGGCACCTAAATATTCATATATGCACATAAATACTTATATTTCAACTTGTTTAATGAGTAAATGATACTGTTATAACTACATGATGTTTGCCTTCCATGATGTTCATGGAGTTTGGTCTGCCAATAGTCATTTTGCTTTTTTTTTTATCTCTTTGTTTGTAACTATCCCGTAGACGAGGTCATCAATGAAGACCTGTGGAGGTTTGTCTATCGGGTCGTCGATGATCAAATCGGTGGTGCTAACTTTGGGTTCAGGTTTCCAACTTGTTCAATGACCTCGGTTTGTTATTCTGTCGAAAGAATAAAGACGGTGGTCAGCGTTTATTTATTTGGTTTTTCTTCAAAAAACTTTTTTCAGGTGCTAGATCAAGTAGGTTAATGTCTCTTATAGGTTGTGTTTAGTTCATACCAAAATTGGAAGTTTGATTAAAATTGGAATGATATGATGGAAAAGTTGTAAGTTTGAAGAAAAACTTTGAAACTAAACACGGCGATAGTATCTCTTGTAGCATTCTGAGATATGGAGGCCGAGTTTAGTTCTAATTTTTTTCTTCAAACTTTCAACTTTTCCATCGTATCAAAATTTTTCTACACACAAGTTTCCAACTTTTCCATCGTGTCGTTCCAATTTCAACAAAACTTCCAATTTTGTTGTGAACTAAGGGTGTGTTTAGTTCACGTCAAAATTAGAAGTTTGATTGAAATTGGAACGATGTGACAGAAAAGTTGGAAGTTTGTGTGTGTAGGAAAGTTTCGATGTGATGAAAAAGTTGGAAGTTTGAAGAAAAAGTTGGGAACTAAACCAGGCCTAAACACACCCGGAGTCTCTTTGTCCTATTTTGATAAATATTTTCTTTCTATTCCTCAAAATGGTACAACTGTTATCGACCTCACTTATAATCCATCCTAAGGCTGAGTTTGAGAGGAGCGAAAAGTTGATACGTAAATTGATATGAGCCATTAGCATATTATTAATTAAGAGTTAATTGTTTCAAATTTAAAAATAAATTAAAACAATTTTTAAGTAACTTTACTATAGATTATTTTTTAAAAAACCGCAGCCTTTCAAGAGTTTGGAAACATGCGCAGAGAAAACAAGAAATTTTCTCACCATTTCTTGCTCACTCCAACTCTACCCAACACGGGAAAAAAAAAGATATAACTACATTTTCATCAACTCAGAAATGAAACCGCGTTGGACTACAAAACTACAAGGCTCATGTCCAACCTGCTTTTTTCCCCCTCTTTTTGAGAGGGTGTATATGTACAGTACTCCTACGTACCGTGTGGGCAAGTGCTTTGAGTTGATTGGCCGGCCACTACCTGGCAAAGCAACCCAGATAAATCCACTCTCACCTCGACGCGGTGATTTCTGACACGCCCGCACGCCGCAGCTGCGCGTCTCCCCCAACCCACACGCACACACGGTTGCGTCGCCGCTGCACCCAAACTCAGCTTGTTTTGCCGGTAAAACGACCCAAATCCGCGGTCCCTCCCGCGCCTCCTCCGCCCGCTGCCCACCACGCCGCGTGTTATTATAGCCACCACCTCTCACTCACCTCACTCCACTCTCACTCTCACACTCTCGCGCACGCGGTCGAACACCTTGGCAGCAAACAGCAGCAGCAGCAGATGATGCCGCACTCCGGCGTGGTGGACGCGGCGGCGAAGGGGGTGAAGCTGGGGGGCGGTGGTGGCGGGGCGCTGATGGTGCGCCGGGTGGCGAGCGGCAAGCTCCTGTCGGCGTCGTCGCACCTGCTGTTCCGGGCAACCATCCTGGCGACGCTCTGCCTCGTCTGCCTCTTCACCGTGCACTACCCGTCGCTGCTGTCCCACTCCTTCCACCTCTCCTCCGCCGCCGCCGCCGCGAACGGGAAGCACAGGGCGGCGTCGCGGTCGTCGCACCGGAGCTTGCTTGGGTCGTCGGCGGCGGTGGCGTATGGGGGCGCGGCGTGGGAGAAGGAGGTGAGGAGGAGCGCGGCGCCGAGGAGGGACGGGGGCTTGTCGGTGCTGGTGACGGGCGCCGCCGGGTTCGTCGGCGCGCACTGCTCGCTGGCGCTCCGGGCGCGCGGGGACGGCGTGGTGGGGCTCGACAACTTCAACTCCTACTACGACCCGTCCCTGAAGCGGGCGCGGCAGCGACTGCTGGCGTCGCGCGGCGTCGCCGTGCTCGACGCCGACATCAACGACGCCGCGCTGCTGGAGCGGCTGTTCGACGCGGCGCGCTTCACGCACGTGCTCCACCTCGCCGCGCAGGCCGGGGTGCGCTACGCGATGCGCGCGCCGCAGACGTACGTCGCGTCCAACGTCGCCGGCCTCGTCAGCGTCTTCGAGGTCGCCGCCAAGCACGCCGACCCGCAGCCGGCGATCGTGTGGGCGTCCTCGTCGTCGGTGTACGGGCTCAACACCGACGCGCCCTTCTCCGAGGAGCACCGCACCGACCGGCCGGCGTCGCTGTACGCGGCGACCAAGAAGGCCGGCGAGGCCATCGCCCACGCGTACAACCACATCTACGGCCTCTCCATCACCGGCCTCCGCTTCTTCACCGTGTACGGGCCGTGGGGCCGCCCCGACATGGCCTACTTCTCCTTCGCCCGCAGCATCGTCGCTGGCGAGCCCATCACGCTGTTCCGCACCGCCGACGGCGCCGACGCGCGCCGCGACTTCACCTACATCGACGACGTCGTCAAGGGCTGCCTCGGCGCGCTCGACACGGCCGGCGAGAGCACCGGCACCAAGTCCGGCAAGAAGCGCGGCCCGGCGCCGCTCCGCGTCTACAACCTCGGCAACACCTCGCCGGTGCCGGTCACCCGCATGGTCGCCATCCTCGAGAAGCTCCTCGGCAGGAAGGCGAACAAGCGCGTCGTCACCATGCCCAGCAATGGCGACGTGCCGTTCACCCACGCCAACGTCAGCCACGCCGCGCGCGACTTCGGCTACCGCCCGGCGACCCCCCTCGACGCCGGCCTCCGCCGCTTCGTCGACTGGTTCGTCCACTACTACAAGCTCGACACGGCCAAGATCGCCAAGGGCAAGAGGAAATCCATGGCCATGTCCGCCGCGTCGTGACGTGTCCACCCAATTGTCCTTGGAGGCTAGCACTCGTCCTGCAACTTTTTTCAGTGCTAATTTGTTTAAAAGATTGCTGCTTTGTTTCTCCATGATGGATGCAATCAACCATGCTGAATTTTGCTTATGCTGCTTAAGCAAAATCCATGGCTAGTAGAGAGAAAAAGAAATGGACTGGAGTATAGATAAGATGACAGAGCAAAAAAAGGAAGGAGCCAGGGCAGAAGAAGAAAGATGATGTCACTGGAATCCTTCTGGTTTAGAATATTTTCCTCTGAACTTATTCTTTTCAGTTAATTACCATCTTGTTCTTGTTCATTTGGTCTCATTTGGTGTGATTCCTGAATGATCATGCCAGCAACAAGAACACAAGATGCTGTAGTGGGTGTAAATCCAAGCAGCTTCAGGCTGCCATAAAAAAATTTATATATATACTTTAAATTTTGGCGGTGGACTTTGCTGCGATTTCTTTCTGCATTTATAAAACCTGTCCAGTTTTGGGCACTGTTCTCTGAACCAGAGCATCTTACTGCATGTGGAGTGTTTGTGAATTCTGTGTGTGTGTGACTTGCTTCTGATTTCTCTGGCACTATCTGTGAGAGATTGGTAGTGGAATTGGATAGTTGGTGATGGAATGGAATACAATCGTTTGGGAATCGATGCTGCTGCTTTTTAGATAGCATCCATGAAAGGTTGAAGGGAGCATTGAGCATTTTGGTACAGTGACTGACTACAGTGATGCAGCCCCCAGTTCATGCTGTTCAGAAAGCAACTCCTGATGATGTGTCCATCATCAAAAATCTCCTACCAAATACAGTAATTCTTGAGCTTCAAGCTGTTTTGTATGTTCATTTCGGCCGTGTTTAGTTCCAAAGTTTTTCTTCAAACTTCCAACTTTTCCATCACATCAAAACTTTTCTACACACATAAACTTCCAACTTTTTCGTCACATCGTTCCAATTTCAACCAAACTTCCAATTTTGGTGTGACTTCACTATCTATATTTAACATTCTGACTGATGCATTAGTGTGAATTCTGAATTCATAAGGGGGAAGTGTGAGTGGAAGATTGCTGCAACGTGTGTACACATTGGATTCCTGCTTAACCCAATTTGCTCTTGTCCACTCCTGCCTTCACAGTTCACACCATTGATCTTAGATAAGCTTAGCTAATGTGTTCATGTCATGCTGAGGCAATCCTGTGAAGTGTGAAGAGAAATGCATTGGGCATGGCTAGCAAGATAGGACCACAGAGAATAATACATTATGCACAAAAAAACTACATGGAGCCCTCTGAAAGTCTGATGAGCTGTGGTGATGATGAAGAACAAAATCTGCCTGCCTGCACATCTTTTTCAGCATATGAAAAATGGAATATCTATCAGCAGCTGGCCAGGGAGACAATTTGGACCTGATGCTTGCCATCCTTAAAAATACTAATAAAAAAAGTTCAGGTTTGGCATTGTGCTCCAGGACAATCACTTTATTAGTTGAAGTAACTGAACATGTTATTCACCTGCTTCATGTCAAAAAGGGTCCTGTTTTTATTACAGCATTACTTCTATAACCTATCACATTTCAACTAAACTACTCAATAAGGCCAATAAATATCTAGTATCACCTCTTGAACTGCATTGCTCACCGGATTGGTACTACCGATCTAGCCTGGCTGTTACTGTATCATAAGCTTGGTCCCCATGGACAAGGTGAGCTGGAGAAATTAGCCAGTCATTGACTAGTATAAGCATAAGGTTAGGCAAATATTGACCTCATCCAGACTTTGGTCCCCTTTGTGCCTCACCACTTGCAAATTTCTGACCCTTTTTCACAGGTAGGAGACAACTTATGTACTGCTGAGATTGTTGCTTGTCTTTTCCTTTAACTGCATCCAGTCTAAATTGATTTCCCTCATGTGCTGTTCATCCTAAATCTCATGTGATAAATTGGTTGTCTGTACCTCGGCACTGTACATATGGAGCCAGATTGTGAAATTGTGGCCAGCTCCCTGACCCATTGATCATCAAAGAATTGGTTAATGGATTTAACTCTGTCTGTACTGCTGCTACTACAGTACCACTACCTGTGCCTTCCAAACAGCATTCAAAGCTCACCTTTTCTTTTCTTAACCATTTGCTGGGCAGGATGAATCTCATATGTTAACTGAAAATGACTCGTACATCTTTGATCGCATCCTCTCTGTATCCGAGAAGCCTAGTTGCAAACTACATATCTTTCAGAAAAGAAACATCGTACTAGGAGTTGCTTTTCTGAAGCTTTAATTCTTTTTTATTAGCTAATTTCAGGATTCCAGCTTCCAAGATCACCATTTGGACCTGCACTAGTTGAGTGGACAGTGGCAAAAGCTAAGATTTGGAGCCTTTTCTTTTGGTGATATTGTAGTACACCTATGCTCTCTTGCTCACTCATCTTGTACCATTATCTCGATCACAAGTTTCAAGCCATGCATCGATCGGTGCAGGAATGGGCAGGCTCAACCTTTCGCTTTCCCTGATCGATCTTGGATCAAGGGACACCACTGTCTGATGAAAAAGGATATCCTAATTCATCATCTACAGTTTTAACTATCTAGATGAGCCACCTTCCATTTTACCTTTCGCTTTTGCTGTCTTGCTATCTTCTCTTTTTTTTTCATCTTTTTTTTTTCTTTTGTAAAGATAACCCACGTTGCAATGACTTCTTCTAGACGTTCATGACTTCAGACTTCAGAGTTCAGCCCCATCTGTCAATTACGGAGCTAAAATGAGTGTGTTTTCCTGCAGGACGATTTCTTTTTTCTGAAACATGACAGTAATATTTTTTTCAGGTTTTTTTTCTCTTGAACCCTAATCTCTGAAACAATGATGGTTCGTCTGTACAATGGAGTCCATTTAGCCAATGAAATAAAAAGCAAAGTGATCAGTCAGACCGACCTCCCAGATCTCCCAACTCTGAATCAAAATTGACTCCGTGAGATTGTGCTGTCCATCCTAACTGTAAATTGAAAACAATGAACATGATGCATCTACTTCTGCACTCTGAATCTCTGGAGGAAAACCTGGGGAGTTAATGAGATCTCAACTGTCACACACTTGGTAGTTAGCAGAGGCCAGCAAAGCCAAGCCAAGCCAAATTTTCCCTCCTTTGAACACATAACCAAACTCATCTACCATCACAGCCTGTTCTGTATGTCCTAACTGGCCTCTACTGAATGTCTGAATCTGCATTGGTTATTCATGTTTCTGTCCCTTGAAAACGAAGCGACATCATGAATCACAGAGCATATGTCAACGCAATCAGGAGACCTTTTGGTGGCCATGATTCTTGGAAGATGCAGCCTTGATATCTGTCACTCACTAACTCAGTCACTCACTGATCAGTCAGAAGCCACTACTGGTAGTGAGAGGAGTTGACTGTGAGAAAGTAAGGCTCAGTGCTGTGGCTCACCGTCGTTTTCACCTGAGATCATCATCATCATCACCAGGTGTCCGTACGCCGGAGGCGCCGCCGCCGCGGTGACGAGGCCTTGGCACGATTGCAAGGTGGAGATGGGCCGGCTGGGCCTGACCGTGGCTGATTTGACGGCCCAGATTGGGTTTGGGCCTCCATGGTATTAGCGTGGCGCGCAATAAGTTCACTTTGGGTCCCTCTATTTGTCGCCCAGTCCAATTTATGTCCCTTGCTAACCGGGTAAACAAGTCCCTCGGCGGTTTTGAAGACGATTTTGACTGACGTTGCGCTTACGTGGCTTGTTTGACTAGGTCTTCGTCCCACGTGGCATTGATGTGGCGCTTACGTGTCAATTATATCTCGGAAAAATAATAAAAAGCGTGGTCCCACATGTCAGCGGTACACAAAAGTATTTTATAAATGGTGGGGCCCACGTGGGCCCCACATGTCAACCTCACACCTCTCTTCTTCCCTCCACCTTCTCTCACTTCTTCCTTTCCCCTCTCTCTCTCTCCTTCCCGGGCTGCCGACGGCGCGGGTGGGCGGCGGAGCAGGCGAGCTCCGGCGGCGGCGGCGGGATGCGGCGGCGAGCGTGGTCGGCGCCGCCCCCTGACCGAAGCGCGTTGGAGGCAAAGAAGGTTTCGAGGGAGGAGCAGTTGGCGATGGCGTCGGGGACGGGCCATGGCTGGATGGGGAGGTTGTCTATGCTGAGATACTGCAGTGAGGTGAGGCCAAGGAGGAAGTCGGGTGGTAGGGAGGTGAAGGCGTTGCCGTCGAGGGCGAGGCGGGTGAGGGAGGCCATCCCGGCGAGGGAAGGGACGGCGCCGGCGAGCGCGTTCCCCTGGAGCTGCAGCGCGGTGAGCGAGGTGAGGGAGGAGAGCGTGCCGGCGAGCGCCCTGTCGGCGAGGTTGAGCTCCGTCACCTTCCCCGACCCGCCCCGCTCGCAGGTGACACCCTCGAAGCTGCACACGTTGTCGCCATCCCACCCTAGGGCCGGGACCGACTTGGCCAGGTCGTGGATGGCGTCCGCTTCGGAAGCCGACTCGGCGACGCCGACGGCGGCAACGACGAGGAGGAGGAGGAGGGTTAGGAGGTGGGGGAGGCGGTGGGGGATTTGGGGCGAAGAGAGAGAGAGAGAGAGGGTATTTTTGGGGAGGAGGAAGGGTTGGTTTGGCCGATTCCGACGTCGCGGCGCTCGCCGACTCCGACCGCCCGGCGTGCGCACTTCTCCGGTCACCCGCCGCCAACGCCGCGCTTTCCGCGGCGCTCCGGTCGGGGGCGGCACCGACCACGCCCGCCGCCGCCGCCGGAGCTCGCCTGCTCCTCGGCCCACCCACGCCGTCGGCAGCCCGGGAAGGAGAGAGAGAGGGGAAAGGAAGAAGAGAGAGAAGGGAGAGGGAAGAAGAGAGGTGTGAGGTTGATGTGGGCCCCACCACTTATAAAATATTTTTGTGTACAGCTGACATGTGGGACCACGCTTTTTATTATTTTTTCGAGATATAATTGAAACGTAAGCGCCACGTCAATGCTACGTGGGACGAAGACCTAGTCAGACAAGCCATGTAAGCGCCACGTCAGCCAAAACCGCATTCAAAACCGCCGAGGGATCTCATTTGCCTGGTTTTAGTAAATTGAGGGATGAGTCGTACCCGGTTTTACGGTTAAGAGACGAAAATCGGACTAGGCGACAAATAGAGAGACCCAAAGTGAACTTATTCCGCGTGGCGCCGCCTTCGTCGTCGTCCTAAATCGTACGGTCATTCGTCCGTAGCAGCGACAAGTCTACACCGACTGGGTTCTTTTATACTTTAGTCCTTCCTAAAACTTACAAATAATCCCTCAAAAAAAATATTGCTCTGCGTTCATGTAAGAAAAAAATATTTACATTCTAATCATTCTCAGATCCATTTACAAACAAATCTGTCACTGGTATCAATCCCTTTTCACACCAATAACATATCTCAGGAGAACGAGGATATCAACGAGACATTAAATCTCGGCGTCAATAACATTACACTAAGGCCTCTCACGGTGCACTGAGCTGGCGCGGAACCTCGTTACGCCAGCTCAGTTTTTGGTCGACGTGGAGGGAGGGACCGCGCCTTTGCTAGGTTTCCCGTCCCCTACCTAAGCGGCGCAATACTTCGTTGCAGCGAGGGCGCGAGCGGCCGGGGAAAAGGGAGGCACGCGCGCTGTGGGCATTTCTTCGCTGCCCCATGCCCTCGCGCCGAATCCACCTGTAGAAAACCCCAAATCGCCCTCCAAAGAAATCATTGACGAACAGAAATCCCCCCAAACGCGTAGGAAAATCCCCCCAAACGCCCACCACAGATTTGGTAGAGAAAAGCAAAGCAACAAAATTTCTCTGAGTCATTTGGTAGAGAAAAGGAAGGGGGAAATCAGTGAGGTGGAGAAGCCGTCCGCTCCCGCCGCCGGCCGCCCGTCGGCGTCGCGCCGTCCATTCCCGCCGACCCTGGCCAGATCCAACGCTAAGCCGCCCCACGCTCTGGCTGCTCGCCGCCACACCGCACCAGCAGCAGCCGCCGCCGGGGACACCTCACGCTGTCGCCACGGACACCGACGCCCTACTCCCTCGCCCGCATGCCGGTGAGCCCGATGTAGCTGGTGACCAACCTCCTTCGGCGAGCGAGCGGCATCAGCACGAGCCGGGGACGCCTCCCGCCGCCGCGCCAGCCGCCACCGCAGGGGACGCCTCCCGCCGCCCCGGGAGGAGAGGTAGGCGACGAGATGGAGCGGAGGAGGAGAAGAGGTTGAGAAAGAAGGGCGAGGAAGAGAGAAGCTCTGGAGGGGTAGGTGAGGAAATAAATTTCCTTGCGCTTCACCGGCTGCTCGCCCTAGGGTCACGCCCCACTGTGGGCTTTATTTCCTTCATCCGTGTCTCCATTCAATTAAGCCACATACATATGGGTGCTTGCACTGTGGGGTGACTGTCTTTGGACCAATTTTTTGTGTTAGGGGTATGGGTCCCATAGTTTGCACTGCGAGAGGCTAAGGCTGCGTTCCTCCTCCCGGCGCGCAAAACGAAACACACGTTATTGCATAATTAATTAAGTATTAGCTAATTTTTTTAAAAAAATAGATAAATTTATTTTTTTAAGCAACCTTCATATAGAAACTTTTTACAAAAAGCACACCATTTAGCAGTTTGAAAAGCGTGCGCGCGGAAAACGAGGGAGAGGGGTTGAGAACTCGAAGGAAAGAACACAGCCTAAGAAAAGAGTCTATTTGTAAAATATTTTTTTTTCTAAAAATTTATTTATAAAATAACTTTTTATAGAGGGCTACTGTATAATACAACTCCATAAAACATCCAGTCTACAGTCTACCATGCAACAAACCGAATGACGGAAGGATGATGAATCACTGCAGTGGTAGCTCGACACCTGTAACCCAAACATGGTGTTCGTCCGCTTCCTCCACGTCTCCTCCTCCAGCAGCAGCAGCTGTAGCAAGTAGTACACCTCACCTCCTCCTCCTCCTCCTCCTGCGTCGCCGCCTCGCACTCGCAGGTTTTCGCTGCGGCGAAGCAACCAACCAATCCCCAAAGAGAGCGAGAGAAGAAGCGAAGAGGAAAGTCTCAGGACCGAGAGAGATAGGCGAAATCCCGCTGATCGAGTTCGCGTTCTTGGGAAATTTTTCTGGGAGTTCTTCGAAGAATCCGCCACTGACCACGACGACGGATTGGAGGCGTGGAGTGCCAAAGATTCGCTAGATCGGGGGGCCTCTTCCTAGTAGGTTTTGGTTCAAGATCGAGAGGAAGCAGTTTGTGAGGGTTTCCGGTGCCCGATACTTTTTTTTTTCCGGAAGCTTCGGCGGCGGCGGCGGTGGTGTTGATGCGCTGCGTCTCCGGCGCCACTGCTGCGGTCGGCGGCGCCGGTGGAGATTGCAGCGACTCAGATCGCGGCGGTGCCGTGCCGGGGTTTCAGTTTCATCTGCTGTGGCTGTGGTTGGGGATCGGTGGTGGGGAGTGAGCAGATGGAAGAGGATTGCACGTACTGTTCATGCCACCACTTGGATTCTCCTCAAATTAGAGAGTAATCAAGAGCAATCTGGTGTTTCTGAGAGCTGGATCGCTCCAAGCAGTCACAGAATCGGGAGATTTTTTTGTTTAGGTCTAGATGTAGTATTTTGTGTTTTGAGGATTGATTTGTGCATCTGAGTGTTTGGAAATCGGGGTTACGGCGCACCGGCCTCGCGCAGTTGCCGGCGCTGGGGATGATATGCTAGAGAGGGGATATGTTGCATGAGAAAGAATTCAAGCATTTGTTGGGAGAATCTGTTGAGCTGCTTTGCTGGGGATTCAGTTTTGTGATTGATCTTCCAGGAGGGGCACAATGTCCAGGTGTTTCCCATTCCCGCCGCCTGGGTATGAGGCGAAGCCTAGGAGTGAGCATAATGATCTGCTAAAGAAGGTGCATATGATTTTGTGCCTTTCAAATCACTTGCAGAAATGGCCCTGTTCTTGCCCAAACTAAATGCTGCTAGTACATGGTAGAGTAACTAGGCAGTGTATGAGTTCCCTTTAAACAAGAAAATAGGGAATATAGGGCCTATTTGGTTCTCTACCCTACCAATTAATTGGTAGTACCAAAATCTAGGCAAATTTTGGCACTACCAATTTTTTGTAGGGCAAAGTTAGCTAATCTATGTTTGGTTTAGGGCCGTTTTGGTTTGATACCAAAATGTTGCCATACCAATGTTTTGGTAGTTTAAATAGTAAATGTGATGATTTGGTTTAAAGCCAAATATTTGGTAATGCCTATACTCAATTTGGCACAATTCTAGAATGTTCTTCACCATAATTTGAAATTTGGCTCTCAATTGGCATCAATCCAAAGACACTCATTTACAATTCTACCCTACCAAAATATTGGTAGTGCCAAAGCTTGCCTAGAGTTTGGCACTACCAATATATTGGTAGGGTACTAAACCAAACAAGCCCTTAATACCAATATAAAGCCAAAATTTAGTATGAGAGTGAAGAAGATTCTAAAATGTAGCCAAATTGAGCGTGGGCACTACCAATTGTTTGGCTTCAATCTAAACTAGCATGTTTACTATTAAAGTTACCAAAATTTTGGTAGGGTCACGTTTTGGCTTCAATCCAAAACGACCCATATTCTCCATCTGTTGGAGCCATAGATTACCTGTTAAATAGATTTGCCATTTTTATGAACATTGCTTTGACAAATGTTTGCATCTATGAGTAGTTAGCATTTCTAGATTTAGTCAATTTTTATTCTTTGCTCATATGAAAAGGTTCCACTGTAAAGCCACTTACTGGGTACTTAGGGCCTATTTGGTTCTCTACCCTACCAATTAATTGGTACCAAAATCTAGGCAAATTTTGGCACTACCAATTTTTTGGTAGGGCAAAGTTAGCTAATCTATGTTTGGTTTAATACCAATATAAAGCCAAAATTTAGTATGAGAGTGAAGAAGATTCTAGAATGTAGCCAAATTGAGCGTGGGCGCTACCAATTGTTTGGCTTCAATCCAAACTAGCATGTTTACTGTTAAAGTTACCAAAATTTTGGTAGGGTCACGTTTTGGCTTCAATCCAAAACGACCCATTATTAACTTGTTACTAAGCATTAGAACTGTTTTTCAAAAAGAAAACGTAATATTGCAATTTAAATTCAGCAGAAAAGTAGCATCTCCCCAGTTTCACCAGAGGCTAAAATAATAGTTGAAGTGTACTCACAGCTATGCTTCTTTTAATATCACAAACCAACAGGAGCAAAATACCTGTGCCACCTTTGTTTCCAGTGATGATTCTCTCATGGATGTTTCCTTATATATCATTTGTTTTCACAGCTTTCTGTCGATATGTTGGCTAGTATATACTATGATAAACCTTTTACCATGTTGTTTTTACCTCAGATATGCTTCTGTATTTACAATGTTCTTATTGTCGTATTTGAAAAAAACATGTTTGTGCTACCATTGCCTTTTTTTAGTTTCTCACTTAACTGGGTAGGCTTTTACTAAAGTGTGTATATTTTCTCTGAAATGCATTCTACTTGGAGTAAGTTCCCTCTGTGGATCTTGGTTTAGATATTAAATTCTGTTTTATATTTATGTATTGCCATATCATCCACCACCAAACCTGGTATACTATGTGCATTCCGATTTAGGTTCCTTCATTAATGATAAAAATTATGATTAACTGGTTACTAGGAAAATGGTTTGCGGTAAACATGTGAATTTCATGTTTATTTCTTCTGCTATATGTCAATCAATGTTGAATATGCACCACGTTTTTTCCAGGGAAAACACAAGGAGAAGAAGCACAAAAAGGAAAGTAAGGAAAGGAGAGGACGAGAAAGAAAAGAAAAGAATAGCGATCGTAGGAAAGATAAGCACAGCAAGAAGCACAAAAGAGAGAAGCACAAAGATAAGAGAAAGAACAAGGATGATGATAGATACACAAATCAAACTTTGGAAAAAGCAACTCTGAGGAATGCAGATCTCGACAATGGAAGGCTTAAAGAAAAAATACAACACGAAGCTGTCAAAGATATTAAACCTGCAAATGAGTTGGTTACCCAAATCCTAGATCAAGAAGGTCATGCAAACCACACAAGCAGTAGTACTGGCAAGTTGCTCCCTAGTACCAAAAGCTTTGGTTCTGCAGGTTCTAAAGGGAAGAAAAGATCTTTGAGCAGTGTGATTGAGAAATCCAGACAACCCACACATCTCAATCATGAGATGATAGAGAAGAAATATAGTGTTGCTTATGACTGTGCTAGCCTTGGGTCTAAACCTCGATTACAGAATGGGAGGAGCCTTCAAGTTGGATCTGCCGAAAAGCACTCGAATACAAATAGAAAGCACAGTCATAACAGAATGGACCGACCACAAAGAAATACTGAAGGTACAAGTACTATTACCACGGTTGTATCAGGTGCAGAGAGGGCTCCAAATGGCGTAGTTACACCAAGTCCAAATTCCTTGCTGAGAACAGAACAAGTGGGCCAAGATCCAGTGGTTTCTTCCCATTTTCCTTCTAGAAATAGTGACAGCATGAGCCCCAGAGGGCTGATGGAGATCAGGAATGGAAATAATAGCGATTTCCAGATCAGAATGGATCGGCAATCAGTACGCAGTAAAGCTGGAGCAGTTAAAAGGAAGGGAAAGACTAAAGAGCTGAAAAGTAATGATCACAAGTATGTTGAAGACAAAGATAGGGATCGGCTTGCAAATGAAAGAAAGACTAAAGACAGAATTGAAGAGAAAGAAAAGGTGGGAAAAGTTGTTGTAAGTAAGCAGGAATGCAAAGAACTTGATTCTCTTGGCGCAAGCAAGAATAAGATAGATGGTTTGCAGCGGCAGTTGGGTCAACTTAATGAGGAGTTCACTTCTGATGATGTCAAGAAAAGGAAAGATGCCGAGGCTAACAGTTCTCTACTTGGTAAGATCCTCTTCCTTATGAGTGCCCAAAGAGCATTTCTTTTCTTGTTATCGATAACTGAATCATTTGATGTTTGACACATAATAGTATGTTTGAATAGTCCACTAGATATTATTTTAATTCCATTTACTCTCACAATATGTTGGCAGTGGCAGAGCATAGTATGCGAATGAATAAGTTGCCAAGGATATCTCCTACTGATCCTCGTACAAATGGTGAAATATTGGACTATTCTCAAGGGAGTGGACCTAGTTCACCTGTTGGGACGAATACTTATAAGGCAGATAGATTTCAAGATAGCAAGGAATGCTACAATAACGGCGTCACTGGTTCTCATCATCTCAAGGAACTGAAAACTTCGGTTTCTTCATCCAACCATGGAAGTAGCCAAGTCTCTCCGAAACCGCCTCATCCTGATGCCAAGTATCTGGGCCAAGTGTACTCTATACCAGCAATGGATGACTGGTCTAAGTGCATTGATCAAAGCTGGCTATTGTCCAGGGGTAGTGTTGACTGGAAATCAGAGATATTGGAGGCTGCAGAATCACCCCGAGTCTGGGCTGAAGCGCGACTGATCGATTCCGCAGACGTAGTTGCCTTGCCTTACGTTGTTCCCCTATAATAATGTGGTACTCCCATCATGATGCACATGGCGAAAAACTTCCAGATTTTGTGATGTGATCTGGAACTCGCCTGTTCGGTTTGCTTCCTGCTGGCTGTACACATGAGGTCATTCAAAATAATTCTAAATTCCCATCGCATCGCCTAACGAAGATCGAAGATCAGAGTGTTATACATCAAACAACTTCTCAGCTGGGAGTGTTACTCCTGCATTGCTCTACAATTTTTGGGTCATGTAATTTGATCTTTCACAGAATCTATAGCGAGGTAAGAAAGCGAAACCGGCGCCGCAAAATATCTTGAAACTCTGCTTGTTCATATCCTGTTCTTCTGATTAAAGAACAGCTTAGCTTGAGATTGTTCTGTTCACTTGCAATTTGCAGGAGTAACAAACGCTTATTTTTGCATTTCTGTATCTTACTATCCTTTCTACATAAATACTGTGATTATCTGAACAAGATTCCACGATGGAGTGTCTGGACTTCTGGAGATGTTTATCGATGTGATTTCTGATTCTGTGATATATGAATTGATTCATGTGAAACTCCAATAAAATCGGAAAGCTTCGAACAAGCATTAAAATCCAGCACACACTCTATTGGGCCGGTCTCTGCAAGCCCAAATTCAAATTAGCCTGCAAGGTTACGTGCCTGTAATTGAATCTCTCCCATATTTTTTTGCTAAATTTTGTTTCGTTTTGAATTCAAAGCTTATCTAAAACTATCTCTTCCTAAAAATCCTCAGACCGAAGTGATCAACAACCTACCAATAAAATCATAACAACTTAACAAAACACGGAAAAGAAAAGAAAAAAAATAAATTAAAAAAAAAAAGCAGAGATGTCTTCTTCCTCCCTCGCCGCCGCCGCCGCCGCCGCCTTCCTCCTCGCCGTCGCCATGTCGTGCCATTGCCATGGTGATGATCACCTCACCTCGCGCCTCGACGATTTCATGGCGTTGAGCTAATGCCTAATGGCTTCTGTTGCTTTGCATTGCAGTGGCGCGAGGGTGGGGCGGACTCGGCGTCAACTACGGCACGGTCGCCGACGACCTCCCCACGGCGGCGCGCTCCGTCGAGCTCCTCCGCGCGGCGGGCGCGGGGGCGGTGAGGATCTACGACGCGAACGCGGACATCCTGCGCGCGCTCGCCGGGACGGGCGTGCCGGTGTCCGTCACGGTGCCGAACGACGCCATCCCGTCGCTCGCCGCGGCGGCGTCGCCCGCCGCCGTGGACGAGTGGGTGGCGCGCAACCTCGCGCCGCACATCCCGGCGGCGCGGGTGCTGTGCCTGCTCGTCGGGAACGAGGTGCTCTCCGACCGCGCCACCGCGGGGACCGCGTGGCCCAGCCTCGTGCCGGCGATGGCCAACCTCCGCCGCGCGCTCTCCGCGCGCGGTCTCGGCCGCGTCAAGGTCGGGACGACGCTCGCCATGGACGCGCTCGGTACCTCCTACCCGCCGTCCGCCGGCGCGTTCCGCGACGACATCGCCGGCGCCGTCGTGCGGCCGCTGCTCGAGTTCCTGAACGCCACGGGCTCGTACTACTTCGTCGACGCCTACCCGTACTTCGCCTGGGCGGCGAACCACCGCTCCATCTCGCTGGACTACGCCCTGTTCCAGGGCGAGGCGAGCACCCACTACGTCGACCCGGGCACGGGCCTCACATACACCAACCTGTTCGACCAAATGCTCGACGCGGTCGTCGCCGCCATGGCGAGGCTCGGGTACGGGAACGTGAAGCTGGCGGTCTCGGAGACCGGGTGGCCGACCGCCGGCGACGCGGACGAGCTCGGCGCGAACGTCCACAACGCCGCCACCTACAACCGCAACCTCGCCGCGCGGATGGCCAAGAACCCCGGCACGCCGGCGCGGCCGGGAGCCGAGATACCGGTGTTCCTCTTCTCCCTCTACAACGAGAACCGCAAGCCGGGGCCGGGCACCGAGCGGCACTGGGGTCTCTACTACCCGAACGCGACGTGGGTCTACGAGGTGGACCTCGCCGGGCGGCGGCCGGCGGCGTCGTACCCGCCGCTGGCGCCCACGCCGCCGGCGCCGGACCAGGACGGGACTCCCGTGTGGTGCGTTCTTGCCGGCGGCGGCGGCGAGGCGGCGAACGAGACGGCGGTGGCGGCCGCCGTGGAGTACGCGTGCCGGCAGCGGAGCGGGACGTGCGCCGCCATCGAGGCCGGCGGCGAGTGCAACCAGCCGGACACGCTCGCCGCGCACGCGAGCTACGCGTTCAATGCGTATTGGCAGCTGTTCAGGAAAGCTGGTGGCACCTGCTACTTCAACGGCCTTGCAGAGAAGACCACCATAGATCCAAGTAAGTTACTGCTCCCTCCGTTTCTTGTTATAAATCGTTTTGAATTTTTTTAGCTAAACTTTTTTTAAGTTAGATTTGTATAAAAAAATATAGCAGCATTTCAAACATAAAGAAAATATATTATCATTATATATTCAATGTTACATTTAATGATGCTAATTCGGTGTTTTAAATGTTGTTAAAATTTTCTATAAAATTCCTCAAACATAAAGAAGTTTGACTATGAAAAAAGTCAAAGTTATTAATTATCCATTTGTGTTATTCAAAACAAGCAAACTAATCTATAGAAATTGGTGATTGCTATATTGATATTGTTTGCTGTTTAAGCTAATCTTCAAGTTGGTGATTTGCTAGTTAGATTGGCATTACTGTTTTAGATTTGTGCTCATTATGGTTAGTCGATGAAGTAGGTTAAATTCGGTGTTTATTAGTGAGGAGAAGGTTTTAATGTGTTAATGCCTTCTGCAAAACGTAAGGACCAATTGCAGTATCATAAAATAAAAATTATGGATCTTGAGGCTAAGAAACAAATATAGTTGAGCCTCCGGTGCCCATCACTCTTCACTGGGATGTTGGAAGCTGGAATGAGCACAGCTGCATCAATCTAACAGAATCATATAATTAGTGGCTGTTGCTTTCAACTAATATATAGATAGCTACATGTTTATTATCATGTACTGTATATTAATGCCGTGCCATCCACTGCTTCATTTCATAAATTCTTGTTGGAATGTGGCCAACTTGCAACCTGCAAATGTATGCTTGTATTTTTAATTTTGCAAAGGGCATGCCCAAAAACTAACTATGATGGATTTCCAATTGATCGAAACGGCCAACAGTCTATCAATTGATTTTAGCATTTTAGTTTAGTTTTAGTGTGATCCAATTTGCCTTGCACATTATTCTTGAAACCCTGCCTATTCCTAATTTCCTGTCAGTGGAAAGTATCTGCTGCAAAGCTCTGCTAATTAATGATTTCAACGTCTTTCCGCCTTCAATGAGATCAATCTAATTGCTGGCGCTCATGCATTAGTGCATTAGCTTGTTAGATAAAAGTGAAAAAAAAAACGCGAACGTTAGGAAAGGACCTAATATCAAATAATTAGAAGAAGTGATATCGTCTAGACCACCATCTTATGAAGCTAGCTGGAAAACTCCTGAACTTTTCTGTGTCTACCCAACAACTTACAATTTATATGCATGTCAGCCTTTGCACTCAGAAGTAAACATGCAAAACCATTTGTTAACCTGCAATGTGATCGCGCAGTTCCTAGCTTGGTGGAATTCAGAGTTTCAGCTCTAAACTGTGCTCAGAAGCAAAATGTATAGAAATTTTATCTTCAGTCTTTCACTCGTATGCTCTTATGTCATTGTCAACTATGGTACGACTAGATCTGCTATTTCCATGAACAATTTTTTGTCCTCTAGAGAAAAGGGAAAAAAGACCGGCAAGATATATTTTTTAAGATAATAGAATATAATATCCCGACAAGATATTTATCTTCCGTTTACATCCTTACTGGTTAATGATTGGTTGCTAATGTAGTAACAAGGGTGTGTTTTGCAGGCCATGGATCTTGCAAGTTCATTAGTTCTTTGGATTAGTTATATGCAAAAGAAGATTGACAGAGCACGATGACTGGATTAGGAGGAATGAAGGTCATTGCCTATATGACCTCAGATTAATTGTTCTACATGCCTCTGAAGCAAGCAAAGAATCACCTGTGATTGATCAGCTTCAAATTGATCTCAGTTTTTAACCAAGTTTTTTTATAACTTTTTTTAACCAAGTTAAATTTTGTTTCCTCATCTTTCTCCTCAAAAAGTAAAAGAAAATGTTAGTTCAAAACCCAAAATGAGTAGCTTTAATTATATGTCATTCACTTGGATTCAAGTTCTGCTTGTTTGGTAGATACCAGGATTACCCTTAGACATTGTTCGGTTAATCCCCAAGAGAAAAAGATTAGTGTGACTGATGGAAATTAATGTGGAATTATTCCTCTCTAAATTTTGCTCAATCCTCTTATTGATGGGATTAAACAATTCTCCTCAATCCTCTTATAATAAGAAAAGAGGAGTAAGGTTGTGCTAGTTTGTGCCTGTTGGGAGCCTATCCCTCCGGCACGAAAAACGAAATAGCTTATTATCGCATAATTAATTAAATATTAGCTAAAACTAACTTAAAAAATGGATTAATATAATTATTTAAGCAACTTTCCTATAATTTATTTTTGCAAAAAACATACCGTTTAGTAGTTTGAAAAGTGTGCTCGCAGAAAACGATGTAGATTAGTTGAGAACAACCCAAAAGAACACAGCTTAAGTCTGCTTTGCTTAGCAAAGTAACCGGACAATAACCGTATGTAAGGGAAACCTAGTTGATACGCAACTTTGACACAACCAAAATAACATAAACAAAACTACAAAAGCGTAGCATCAAAAACAAAATTGTGGGTGACCGTTCGTTGGTTGGAAGAGTAGGCAAATCAATCGAACAATTTTTTTGTACTTTACAAACATGGCCAAACAATCTCTGAAGAAACTTTGTCGTGAGCTGTTGCAACGTGACAAGACTCAAGCTGTCCTTGCCGGCTCCAATGGCTGTCCCCATGTTTCCTCCCCAATCACATGGAGAGTGATCTGATGCACGCTTTGTAGGGCCCCGATCCGACGGCCCTCGATCGTTGGCTGTTTGATATCCAACGGCCCGGATGGCGAGCAGGGTTCACAAATGCGACGATAACCGCTCAATTATTGCACTTGCAAATTTAGAAACCACTCGAACCGGTCAAATTTAAACTAAAAGGTTGACAAATTTTATCCGAAGTTAACCCTTTTTGGTCATTAATGGTTGCGAAAGAGTAATGTCATAATGCACTTTTAAAAGAATCTTTATTAAAATCTTGGTAAAAAATAATTTAACCATTGAATTCAATTAATGGTTGGTTGAAAATCAAGATTCAGTTATAATATACCACATCAGTTTTTTCAAATTTTTGTATGCGTATGATTTCCAAATACAAACAATGTGAGACGCACTTGATAGTGAAAGTGAGGTGGCAAACGTGTGACTATAGGGAAGCTTCTAGCTGGAGCAATTTCTTCTAGAATCAGAAGCTCCCTTAAACAGCCCAATTTTTAGTCTAAATTCTAAGAAATTATAATCGTAGAATCCATAAAATAAACTAAAAGTCATAAGCCAGAAAACCCAGGTTTTTCAGATTCTCAGAAGCTGGTTATCAACCAATTACTTCTCAGAATTTTAAACTCCCCAAACAGGCTCATAAATTCTTCTAATTATTTGGTTGCCCTATTTTGTTTTTAGATACGAAGAATGCAAAATCACGAGACAAAACACAAAGCAGGACACAGTCACACAGGCTACCTCACCAAATCGGCCGGAGCAAAGGATCCTCCCTTCTCTCTCTCTCTCTCTCTCTCTCTCTCTCTCTCTCTCTCTCTCTCTCTTTTGGCTGCCTGTCACGTGGGCCCCACCGTCACCGGTGAAAGAATCTTGACGGGTTAGTTACTTGGTTGGTTGGTTTGTTACCGCCTTTTTGACGCCCGCATCTCCGTCCATCGATCGATCAACCAACCAACCGACGGCCCAGATCTCACTCCACGCAGACCGCAGCATCACGAAAATGACCAAAAGCGAGGTGGTGGTGGGGCCGTGGGGGCCTTATCCCCCCCTCCTCGGTAACTTTCCCGCTGACGAATGGGGCCCACTTATGGTGGGCCCCGTGGGCCCCACGTGTCACTTTCTCCGGCACGGGGGTGGATGGAGTTAACGCAGTGCCGGGGCTCCTCTCGTGTCGTCTTCACCAAAGCGAACTCCTCACTCTCTCCTCGCTCTCGCCATTGCCGACCACTGAGAAAAGCTTCGAGCTCTCGCCGCCCATGGAGAGCGGCGCCCACAAGAGCAGAGGCGCCGCCGCCGCCGGTGAGCATCCCGTGCTGTCCGCATTGTGAAGTTTTGGTTCAATCTCTCTCTCTCTCTCTCTCTCTCTCTCTCTCTCTCTCTCTCTCTCTGTGGATGTGTCTGTTTGTCTCTAATGGCGTGGTGGTTGTGTGTTTGGTTTGTGCGCGCTGCAGGAGGAGGAGGAGGAGGGGAGGGGGCGAGCGGAGGAGGAGGAGGAGGGAACCACATGGTGTGCCACCTGTGCGGGTACCAGTACCCGAACGCGCACCCCAGCGCGAAGCAGCGGCGTGCGCACCGCAAGAACTGCGGCAACCCGTCGTCGCCGTCCCCCACCGCCGCCGCTGCCCACGCCGCCGTGGAGGAGGGCGACGGGAAGAGGCTGCTGCTGCTGCGAGGTACAAAGCAAGAACTGCTGCCGCCGCCGCCGTCGTTCGCGGGTGATTGATGCGGTTTTGCGTTTTCCAGATGACGGTGAAGAGGCGGCGGCGGGAGGAGGAGGAGGAGGAGGAGATGTGGGAGATGGCGCGAGCGCGGTGGCGGCGGATTCCGGTGGCGTCTTGCCCGGATCTGCGCGGGAGGTTGGGAATGTAGCGGATGACGATGGCAATGCAGGTTCTTTCTGGATATTTTGCTCCCCCCCTGAATATTCTTGTTTTTTCTCCTTTGTTTTTGTTGGTTTCTGAAAAGGAAAATTTTGGTAGAGATTCGATTTGTGAAGGGTTTGTTGTTTGATTCCCAATTATGTTTTTATTGACAACAACTTCCATCAATCAGTGAAATTGTACTGTTGTTGCTGAGGCTGGAATTGAGGTCTGTGGTGAAATTTTTTATTACCATATGCAAATGTTCAGAGCATGTGGGGTGTTCTTGTCATCTTCAGGGTTAGGCTAATGTTCTGTTGGATTAGTGATGATTTGGCATGGCTTAGTGTTTTTTTATATATTTAACTCCCGAACTGTGCATTGATCTTGGCGGAATAGTACTTCATTAATCAGTTTAATCAGTGAGGCTGGTTCAGCTTGTTTCTTGTTGCTTAGTGTAGTTCTGTATACTTTAGTAGTACTAGTCGTAGGATTTTCACCATCTTGCAAAATTGTCCCCATTCCGTGCTGGTAGCTTAACTTCACTCGCATAAAGTCCTGCATCAATGTAAACATTCATTGTGCTACATACGTACTCCCCTACGCATTCTTGAATGCGTTTTGCTTTCGCAAGTGCGTATAACTTCTTTGTATACATTGGGCACTATAGTACAACTCTCACGGCATATACATGTGCTCATTGGGTTGGTTGTCTTCTTTCAGAGCGTTCTTCTTCTCCTCCTCATGTTAGTGAGGTTCAAGTCGGCCTCAGTAAATGCACGGAAGATTGTGTCGTCATTGGTGACCACATCCCTCCTTCCGGAAACGACTCTAAGGCCAGTGGAACTGAGAATGATGAGATTCAGAGTGGAGTCGTTACGCGGTTAACCGAAAATGTACCACATCTTGAAGATGGGCATCACTCTGAGTCAGCTGTTAGTTCTGATCAGTGTATGGGTAGCACTTCTTGTCTGGTGCCTGAGCATGGAGATGGTGCAAGATTGAGCTCAGAGTTCTCTGCAGATGAAATCAATAAGTTAAGTGTGATGTCTCTAGAAACAGTTACTGGATTAAGTAAAGATGGTATTGGAAACAATGAGGATGATTTCTCCGGTGTGGAGAGACCAAAGGCAGTGGAGGAAGATCGATCAGTCAATGATTCTAATGTGGTTTCCAAAGAGCAAATCCCCTGCGAAGAAACTGTGTCATCCATGGAGCAAAGTGAAGTTATGTTTACTATTGGAAACAATGAGGATGATTTGTCCTGTGTGGAGAGACCAAAGGCAGTGGAGGAAGATCGATTAGTCAATGATTCTAATGTGGTTTCTAAAGAGCAAATCCCCTGCAAAGAAACTGTGTCATCCATGGAGCAAAGTGAAGTTATGTTTACTAACTCAGTGGACCATGTTTCTAGTTCAACCAAGGAACCTGTCAATTTACTTGAGGATAAGATGTCTTGTATTGAGAAGCATGTATGCCTAGACGAAACTAGTAGTAATGATTTATTCCAACTTGCTAGTGGTGGTAGCCATTCAGAGGCATCAGGCATTGACAAACCCCGGCATCAAGCTGATTGTGCCTCTCTGACGCCAGATCAGTTGGTAATCCCCAAGGAGATGGATATTGATGAAGGACTTCATTGTACTGATGCAGGTGAGGATTTGAGTTTTGACTGCTGTCCTTTTGTTCTATGTTTGCGGAGATTCTTTTATTTAGTTGATTTAGTCTATTTTGGCTATCAGACAGTCTTTATGTTACTCGTTATGCTCATAGCGGTAACAGTTGTGAAAATGCTTAGCCTAAATACACCAACATGGCCAATGTCACACTCTTATTATCCAGATTACCAAAATCATTTCTTGAATTTTATGGCATGCCAGCTCATGGTGCCTTGGTATATATAGGCAATCATGGTGCCCCCTTTCTTATGTAAAAGTTGTCTATGTTAGGTAGAATTAACAACTTCTTCTGCCTTAAATTTGAGATCTCTGGGAACATGTCCATCTGTACCTCGCAGTTATTGTATGTCCCATATGTTCCTTGTTTACGTCCTGAAATTTCATGATCATTTTTCAGATGTGGGCATCAAAACTTTGTCAAGTGCAGTTGGACATGCTGATGAAGATATTACTGCTGTTAACCTTTCAAAGAATGTTTGTTCACCTCATTTGACAGTGGGCGATGACATACAGGATAGTGTCAGGCAAACAATTGATATCACTCCCATGCCACCTCAAGTTGATCTAGCAGAGGTTAGCACATCCTCTACTTCTCATGAGATCGATAAAGTAAGTAGTAAAGATGGTATTGATGAAAGAAATCCAAATGTAAACCTTACTTCCGATGAGGTAAATGAGGTGCATGGCATAGATGTTGAGGAAATTCCACATATTGAAGATATTGCTGCATATAATGATTATCAAGAGCCTAATACAGTGCGTGGTACTCGTGATTTTGAAGAAGATACGCAGAATGAAGAAATTATTGCAGAAGCTAGTTCTCACAATATCACTGCTGTACAGAGCACATGTAATGTTGAAGAAAAGGAACAGATTGAAGAATTCGATAGCAATTCTTCCTGTAACAAGATCCATGAGATAAGCAGCAGGGGCGTTGAAGAAACAAAACTGACTGATGTTAATGTGGAAACTGCAGATGAGATAAATGTGGCAAGCAGCCTAGAAAATGTTGAAGAAAAGCAGAGCAATAGAGAAACCATTGCAGACCCTTCAGTTGAGATTGATGTGGCAAACTTGCCAAGTAGCCTTGAATTAAGCAAGCTTGATGTAGAAACTAGCACATACCATACTGCTTATGAGGCCAATGCAGTGAATGCCATGGAAAATGTTGAAGAAATGAAGCAGAAGGAAGAAATCGCTGTAGCGCCCACTTCTCATATCAACACGATATCGAGCACCACTAATGATGACCAGAAGCAGAGTGAAGAACTCTCTGTTGGCCCTAGTTCCGATGAGATTACTGTGCCGCATGGCGAATTCAGTGTTAAGGAGAAGACTGAGGAGACTGTGTCAGACCCTACATCCAACAAAACTGATATGGTAAGCACTAGTGGCGGCGTTGAAGAACAGAACCACGGTGATGAAGTAACTTCAGGCACGAATACTCATGAGGAAAGTGTAATATTAGTACACACCACCGATAATGTCGAAAAGAAGATGAACAAAGATCTTACTTCAGAACCTGCAGACAATGTTGAAGAGGAAGTGCAGAGTGAAGATATCGCAACAGACCCTACTTCTCATGAGAGCAGCACGCTACATATCACAGACGGTGCTGAAAGCAAGAAACAGGATGCGAAGGTCGCTGCAGATCTCGCTGCTGGCAAAATTGATGTGCCACGGAGCGCAGATGATGCTGAAGAACAGAAGCATGAGGCGACCGTCAGCACGGATGATGATCTCAAAGGAGATGATCCGAGCGAAAGCAACTCGCCGCAGATCATAGACGGTGCTGGAGACAAGGAACAGGACGCAGAAACCGCTGCAGATCCTCCTCCTGGCAAAACCGACGCGCCACCCAGCACAGATGACGCTGAAGAAACGAAGCCGAAGGAGGAGGAGTTGGAGACGGTCGGCACGGTGGTCGACGATCCTAAGGAGGAGGACAAGGAGGAGATCGCCGACAAGGAAGTGATCGTGAATTCAGACAAGAACCACGTCTCACTGAAGTCCCTCCTCTCCGAGAAGGCCGCAGAAACCAAGGAGTCGAAGAAGCCGAGCACCAAGGATCGCGTGCTGTCGTTCCGGCGGCGGGTGTCGAAAGACGGCGGCTCTCCGGCGAAGCCAGGCTCTCCCAAAGCGGCGGTTTCAGGGCAGCAGCAGGATTGGAACTCTCCGGCGAGGTTACCGGTGGAGAAGAAGCCTAAGGGGAAGAAGCAGCAGTGGGTGCCCTTCATTTGCTGCCCCTCCATGAGCTGATCGATCGATGATGTTATATATGAATATAAATCTTTAGTGTGCCACATTCTTGTTTCGTTTTTTTTTTACCCATTTTGCTCGTGGACTAAGAAGAATTGCATTTTGTTTATGCACGCTACATGCTATTCTGCCTCTGCATTTCATGCAAGTATTAAAGCAGTGTCAGTTTATACGTAAGCTGTCTTTGGTGATCTAATGTTGCGCAACTGCATTGATATCTCGCATTAGACATCTGCACTTCTAGTTCACATCTCAGCTAATGCTCTCTTGATCTTTCGTGGCAAACTGGACCCGACATGGCGTATGGTTGTAACATTCATCCAGAAAGACACTAGAAACTTGACGAGATTGGTTCAAATATGGATTGCAATTTGAAAATCTCAACAAGAATCATCATCGCCCGACAACTTGGGAAGTAACGTTTCTCATCAGTGCACCACTAGAACAAAGATTAGCCAGCACACAAAATCTAAGATATGTCGTGAGTGTCCTGTCCTTAGGCAGCAGTAACAGGTTCCGATCCTTGCTTCGATTCAGCTCCAGATCCAGCTTTCTGCGAATCAGAAGAAAACCGAATTAGAACAGACTTGAGGGTTGTGAAAAGTATAGAGCTTCAGAGTTTCGCAATTAAGATGGGACGAGCTGCTTACGCCGTCTTCGGCTGGCTGCTTGGTCATCTTGGCGAACATATTGCTGTAGAATTTGGCATCCTTCTTGTTGTACTCCTTGACCTTTTCCTTGAGGTTCTTGTATGTCAACTTCACATCCCTGAAGATAAGCAGTGACAAGATCAGTTTCAAAATGGAGTGACTACTAAAACTAGTATGCCTCCCTTGGGGAGACGCATATACAAAACTTGCCTGTTATCAGGATCAATTTCAAGTGCCTTCTTAATATCCACCTCTGCTAACTCTAGGTCAGCAAGTTGCATGTAAGCTTGGGCCCTCCTGTATAAAGCCTTGACATTTTGGCTGTCAAGTTCCAGAACCTGGCAACAAACACCAGAATGTTACCTTGGTTTACCAAAACACATAACAAATGGGTCTTTTGCAGGAAGAACTGAATGTACCTTGGTGCAAAGCTTCTCAGCTTGCTTGTAATCTTTCAGCTTCAGCTTGCAGGCAGCATTGTTCAAGTTGCAGGTAACCTTCAGTTGCTTGGATTGTTTCTTCTCATCTTCGCTAAATGAGCTGTCATACTCAATGAATTTTGCAGCCTGGAATAAAATAGATAGATCATCAGTCAGTAAGGGATTATGAAAACAAAGAAAATCTTGACGAAAGATTAGTTATTTGAACAAGTGTTCAACAAAAGAAGCATGCCATACCTTCTCATAACGCTTTGAAGCCCTGACATATTTGCCCAGCTTGAACAATGCATTCCCCTCTTCTTTCTTTGCCCCAGCAGTCTCAATCTTCTCGGTATTGTTCAAGTCCCAAGATTCTTTATCCTGTGTACCATGAATAATAATTGGTTTTCCTGTGCACTCATCATAGCAACTAAAAGAAATGCAAACAAATATATAGCATAAAGAGAAGCACACCTTCACGAATGATACAAGCTCAACCTCATAAATCACAGTGCTGTTTGGTGGAACTACAGCGAGATCCTGCTTTGACTCAGTAGAACCAAATGCGTATTCAGGAGGAATTGTTACAAGAGCAACCTCGCCATTCTTCATGTTTAGCACAGCACGGTCAATACCATCAATGACCTCCTCTGGAAGGAAAGTAAATCAAAAGGGAACAAGTTGTTACTACTTATCAGAGTAAGAACATTATTTGTTTGAACTTAAAAGTGTATGGCCAGCATAGAGGAAGTTGACAAAGCACCTTCATCAGTCTTGAATTCAAATGGCTCTGGTTCATCATGCCCCTTCTTTGTAAATATTGTACCATCCTGAAGTTTTCCAGTTATTTTGACTGTCAAACAGTAAATGCAACTTTGTCATTACAGGTAGTAATCAGACACTGTTGACCTCTATCTGACATATAGGAAAGAAAATAGTAAGATCAGTAAGCATCACGCTTTGGCATACCTTTAACAACTGCACCTTCATTGGGCCGCTCATACCCTGTACCCTCCGTCAGAACTTTCTTCAAGATTTTCTTATCATCACCTATTTCTGTGACTGTTTTCCATGAAACCAACTCAAGATTAACAAGAAGAGTGGCATTTGGTGGCACAGCACCTTCCTCACCAGCTGCTGGTCTACCATTCTCACCAAATCCATCTGCCATTACAAAGTTTTAAATCTTTTCAATCAACTCGAAGGAAGAGATGGAAAACCATGGAAAAGGTGTGAAACCAAAGAAGCTTACATTGTGGCTTAACTGTAAGGAGCACTTTCTCTGCTTTTTTCATGGTTTTGACAGCTTTCGCCAGCGCAGGGCAGAAGAAACCTGGAACCAAACTTTATTTCGTTAGCAAGCAGCTGATTGCTCAATAATGAACAGGAAATGTTGACAAGGAGATTATGGGTAATCACCATCTTTAACAGTAAATTCAGCGCCCTCAGACTTTGATATAACAGTGCCATCCTCAAGCCGAGCCTCATATTTCACTACAGCAATGCAAAGGGTCAGCTACAGGGCAATATATAAGATAGCAATATGTTTCAATGAGCAAATATTACCAAATACTTCATCAAGATCTTTTGGGTTCTCCCATTTTTCTCCCTCCTTCAGTATCTTCTTGAATATACCACCATCTTGGCAAATGTCCTTGACACTTGTCCAAGAAAGCAACTCAACATCAAACTGCAGTGTGGCACTGGCTGGAATAGTTGGAGGTGAACCAGATTCACCATAGGCCAAATCAGGAGGAATGGTGAAAACAGCATTTTCGCCTTTCTTCATGGTCTTGATACCTAGATCCCAACCTTTTATCACTTGACCTGGATACAAGTTCAAGAAATAGCTGGTGAGCATTTAACAGAAAAATAGATTTTGCAATCCCACCATCACAAGCACATAGCAGAGAAAAAAAAGCTTGTGAAATGGTATGTGGGTCTATACTGAGAATAAAACAATATTGGTCTCTTACTTAATTTAGAGCAATTTTTTAAACAGAAACAGTCCATTCAACCTCTAGTAAGGTCAACAAGTTAAACACCACTGCTGCTACATTCTCTACCTAATGAAAAAGCTGATCCCCAAAATTGTAATAGCACCAGCAATTGACAGACTAAAGTGATCAGTGCAGTGTTACAGTTGAGCATCACTGGGTGATATCAGCCACAGGGCCATTAAACATGCTCCGGGACTGGAAACAATCACGGTTTTACTTCCCAGTGAAAAACGAACTAGGTATTAAGAGCCCTTATCTCAGAGGTATCTGTAATACAGTCATTTCTATTTGAGAAGAATAACATATCAAAAGATTAGTAAACATCAAAACTAGTAGCATGTAAACAGAAATATGAATAGATGACTGAAACCATGCCCAAAAATTTGCACAAAATGGTGATTGGCACAAGTTGCGATCACATTGGCTATGAGATGTGCCATCAAAAAGTAAGAAGGCAGAATGGAGAAGGAATTGTACCTTGTCCCAACTTAAACTTGAAGGGTGTCCCACGGTCACGGCTTGAATCAAACTTCTTTCCATCAAGCAGTGTGCCAGTGTAGTGTACTGAAACATAGAAGAAAGGTTCAGTCCGATTCAGTTACACAAATTCTAAGATAAACACTAATGACAGGGTAAATCTGATCTATAAATCAATCCGCTATCATCATGGAACAATAAAGTTGTTAAACAGCAAATAATACAGGCATTTAGTTTTTCCCTAAAAAAAACCATACATCAGCAACAACATTAACATTGTAGGTATGCCACAATCATCCCTCCTTCAGAAACCATCTCCCCGAAACTGTAAGGTCACACAACCGTACAAGCAAACAAGCAATTGCAACAGAATTTATACTCTCTCTGCCAACATAAACTCACAATAATGTCGCAGTGTAAGTGTAACTAGCAAAAGCAAAATGCGTAATCAGATTAAACAGTAAACTAGATTAATGTTCCAATCTAGCTCGAAATGAACATGAGATCGATCAGACAAGTGGTGAAGATGGCACCAAATTTCACCTAAATATAAACTCGCACTGTTGCAAAGCTAGCAAAACCAAAACACATGATCAGATTATAAACACTAAGCAGATGTCCCAATCTAACTCGAAATCGACATCATCATAAGACCAAGCAGTGAAGATAACACCAAATTCCACCTAAATTTAGCACTAATTCCGCATCCAAATATCCCATAAACCCCAACGCATGGCACGCCAAAGTCCAAAACTAACTCTGCATCCCACAACGAACACATCTAAAGTTCTAAACCCCAACACGCAAGGCACTGGTTGGATCAACTCCACGATTTGAGGAGGAGGAGGAGGCGAGGAACCACGCAATACCTTCGACCTCGTCGCCGACCTCGGGGGTCTCCCACCCCTCGCCCTCCTTGAGCAGCTTCTTCCTGAGACCCTGCTTCCCGATCTCCTTCTCCTCTCCGACCTTCAGCGGCGGCCCGTCGGCGCCGCCGAAGTCGCCCATCCCGTCCTCCCCCATCATCAAGTCGTCGTCGGCGCCGGGCGGCGGCATCTCGAAGTCGTCGTCCATGGCGCGGGGCAAGGAGAGGCGAGATCTGCGGCTAGGGTTTCGAGGCCGAGGCGAGGTCACCACTAGGGTTTGGACTTTGGAAGGTTCGAGAGGAGCACGAGGCGATGATGAGGAGGAGGAGGGGGAGGGTTTAAATGGATGTGAGAGAATCAGGTGGTGGGCTTCTAGAGTGTTCCGAGGAGGAAAATAAAAACGGAAAGCGAACGGCCCGGATGGATGATGGATGGATGGATGCTTCTGGATCTGACTCAAGTAATCAAGCAAAGCATCAATTAATAAATTGTTTCCGATTAATCACTTCTTTAAATATCGCATCAAATATTTTTGATTAACTGAGCAGCCGCTGAAAATATGAGCTGAAATGTGTTGGTTAGGGTCGGAAAATCCTCAACGTCGGGCGCCTGATGCACGCAAAAAAAAAAAAAATGGGGTGCCCCCACGCCGCGGCTCCCGCGCGCTGCCCCCACCACGCGCGCCCCATTGTAACAACCGTCCGAATATAACGAAAATGCCCTATTAAAAGGATTTGTTTTATATTTTTTTTTCACCAATAGTGTTTCAGCTAGTGTACTTATGATATTTCACTGTGTATGAATCATGTAATGGATTTTGATATTGTTTAATAATTTCATCTTGATGGACACGTTGGTTGTTGATGTACACGGAATTTAAGTGTTGGAATGGCTTCAAATCGTATGTTTTCACTTTTTTTAAGAATTGAAACATTCTTTCGCTATTTGCTAAAACATTGTTTTTATATAAGGTGAAACAACATTTCATACGTTGTAGCAAGATGTTTCATGAAGTGATTTGGTTGCGTTTCAACTTTTTGAAAGATTGAAATATATTTTTTTTGACTAGGGAGACTGAAACATTTTTGATCTATTTAGTGAAACATATTCGATCTACTTGGTGAAATAGCGCCCTATTTTTTTTAAAAAAATCGGGTGCCCGGTTTGTAGGTGCCTCAGTTAAGGTCATACTAAACTTTGCAAGAGTTTCGATAAGGAACAATTTCGAAAGGAGTAAATGTGAAGTATTTTTTGCAAGAATTTTTGTAAGGAACAGTTCCAAAGGAGTCAATGTAATGTTGCCTTATGATAAGCATTAAGGCAATTAGATTGCAGCTAAGATTAGAATATGATGAACCACAGTGTAAGAGGTATAGTGGTAACTCCAAAGTTGAGCTGATTAGTATACATGCAAAATCAGTTTCTCTAACATTTGGTAGTAAGAAATAGTAGGGTACCTTTAAGACCTGATTACCAAGCATAAAGAATAACTGAAAGTAAAAAAGAAAAGAGAAAAAGAAAAAGGGAACAAAACAAGATCGTCAGCATCACTCTTCACTGCATCATTTACATATTGGGTTCTGATTGCACCTTCTTCAACATCCAGACATCCAGTATCCACATTCCAGTACTGCCTAGTGCCTACTTTAGCCCACTCTACTTCCCAGTTTTGAAGGCATGCCTAAATCTGCTATTTAGTGCAACCAATGATAATCACAGTTCACAAGGATTATGCTTCGCTGTTTACATCAACAATTCCTCATAGTCCACACTCACCTCACTTCCTTACAAGATTGTGAAAATTACATTAATGCACAAGACAACAGCAACCAAATGAAAATTTTGGTACAATAAGGAATTCACCCTTTTCTATGACTTGCTGCCAGTCTGATCGATTCATTTACAGTGTTATCCTATTGGATGCAGGATCAATTCCATAGAAGCATCACAATTCTCGTGATTATGTTTAGCTCTAGAACATCCAAATGTAAGAATATTCTAAACGGCACGAGCAAAGTGCAACATTCAAACATCCCCATCAATTGCAGATAATTATGGAGTCCTCATCAAGCCAACCTGAGATCCTGCCAACAACATAATAGAAAGTTTAGCAGAATTTAGGAGCTATGCACAATATTGTACAAAGAACACAACATCTGTAATGATTTCAAAAGAAAACACCATTTCATGGACTATGTTGATTTATAGTGGGCAATTTCATTCTCAGTTCCAACAAAGAGTGCTGATGATGCAGTGCAAGAGATGCATGAACCAATTACGGCATGAGACCTTCTACAATATCATGTATTCAGCAATAAGGGAAATTAAAGCAACCAAGAATTCTAAATATGGAGCTTATTTTTAGTAGAGGCATTGCAACTCAACAGTGAAATACAACACCATATCCTTCTCAAGTCTGTCTACCTTAAATACTATATAGTACATTGAATCTTAATTAGATATAAAAATGCATCTGGATTAAACTGGGTTCTCTAATAATAATACAAGGTGACCTGTTCCCAGGTTCTCTAATAATTTTCGACAAGTCCAGAACTGGTGTTAACTTGAATAGGAAAAGCACTAGTTCCACACTTCCACTGCGCTGCTGAACATCCTAAGGACATGAAAATTTTAAATCCCACTGTGGGCATGACCACAAACCTTAGATTATTCATTCTGTTTGCCTTCACTACACGACTTTAACAGATTAGCTGAAGCCAAGTGTGGCCTTAGTACCAAATATTGCAAACACATCACAGGCATATTAGGCATGATCCAACGGCATAGGATTCACTTATGGCAACACGCAGAATTTAAAGAATTTCTAAATATGGAGCTTATTTTTAGTGGTGGCATTGCAACTCATCACTGAAGTATATTACCATTCTTATCTAGTCTGTCTACCTTAAATACTATGCAAAACATAGGAGTACATTGCATCTCAATTAGTATAAAAAAATGCATATGGGGTTTTGACAACATTAAGCTGGGTTCTCTAATATAATATGTGGTGACTTGTTCCCAGTTTCAAGACACATGAATTTTCAAGAAGCCAAGAACTGGTGTTTAAGTAAATAGCAAAAGAACTTGTTCCAGTATGCTGCTGAACATCCTCAGGTGTCAGGACATAAGAAATTTAAAATCTATTGTGCATGCAACCACAAATCTGTCATCCTGTTTGCCTTCACTACACAATTTCTAACAGATTAGTGAGGTTAACCGTGGCCTTACTACAAAATATAGCAAACACATCAGCACATCACAGGCATATTAGACATGCTCCAACAGCATTTCTTATGGCAAGACATACAATCAAAAGAAGAGGAAATACAATATTCCAATCATACCTGGAAATCCAGGAGCACTGCCATGCCATTTGCAAGGCCCAATGGAAAAAGAGAACTGGATACAGTTCATAATCCATTCAATTCCCATTCATCGACATCTCAAGCTGCTCCATCCTCTGAGCTAGATCATGCTTCCCACAATGCCGCAACCCGTCAACTACAGAATTAAAGGTCGGAGCACGAGGAGCGAATCCAGCTTCACTCATCTCAACAAGGTAGTTTGCAGCCTCCACGAACCGACCGCCTCTCACACACATTTTAACAAGCATCACATACACAGGACGATTTGGCGGGTGCCCCTTCGACTTCATATCACCGAAAAATGCGAAAGCATCGGCGAATCGCCCCGCCTTACAGAGCGCCTTGATAATCGCTGCATACAGGCTGGGGAATGGCCGGTGGCCATCCTCAAGAGCTGCATAGAACAACCGAAATGCCTCATCAATTCGGCCAGCCTTGGCCACAGCTGGTATCATCACCTTGTAGGTGGAGATGTCCGGGCACAGGCCGCGGCTGGATGCATCGGCGAGAAGCGCCACGGCGAATTCCACATCTCCAGAGCTGCAAAGCGCCTCGGCGAGCGAGTTGAATGTGGCCACATCGGGGAGGACGCCCTCCTTGGTCATCCGGAGCGCGAAGGCCTTGGCCTCCTCGAGGCGACCGGCGCGGACGAGGCCGTCGACGAGGAGATCCCTCCCGCGCACCGGCGGGTGGAACCCGCGCTCCGCCATGTCGTCGAGGAACGCCTGCGCCTCCCGGAGCTTCCCCGCGGCGCACCAGGCGTCGACGAGGGTGCTGAAGGTGGCGCGGTCGGGGGCCACGCCCTTGCGCGCCATGCGGCGGAGCAGCTTGTACGCGCCGGCGAAGCTGCCGTTGGCGCAGAGCGCGTCGAGGAGGGCGTTGTAGACCTGGGTGGTCTGCGGGCAGCCGAATCGCGGGAGGCGGTTGAACACCTCGACGGCCTGGTCGGTGAGGCGGGATTGGCCGTAGGAGGAGATGACGGCGGAGAAGGTGGAGGGGGAGAGCGGGAGGCCGAGGGCGCGCATGTCGGCGGCGAGGGACCAGAGGTGGGTGAAGAGGCGGGCGCGGGCGAGCGGGAGGAGCAGCGCGTCGAAGTGGTCGGCGGAGGCGGCGAAGGAGGGCTTGGCGCGGAGCCAGGCGAGGAAGCGCGCGGCGTGGAGCGGCTCCGCGGGGGCGGCGGCGCGGATGACGCGGAGCGCGAGGTCCGGCGGGAACGGGGACGGGAGGCGGAGGCGGTTGAGGGTGCGCTCCAGGTAGAAGTCGCGGCGCACGACGGTGGAGAGGTGGTGCACCGCCGCGAAGTAGGCGTCCTTGGAGGTCGGGTGCTGCGGCTGCGCGGCATCGGGCAGCGTGGCCAGGCCGCGTACGCCGACGCCGGCGCCGGCGCCGAGGCCAAGTCCGACGCGGCGCAGCAACGCGGCGGCGGCGGCGGGCGGCGGCATGGATCGAAGTGGGCGGCGGCGGTGTAAGGTTAGGATTGGGCCCATTAGCTGAGAAGCCTAAATGGGCTAGTAGGCTTATATGGGCTTCGAACAGTTTGGTTGATGGGCCGTATAAGTCTATCGGCCTGTCTAACAGATTAACAGCTGGACGATCTGGCCTTATTGTTGTGGAATAAGTTCACTTTGTGACCTTCAAAAGTCATCGAAATCTAATCCCTTACCCTAAACCACAAAATCGGATATCTCGAACCCCCAACTCTTAAAAACCGGTGTAATTTGACTCCCTCGGCGGTTTTAGAGGGAGGTTTCGCTGACATAGCGCCTATGTGGCAGTATTGACTCGGTCTTCTTTTCACGTGGTGTTGACGTGGCGCTCAGGTGGCATTAGAAATAAGAAATATGTGTGGGACCCATTTGTCATCCACCAAAAGTATGGGTGGGACCCACTGATATGTGGCGCCCACATAAACCACTCCTCATCCTCCCTCCCTCTCTCTCTCAATCTTCGGCGAGCGACGGCGGCGGCGGTGGGAGGGCGGGCGGGCGAGGGCGGCGGAGGCTCGTGGCAGTGGGAGTACGACGGGAACGGCGGCGGGCGGGAGAAGCAGGCTGCGGCGGCGGCGGCGAGAGGGCGGGCAGGCGAGGGAGCGTGCCATGCTCCGCCATGCCCAGCAGCTGGTACGAATCGTTGCTCATCTCCGCCACGAACATGCCCATGTTCGACAGCGCCGCCGCCGACTGCACCCACCACATCAGCCACGTGTCGCCGAGCAGCTTCGCGATGTCCGCTAAGTAGCCGTCTGTCCACTGCCCCCTGTCGAGCGAGACGGCTCCTGTCCCGGCGAGGAGAGGGTACAGGTAAGCGACCACCACGAAGATGACCGCTTAGAACAGCGCCTTGGGCAGCGTCTTGCCGGGATTCTTCACCTCGCCGGCCAACGTGCTGATCGAATCCCAGTAGTTGAGGTTCCAGAACAGGGTGTTCAGGTACAGATTCCAATCGACATTGTGGAGGTCGATCACAAGCCACCTCGCCGGCCGGAGCCTGGGGAGAGCAATGAGCCCCATGACGAAAAAAGGGAGGAGGGAGAAGACGCCCAGGCAGATCGCCACCCATCCGACGACGGTGAGCCCCCGATAACTCAGCAATGTCAGCACGGCCATCAGGCCAACGACAGCGAACGCCCTCGTCGCGCCTCTGCCGAGCGCCGGGACGCCGGACTTGAGGTAGTCCAAGAAGAGGACGGGGTAGAGGACGTTGTCGATGACGCCGCTCAGCCACTTCATCCACCCCTGCTGGAACCCCCAGTACGGGCCGAGCGCCGACGCCACCCACACGATGTACCCGCCGTTCTCCGGGAACATGGCGCCCAGCTCCGCCGTGATCAGCGTCTCCGGGATGCTCCAGATGACGGGAAGGACCAAGAAGCCGATGATGGCGAGCAGCAGCCTGGCCTCGCCCATGCTGTCGCCTGCCGCCGTCGCCCGCCGCTGCCCGCCGGCTGCTGCCGCCGCTAGGCCCCGTCCCTCGGGCGCCGCTCGCTGAAGAGAAAGAGAAGGATGAGGAGTGGTTTATGTGGGTCCCACATGTTAGTGGGTCCCACCCGTTTTTTTGGTGGATGACAAATAGGCCCTACACATTTTTTTATTTCTAATGCTACCTGAGCGCCACGTCAACGCCACGTGAAAAGAATACCGAGTCAATACTGCCACGTAGGTGCCACGTCAGCGAAACCGCCCTTCAAAACCGCCGAGGGAGTCAAATTGCACCGATTTTAAGAGTTGGGGGTCGAGATATCTGGTTTTGTGATTTAGGGCTACGGATTAGATTTCGATGACTCTAGCGGATCAAAAAGTAAACTTATTCCTATTGTTGTACATGCCGTAAAAGGCAGGCATTGCATCCAGCTGCACAGCACGATTGGTCAGGGAATCAAGGGCCGTCGACGCATCGAGACAAAGCTAGCAAAGTTGCATGTATATTTTTTTTTTAAAAAAAAGGTTAAGTTTCATGTACATATGTGTCACCGCTCTTATAAAGTTTGTTTATTTTCGAGACGAAGAAAATATATGTTTCGTGTGTAATTGATATAAATCCTATATTGTACTGTATATATAGTACTTGGTAGGTGTCACTTACGTATAGGACTAAAGCATGTCAATGACACATATGCATATTACTGTAGTAATTCGAACGCCACACCCGGCATTTGCTCAGATCTCCGGGTCTCTCTCTCTCTCTCTGCTCGTACAGTCTTATGCCTGCCTCTCCCCACAATTATTGCTCCCCGCGACCGTCGTCGTTGCAGAAGCCGGCCAAGCACGTATGTCGTCGCTGGCCATCGCCGCTGCTCGCTCGCCTGCAAGGTAGGTCGGCCCCAGTTGCCTGGCTAGCTGCTGCTACACTGTTGCTCGGCTCGTCACTGCGTCTATAGCCTATTTACCTGAGCACCTCTACCATACGACCAATGACAGATCTAACCAGAAATAACAATATATCTAAATAAATTAGATAAAACTATAGCCCGTGTTTTCATCTGCGTATAGCAAGGAAAAGAAAAGATTTAGTGAGAACTTCACGGGGACTCTCATGATTCTCGCGTGGGCAATACAGGCTTGAAATCCCGTCCTTAATTTTCATGCTAGATCGCCACCCCTGTGTTACAGGCATCCGAGTCATGGTCGTCGTCGTCCCTGCCGATTGGATCAAGCAAGCTATAGCAGCTAGCTTTGGTCTTTGGAGCTTTCCCATTGTTGGTTTCTTCTTGTCGATGCCAGAACTGTGCCGCCCCTGCTGAGCTAGGGCCGGCCTCATCACGTTGCAGCAGGGAGCCCTGGTTTTGTTTCACTTGACTTGACACGGATCGATCGATGCACGGTAGAAAGTACGTGGAAATTTTAAGAAGTGAAAAAACGAACAGCGTGTGTTGTGTGTTTGCTGTTGATGAACAGCGGCATGCAAAGATACGCTGCAGATGAGGGCGCGCTTTGGTCGCGATCTTCGCGCCATATGCTTGCAGATGAGGAGTACTCCGGCCTATAGCTAGAGTCAACAACACTGCGACGACGTGTATGACTAGTGTTGCCAAAAAACATCTGCAACGTTCTACAGCTTTTCTCTGTGACGGCGTGGACCCACATGATCAACAATCAACACACGGTGCAGCTGCAGTATGTATAATTATAATGGACTATAGGAGTACAACAGCCAGCTCACGCTTGGAGCCTTGCGATTGTTGATTTGTTGTTTGACGAGTCACCAACATGTATATAGCTTATTTGTCTAGGGAAGCTTAAAATTCTGATAAACATCTGATTGCTTTAGAGTCTAAAAATACTGGCTTTTAACTTCTAGTTTATTTTCTGAATTTCATAACTATAGCTTCTCAGAATCTAGCTAGATAAAAAGCTGGAGTGTTTGGCGGCCATCATTAAATTTAGGGTGTAAGCAAAATGAGCGTAGCTTTTAATTGCTTATCTTCTCTATGTTCAAACTTACCTATCCAGGTTTAAGTTCTAAACTTTAAATATGTGCTCGTATTTATGGTTACAATATATATTTTTTTCAATGATAGGTAACATATCCACCGATAGTGTGGTGACTTTGTCGATCCTCAAGATCGATCGGGAAGCAAAATCATTTAACGTTTTGCTCCTATTATGACCACTTCTAGATATAATTAATGTAAAAAATATTGTATATTGAAGCACATAATAGTACACCCATATGGCCGTATCAGCTCGTACATGAAAGTTTAATTCCAAGATCCAACCCAGAATGTTCACTGGAATGGAACTGACGAGCTTGGTATGTAAATAACTGTATTAATCATTCATCATAGTTAAATCTATGTCCATATTAATTTACATATGTGTGCACGTGAGAGACTGCTTTTAAATTAAGTAAGGTTCGTCTTATATAAACGTTTGTTAAATTAGAACGAAGGCGCACTTTAGCTAGATGTATGTCATGTATATGATCGAAAAAGGAAAACAGTGGAGCCACACTCTCACGGCATTATATGTGCAGGGAAGACGTGCTTGATAGATTCTCTTGGGTCCGAGCTGGGCATGTGTATACACAGTACTGCAAGATCTATGAAACATATCGTTGTGTTGTATCTCAGCGTTTCAATTTGTCGTCCAAACCACCATATATATATTCCAATCTTTTTTTATTATATACATGACGCTGGATTCTTCCAAAGATCGTTGATGGGGATTGGGGGGTGTTTATGGCAGCTTGACACACAAGGTGGCTAACCATTATACGCAAATAGTACTTGACATCGTTAATTTTATCATGCAAAATTTCGTCGCTACGTTTAATTACTTAGTACTCCCTCCGTTTCATATTATAAATCCTTCAACTTTTTTCTTAATCAAAATTCGTTAGATTTTATCAAATTTATGGGGGAAAAATTACATCAGTGGTACACGAACTTGTCAAGTGAGTGTAATCTGTTGCATGAACTTGTTTGGTGCGTGTGAACAAGACCAAAATCGTACGGCAAGGTTAATTTTACTGTTTTTGTTATTGATTTGAATGCTATGTAAACATGTGTCTCACGAAAATATCACGTAGATAAAGATCTATTTAGCAAAACATATAATAAGGTATATTGATTGCATGAAGAAAGAGATAAAAAATCGAGTAACGATGCAAGGAATAGAAACAAAGTAAGATAAAGTAGAAAACAAATTTATAAATATAACCATTCTACCATACGTGCACCACGCATGTCATGTAATAATTTGTAATGTTCAACTTTGAAGAATCAGCCTTGTCGTGCCATTTTGGTTTTGGTTTGCACGTACCAGACAAATTCATATATCAAAATAAGTGTTTTACAAGTTTATGTACTAAATTGCACCTACCTGATAAGTTCGTGTATCGCTGATGCAATTTACTTGATCAATTACTACTAATTTGTATTTAAGTGTGATCATTTCTCTATTTTTTCTGGATTTATACATGAAAATTTGATATATTTTTTAGGTGATTGCAATTTTACAATTTTTCGAACACTTGAGATCTAGCAAAGATGGAGAGTTGTTTTTTTTTAAGTTAATATAGAATAAAAACGATCATATCAAAGAAATAGATTATAGAGACATAACTTGAAAATGGTTTTATTTGAATTTTCAAACAAATTTTATATAGACTTTTTTTAAAAAAAGAACGTACCGTTTAACAGTTTTAAAAAGTGCGTTAATAGAAAATGAGAAAGTTGAAGAAAAGGACATGATCTTAGTCTATTCGTAGGGTTGGTTTATATAGACCTTGTATGGTTCTCATTTTTTTTACAATGGAACCAATTTTTATCTTATAAAAAAATACTATGTTCGTCTTAAAATATAAAAAACTAGGATAAGATAGAATACATCATATTACTACGTGTCTAGACATCCTAATACTACTACTATTTACATCATAGTATTACTACTGTTAATATTTATAGTATTAAAATATTTCTTATCCGATTCTAAGTTCTTACATTTTACGATGGAGAGTACCAGACATTACTCAACTATTCTATACATATCCCACTACCCTGTGAATCAAAAGCTACTCCATCCGTTCCATAATATAACAAATTAGAACCGGACGAGACATTTCATAGTACAACGAATTTGGACAGCTGGTCCTAGGTTGTTATATTATGGGATGGAGGGAGTAGAAATTACTTTCCAGCTGTCTGTTCTTCTCATTCGGCCATCGATCTAAATGAAAGGTAAGGTGAAAAAGGTTCAGAGAACCAAAAGCATCCAAAGGATACTGTTGCTGCACGCCTGCGACGTAATTTCAGGAATCCGCTAGAATCGTACTACGTACAAATCGTGCACTATGCATCGGCCTTCTCTGTCGCCGATTGATGCCACATTTCCATGCATTCATGCATCATCTCATATCCTTTTTCCTCTGATCACATCTTCAGACAACTGTATCTATATGAGATGCACCTATATATATATAAGAGTCCATGATTCATATCTGTACGTTTATATTGCAGGAAGCTTAGCATCTCTCGATCTCTTCTTGTTGATTTTGCCTACGTGTGTGTGTATTGCTAGAAAAAAAAAGGGCAGGTTGGAATAGCAAAATGGCCGCTGAGCCAGGAACGAATAAACTGAAGATGTTGCTGTACTTTCTTCTCCTGATCGTTGCCACTCTTGTGATTACTGCAGGTATATATAATTCGTGAGTATTTGAAGTTAATTTGCAGGCTTATATATGTATCGTTGACAAATGAATCAATGTTTCTCGATCGCGTTCTTGATCCCTCGATTCCTCGAATGCTTTTGTACAGAAGTTGGTGTCGTTTTAGCTGCTGCTGCTCGGGTACTCTCGCCGTCGACGACAGAAGAAGTACCGGTGGTAACAAGTGTACGTCTGCCCGTACGTAACTTCTGCTAGCTCGATCTCTCTGATGCATCTAATCTAAAGCAAGCTAGCTGTAGCTCCATGATCGAGTATACATGGCTATATATGTCATGGAGAGCTTCTAACCACTGCATCTTCTTCAAAAGTCTCTAGGTCTTCAAACAGTTTATATTCTCACTTAGATTCTGATAAAATATATGGAAATATATGGTTAGAGAAAAAAAAGAACTAAAAACTAGAAGCTAAGAAACCAAGATTGTTTAGATTCTTAGAAACTGACTACCGACTGGTAGTTTCTAAGAATTTTAAGCTTCTTCAAAATAGGATCTATATATATAAGATAATAAGAAGTAAAAGATGCATACCAATGTGACGAAGATGATGTTAAAGGTCGAATAGCCTTAGGTGAGTTGCTTCAGTTTAATTGACTTTGTGTTCTTGCCATGTTTCTTGTTAGGCCCAAACTGAGATATCATCATCATCAGAAGGAGAAGCACGGGGAGGCGGGAGCAGCCGGGCGTCGGCGGCGGCGGCGGCGAGGAGGATGGCGATCGGGTCGAGGGCTCCGACGTGCACCTACAACGAGTGCCGCGGCTGCCGCCGCCGGTGCAGCGTGCAGGAAGTCCCCGTCGACGCCGGCGATCCCATGAACAGCGCCTACCACTACAGATGCATCTGCCACCTCTAAGTTCTGATTAACTAGCTAGCATATGCATGCGTAATTGTTGTTGTGATCGACCGATCGATGGAGGCCGCCCCGGGTGTGGTTTTAATAAAAGTTTGTGCATGCTAATGCCATGGCACTTAATTTAGTTTGGACGTCGTGCATGTCGTGTGGTTCGGTTCTTGAATAATTGTGGTCGATAAGACAATTAATCACGCTTTGAACATCCAGATTCCTGCAATATATAATATGTTCATCTAGTTACATATCTTCTCCATGTAATAAAATTTAGAATTTCCCAACTTATCTCTCACTGACATACATGTGAGCGAGCAATAAACCCAGAAATCAGAATATTTTTTAAAAACTTCGGACCTATTTGGCACATCTACAACTCCGGCTCTAGCTCTAGCCAAACAGTTTCAGCTCCATTTAAAATGAAAGCGGAGTTGAGTGGAGCATTCTCACAATATAAACTAGAAAGGTGGAGTTGGATTTAGGCTACTCCATAACCCTATTCTAGACCCAATTCTTGAAACTAAATTTAGAAGTTAGAGCTCTATCAAATAGGCCCCTCAACTCCAACTTCACCCTTTTTTTTAAGCTAGAATCTAACAGAATGATCTTAGCTTCAGCTGAAAAGGAAATTAAGTAATTGTATTGAAATGACGTAGATGTAGATTTAGGAGTTTGAGCCCTGTCAAATACTGCTCCATCAAATAAAAAAAAGTTAATAAAAAATCAATCCTAGCTATGAATCTATATACGCATATATTGAAACTAGGTGATACCCCGCGCTTTGCTGTAGGATTCATGGATAAATATATGTTAAATATTATAGAAATGATGATAGTTGAAATGTTGAGAAAATAATGTGAGGAAGATGATTTGACACATACTTGTTGATCTCTATAATATAATATTGTAGATTATATATCATGCTTGCATGGATTAAAATAGGTTAGAATAGTAATTGCTAGTGGGTGATGATGTGGCATGCTTGCATGTTGAGATTTAGCTTCTAATAATTGTTAGTGGGTATCAACTATATAGAAAGTATAGATTCGTAGCTAGGATTAAGTATTTTATGGAATAGAGAGAGACCCCTAGCTACCTGCAGATGAAGGTATGACCACTTTCAATAAGAGTTTCTTTCCTACTTCCTCCGTTTCATAATGTAAGACTTTCTACCATTGTCCACATTCATATAAATGTTAACACACATTCATATAGATGTTAACACATGTGTGACTAGATACATTAACATCCACGAAAGGGCATGTAGCCTAGTGGTTGCAGTGACCTGAGTAGTACCCCAAGGTCCTGAGTTCAAAAATCCAAAGGAGCGAATTTCAGATTGGGTTGTTTGCGGGACTAAGTTTCCTATTTCAATGGCCGTATATATCCAGTTGGATGTAGAGGCCGGGTAAAAAAAAACCCTTTTATAAAAAAAGATACATTAATATCTATATGAATGTGTACAATGCTAGAAAGACTTACATTATGAAACGAATGGAGTATTAAATAGGAAAAATTTGACTTACATTATGAAACAAAGGGAGTATTAAATAGGCATGACACGCAAAAAACGTGTAATTGGCTGAGAGCCATCGTGAAAACATGACACGGCTGATGGACATTACAAAAAACGTGCAATTGGCCGTAGGACACCGGTCGCATTATTTTATTATTTCCGGGACAAAAGAGGTGGAAAATTTTCAAAATGACAAGATTGCCCCTGGAGCCATATTCCCCCGCGCCAGGAGCGGCAGACGGCGAGAGATCCTGTGACGGCGGCGATGGCTGCTGCGCCGCCCCTAGGGTTCTTGGACACGTACGGCTCCATCTCACCGTAGAGCCCTCTGATCCAGCCCATGTGCTTCTCCGTCGCCGCCCTGCTCTTCGACCAGAACCCATAGTACTGGATGTTGTAGAGCGCCTGCCGGTGCGGGAACGACATCACCACTGGCGCGACGTGGACCATCTTGCCGCCGTAGGGGTCGAGGATGAGCAGCCCAGCACCGTCCTTGAGGAGCTAGCTCCAGGTGGTCTCCCAGACTTGGCTGGGCATGTTCTTGGACGTACGGAGTCGGACTTGGCCTTCAAGTACTTGTCCGGCTTGCTAGTGCCCCTGTCCAGGAGCATCTCCAATGGCTTCCCCGTGCAGTAGAACGCGAAGTAGAGCATGGACTGGATCCACATCATCTCGATGCAGTCGCTCGCCGTCACCCCGAGCTCCGGGAAGGTGTCGGCCATGGCGGCGACGAGGCCAAGGCGTGTGCCGACTACCGAGGTACAGGGACTCGAACTGCACGTTCTGGTTCTGCAATACGACGCGGAGAAGTTCCCGCCGCTGCCGCCTCGGATGGCCCAGAAGAGGCCCTCCCCCATGGCGGCCCTGTTGAGGAGCCTCCCCCTCGGCGTTCACCATGTTGGCATCGACGACGAGGTCGGAGGCGAGGCCGTGCTTCCACAGCATCAGGCTGAAGCCGCCGCCGCTGAGGAACCCGTCGACACCGACCGTCCTACTCGGGCCGTCGCGCTGCTCGCGCGCCGTTCCTCCGCTCCGCTGCGTGTGTGAGGAAGAAGAAGGATAGGAGAGCAATGTGGGCCCCACTTATGATTAGCAAATAGTAATCACCCTATTAATTAGGTACAAATTAGTCCATGATGCGTGAGGCCAGGTGGTTAAAAACCTATTAAAAATTAGATTAAACCTACACTGTCTATGACATGTGGGACCCACTGGTGTTTAAAGAAGGAAAGAAAAGGGGCAATCTGGGCATTTAGAAAAATATCTCACCTCTTTTGAACCAGAAATAATAAAATAATGCGACCGGTGTCCTATAGCCAATTACACATTTTTGTAGTGTCTATCAGCCGTGTCACATTTTAACGGTGTCTCTCAGCCAATTACATGTTTTTTGCGTGTCCTGTGGCAAATTTTTCCTATTAAATAAGATGCTATGTTAGCATTTTTTATAACATGACAAGAACATTTCGTCTAGATAAAATGAGTTTTACAATTTATCCCTTAAAAGTACTACTTACGAAACAATACAAACAAAACAATACATTATATTGTATGAGTTGTTTCAACCCATCAATTAAATATTTTATTTATTATGTAATATTTTAAAAAACACAAATATATTATGTAATATTAATACAACGAAGTGGCCTTTGACGCGGCCGGCGGCGAGGGAGACGAGCTGTCTTCGCCGCGGCCCGCGGTCGCCGCGTTGGTCTGGTCGGCACGATAACGACGACGAGGCGCCAACTCAACAAAGCAGCCAGAAAGAAGCTTGGCGTGCGCGCACTACCTCCTCCCAACCCGGTGACCCCACCCGTCATCCTCCTCACCCCCCCACCCCTCCGCGTCACCGACACCTCGGCCCCACCGCCAACCTCACAACGCAGTGGGCCCCACCTGTCAGCCTCACCCGCCTCGCCGTCTTCCACCCGTGCGTGCGTCCCACTCGCCTCCCACTCACCTCCTCTGCTTCTCCCACCACCTCACTACCTCTCGCCGCGAGAGCAGCAGCGCTCGTGTTCGGTCAAAAGCCTCGCCGCGGCGAGCTCGAGCTCATTCGCATTCCGGAGGGGAGGGAGGGATGGGGGACGAGTCGGAGGGGGAGACGGAGGAGTACCTGTTCAAGGTGGTGATCATCGGGGACAGCGCGGTGGGGAAGAGCAACCTGCTGTCCCGCTACGCCCGCAACGAGTTCAATCTCCACTCCAAGGCCACCATCGGCGTCGAGTTCCAGACGCAGAGCATGGACATCAACGGCAAGGACGTCAAGGCCCAGATCTGGGACACCGCCGGCCAGGAGCGCTTCCGCGCCGTCACCTCCGCCTACTACCGCGGCGCCTTCGGCGCCCTCCTCGTCTACGACATCTCCCGCCGCTCCACCTTCGACAACGTCGGTCGCTGGCTCCAAGAACTCAACAGTATACACTCCTCCTCCTCCTCCTCCTTCAACATTTTTTATTTTTTTTAACTCAACCTGTTCTCTCACTGCTATTTTGCCAACCACGCGTATGGATAGATCTGATTGATTCTTTTTTGTTAATTTCGTTGTTCTTCGAAAGGGAGCTGTACTAGTGTTAGTTAACAATTCACTGTCAAATTTGCGAACAAAGGGAGCACCATTTTTGGGTTCCTACTAGATAGTGATTTGCATGGGTTGTTTTGGGGATAGGAGTGTCGCTACACACCGGACGGATTGCAGGACCTGGTCTGAATCTGGATCTGAATCTTGATGCTTAGGCAGCAGTGGTGTGTGGGGGAATGTTCCAGGAATGAATGCGAGGACCACTATGAGGGTGTGGTGTGATTATGCGATTTACTGATTTGGGAGTGTAGTGATTGTAGACAATTTTTTTGGTACCAAATTATTTGGGTGTCCAAGGTAGGTTTGCAGATTTATGAAGTTAGGAAGCTGATTAACTTCAGTTGGTTCATCAGTGCTTGAGATGTTAAGCGTAGTAATTGCTGTCTTGGTTCGTGCAATATTGACCCTGCTAGAAATGCCTTGACCCTATGAGTGATATATGTCCTCCGGTTATTCCGATTAAGTTTTGTCAATATGGTTGAAGCAGCATGAATCATGGATAGTTGGATACCGATTTTCTTAGTCACAACTCACAATAGGATTTACAGATAAGATCATGATCTCAGTCACTATTAGTACTCTACTTTGATAAATCGGCAGTTCGGCACACGACCTTTGTGCTTGTGTTGGGAACCTTTTGGTTCCGTCTTTCCTCTTGTTGGAGGCAAAAATTTAGCCTTTTGTGCTGGAACTTGGAACCAACATGGAATAAATGCAGTAATGTACTGTCTAGGTCCTTCCCTTTTATGTATCCTTTATGTAGGATGCATGACTCTTATCTGGAAAGGTAAAGTTTTGTGTAAAGCAAAACTACAGTACTAATGCAATTTATGAGGCAGGTACAAAATTTATCCAAATTACAAACTGTGGCCTAACCAACAGTCAGCTAGTAATGCAATGAACCTCAGGATGATACATTGTAATAATTCATGTTGTGTGCTAGTTTTTTTATTCACTGTAAGAAATTTCAGAATACTCCAGAACACAATTTTGTCAAACTGCACATTACTTGTGTGTTTCTTCCTGTATTTTCTCAGTCGGCATCTATCCTTCTGTAGTGTCCTTCACTGGCTCGTGAACATACATACAACCTTACATGTAGTGAAATTTTGGTTCTATGTATCTTGATCATAAACTTGTAGCCTAGTAAGTTATCTTATGAGCGCTCAAGATGATGCTATGTTTGTCTATGTATGCTCCCTTATGATTTTTTTGGATGCTACTTTATTGCACCCTTTAAACTACTAAGGATATCCTTGATTATCTGTTATCGATTTGCTTACTGAAGAAGTCTAATATTGTTCGTCAGGAATTAATATTGTACTATATATATGTTCTGTTCTCTGTTCCGAAGAATCTCTTCCTTTTTTGGTAGACTTCAAGGGAGGACTCAAAAGAGCTCTAATTAATAATTCCAAAGCAAGTAATACTCACTGTTTTCTGGAAGCAACTTACTATGCACTCATAATAATGTGTCGTGCATAAGCTTTGGTTTCTTGCCATCAGAGTGACAGACGCATATAGTATTATAGTGCTACAGCTATTGTCTTCTCTTGTTTGATGCTTTTACAGCTTTGTTCCATGCATGCTCACCACCCACTCACAAGAAGTCATGAGTTGCACTTATGGTTGTGTGCTGTTGCATTTGTTCCACAAGATTTTTCTATCTGAATATAGCTTCTTTTCATTCATATGTAGAAATGTATTTTTTGGCTGGAGTAGCGAATAACTGTTCTTATATTCAATGCAGCACATTCGGACACGACTGTAGCCAAGATGTTGGTGGGCAACAAGTGTGATCTGGATAATATCCGTGAAGTGCCGGTAGAGGAAGGCAAAGCACTTGCTGAAGCTGAAGGGCTGTTCTTCATGGAGACCTCTGCTCTGGACTCGACAAACGTGAGGACAGCTTTCGAGATCGTAATCAAGGAGATCTACAGCAACGTGAGCAGGAAGATCTTGAATTCGGACTCCTACAAGGCGGAGCTATCCCTCAATAGGGTAAGCATTGAGGGTGATTCGAAGGATGATCAGAAACAGTCAAACCGGTTTGGATGTTGCTAGGGGTTTTAGTACATTATTATTATTGGATTCACTGTGATATGAAGGTTTTTTGTTCATTAATATTATTATTATTATCTGTAAACTTGTAATCCAAATTGTTTTTTGGTTTGGTTACTCTGGTACACACTGTGACACTGAGATACAAAGTGAGAGAAGAATAGTTGCTGGTAATGAATAGTTGAGAGGACTGCTTTGTGCTGTTACCTGAAAAATTCATGATCCCCAACTTTGTCAATTTCTTGCAAAAGTGTGCTAGCCTTTTGTATCTTCCCTCACAACTATATTTCACTGTTCATACTTGAAATCGGTGGATACAGGACACCTCTTGTGTTGAGTCAGTTTTTTCTATGAATTTTGTGTAGTTCATGGATTAACTTATTCCTAACTTTTTTTTACGTATGTTAAAAAGACCGTACTTGCGATTGTATGTGTGTAGTGCCGTATATACGAGTAGATAAAATAAACTGGTGTGTATGAGTCTTCAGTATTTGTTTGGGGGGAAATTTTCAGTTTTGTTTTTATTTCTAGGATTGGAGCAAATGGGCTGAAAAATGCGTGGGCCGTCGATTCACGGGCCTGGAAAGGATGGACTGTTGTTGTTGTGTTGCGGGCTTGGGGCATATACCAGGGTGGGCCGATTGGAGCACAAAGCAGAGTATTCGTCATAATCAACATTTTAATCACTCCTTAATTGCATTGGAGAGCTATAGGACCAATAATATTACTTTCATTTGGAAATATATATGAGTTGTAGAGTTTTATTGCGTTTGACCATTCAAATTATTTAAAAGTTCACTATAAATGTCTGATTAAAACGCATGTAAAATATAGAACAAAGGGAGTGATTAAACGTGAGATGGATAAATTCAAGAAATGGATAAGAAAATGGTTGGACAGCTAGCCTGTCAACAAGATGGCATTGCCTGTCCTGTCCTGTCCTTCCTCCTCCCAACACATACCTATATATACAAAATGCAAACACAATTAACAAACAAACAAACAAACAAACGTGCATACGAAATGGTACAAGTAGTGCCAAGCACGAACCCTAGTTGACTTCTTCTATGATTCCACGAACTCCATCGCATGTCTGGCTCTCCTGTGTGTATACATACTGATCTTCGTTCGATCATGCAGGATGCGAAACATTGCATGCATCGTCGTCTCCAGCTCCGGTGACCGACGGATTGATCAGATGCAGAAGGGTGGGGGTGGCGCGTCGTCGTCGGCGGTGGTGGTGAGGATGGGGCCGTGCGGCGGCGACGGTGGCGGTGCGAGGGACATGGACATGCGCGGCGTGGGTCGCGTGGTGAGGGTGGCCGTCCGGCACGGCGCCGCCGTGGACGCCATGTCCGTCCTGTACGAGCGCAACGGCCACGAGGAGTGGACCGACCTGTGGGGCGGCCCTGGTGGCACACTTTCCGAGGTACTACATTACTCTACTTCATTTATCCTTAAAAAAATCGCGGAACTTTGGACTATGAATGTGAAAGCTAGAAGTTTATTTTTTATAGAATGGAGGAGGTATACACAATCTTAATTGTACTATAATTTCGTTGTTAATTACCCCTGTTTCAGGTTATAAAACGTTTGTCAAAGTCAAACTGTTTTAAGTTTGTCTAAGTTTGTAGAAAAAATTAGTAACATTTTCAATGCAAGACAAATTTATTATGAAAATATATTCAATTATTGATTTGATAAATCTAATTTTAATATTATAAATATTACTATATTTATCTATAAATTTTCAAATTGATCGAAACCGTTTGATTTTGACCAAAGTTAAAACGAACCTGAAACAGAGCCCTAAATTCTTAATTACCACCGTTCCGTTGTAGTGCTAGAATATGGAAGGAGGACATTGTTGTATCCGGATGATAATTAACTCTCTTTTTGTAGTTCTTTTGGTAGCTGCATCTAATTAATCCGAGAATCTTTAGCTACCAAAATAGTTTAAAACTTTATTTTAGTTTCGAAACTATAAGCATTTTTCATATTCTTACTAGCTGGATACTCACTTAACACCTATAAATTGTGGTTTAGTGTTTTGGTAACAATAAACAAGTACTCCAGTCTTTGAGACGTTGACACATTTTTCTCATGTAATCTTGATCACTAATGTCAATACTAATATATGTCTATACGAGCCACTATGTTAATTACTAATTAGAATAGTTGCCGACACTGATACTCAAAATTTGAAGAGTTTGATGTTGTATTTCGAAACAATCTGATCTCACTCAAATTCGTGATGAAACTTTCTCTCTGTTTTTCATTTTTCTCCCCAGATAAGCTTGCAGCCGGGCGAGTACTTGACGAGCGTGGCGGGGCACTACGGCCGACTAGACGGCGACCTCGTCGTCAGGTCGCTCACCTTCGTCAGCAACATGCGGGCGTACGGCCCGTTCGGCCATGAGGACGGCGTCGCGTTCGACCTCCCGGCCGGCGGCGGCGGCGGCGGCAAGATCCTCGGCTTCCACGCGCGCTCCAGTCGCCGTCTCGACGCGGTTGGCACCTACGTCAAGATCGGATAGATGACGACCACCCTGGCGTCACAGCTGAGCAGATCTATCTAAGTTCTCCCCTCTATAACAATTTTTAGTTTTTAAAATTTATTTTAAAATATAATTAACTTATTCACTAACGATCTCTTTCTAATCAATTGTAACTCTACACCATTCAATGTTACGGGCTATCTACATTTCTCATCCAATTGTAATTTTCCTCCATTTAATTTTATTTTTTTAATAACTGTGTAGCTAGTTTCAAGAATATTTATAGAATTCTAATCATATTTTATAAGATCTCCCTTCGATTTTAATTAATTATGAAGTAACTTGGTATAAAGCGAAACCTATTTCAATATGTCCTGGTGCAAAATGAAAAGTGAAAGTACATGTTCAACCTAGCGTAAATTATATGTCCTGGTGCAAATTACAATTTACTCTTTTTTTAATTACACATAAACTTTTCTTTAAAAAAAGAGTGGTCATAAAAAAATGCAGTGAAAAAGAAATCTTTAGTACCAGTACTCAAAGATGATTTTTAGTCCCGGTTATTTTAACCTAGACTAAAAATACCTATTTTTAGTTCGAGATTATACGTCTCGATTATACAAATGGGCTTAAAATGGGTTGTCAACCGGAAATAATGTATCTTTCCCTAGCAGGATCAAAGCTGATATAAAGTACTCCATCCATCTCAAAATATAAGCTTTTTTTAGACCCTGACATGGTCTCCGAGATACTACTTTGACCAACAATATCTATAAAAATAAGATGTTTTAAATAAAATGGGTTGCATATTATGATAGTTTGTTTAATAACAAATCTAGTAACATCAATTTTACGTGATTAATCTTTTTTATTTTTTTCTATTAATAATCAAAGTTAAAAATATTTAACTTGTCACTATGCTAAAATGTTTATATTTTAGGATGGAGGGAATAGTAATAATACTCCCTCCGTATTTTAATGTTTGACGCCGTTGACTTTTCAACCAACGTGTTTGACCATTTGTTTTATTTAAAATTTTTATGCAAATATGAAAATATTTATGTCATGCTTAAAGAATATTTGATGATGAATCAAGTCATGATAAAATAAATAATAATTATATAATTTTTTTAAATAAGACGAATTATAAAACATTAAAATATGGAGGTAGTATCAAACAAGTGTACATGGAGAGGGGGAGGGATCTCACATGCGCGTGGCCGCATCAACCAACCAACCAACCAAACGTACATGTACCTGCAGACGAGTCAAGCGTACGTAGTCGCACGCGATGCTAGCAATGTTGCTATCTTTTCTGTAAAAATATTTCCTTGGCCTGGACACACATGACATAGTACTGAACCGGCCGGATTGTCGATATGGACCATTACATGCATACAACACCGAAATTAAGCAAATGATCGAGGAGAGTTAATTAGCTCATGCTCATATGCATGCACGCACGTATACGCCCCTCTCTACCTAACCCTAGCTTAGCTTTGCCCCACTACTAGTCTCACAAATGGCACAATGACCAAAAAGAAGATGTGAAAGTGTGGCTCACGACTAAACACATGTTCTATGTGCGTATTTATTATGTCCGTTCTGAAATATATATAGATTCCTCGCAGCCTAATAAGGCTCTAGAAGTAAAAAAGATTAAAGCACATTTCATTAATAGAAAATGTAGTTTGGTGGATCGGTAGAGATACATAGAACTTCTTGATTTATGGTTCAATTTGTTTTAAAACAAATTTTAAACTTTAAAAGCCAATTTATTTTGAGACGAATGGAGTATACAATAACAACCTTTTGAATATGTCATCCCTGTGCCACGTTTGCGATCCAATGGGCGGGGGTTCCTTGAAGATGGTCATGGTCCCAAGCTCTGTATATAGGAGTGCCCCTACCTACCTAGCTAGAGGTAAAATTGTGACACCAAGGTAGGGGAAGAAATGTGGTGCAATGGACTGAGACACCATACCAGAGAATTTAACATGATGCATCACTTTCAAATTCAGTTATTATATCTTCTCATCCTTAGCGCATTAGACGGTAGTAATAATAATAATGGAGTATAGCACAAGTACAAGCTAGCTAGGTAGAGTAGTGGTAGGTTGTTCCTTGAGACATGCGTGGGGGATGTGTCAAATGCATGCATGCTAATTGCAAGCTAGAGTGGTGTGTGTCAATCGATCGCCAATTGTGTTTGTACAAGTGTGCGCCCACTGCAATATTGTGGGCATATGCATATGGTTGCATATATCTCCGGTAGACAAGTCTAACGGTAGCGCATAGCCCACTGATTTTCAATGTCTTGTTCAATTCACGCTGTAATTTTTAAGGCACTGTTTTTTTAAGCTAATGGAGGTATGGATTATACTTGTCACGTTTCTAAATAGTACGATTTTAACATGCTTTTATTTTATCTTATAAGCATTTGTTAACTTTATTTTAATATTTAAGTAATCTTTGTATCAACTTATCAACTAATCAGCTGATAAGTTGAATTGAACGGGGCCTAATTCAATATCATGCTGGGACTCTCCAATATACATGTAAAGATAACCTTAAGCAAAAATTTAAGAGCACTACTACATATACTAAATTTTTCTTACTAAACTTTTGCTAACAATCATCTCAACCATTTGATTTAAGTAGATAGAAGTTATAAAAAATCTAGATGCACTCATAGCATGACACATCAGTGTTAGTAAGAATTTAGAAAGAAAAAGTTTGTATGTGTAGCCTTTTCCAAAATTTAATATTTGTAATTCAATTTTATGCCTTGGAAGACGGACTCACAAGAGAATATGTTTATGGATGTTGGTATTGAATCTTCATGCTAATATGATGAATATCAATTCTTTTTTCTTGGTGGGCCCTAGCTTAATGTCAAGAATGGACATAAACATGATAGCATTTGGTATAAGTAAAAAGAAAACGTATGCTTGTGTGTTTCCATCTTATAGCCATTGTGTGTCTCGGTCTTAAAGACGTCCTAAGGCTGAAAACTTTAGGGCCGGTTATTTTGAAGCGGTTCTTCCAAAGGATGAGGACGCATAATCTGGTAACAAAATACAAGTCATTTTGGATATATGCTAAGTTATTTTTACGGAACAAATTTTTGGTATGCATGGATGTCGTTTTTACGTGCCTAATTGATTGAACCATGAATGTGGACATGAAGTTTTGTGGCTTCAATTCACACATTTGATATAACAAAACAAAATGTAAAAGAAAAAGAATCAAATAACTGAAGTCTTGCTAATGTCTCGCATGCGCATCATACATTATATTAGGGAGTAGTATGAATTTTCAAGGCCAGAAAAAGGACACAACTATGATTCAGACAACATAGATCATAATGATGGTAATCATAGCATCATTAACAAAAAGAAAAAGGAGAGAAGACCGACCCATGCATAACCCTCGTGGGGAAGCTAAGGGGCACTCTCAGCACCCCAAAGACATGGGAGACAGGACACCTATCAGGCATGAATGATCATAGATCTTGAAACTTTGAACCACATAACTATATATAAATTACGTACAGAGTGAACAACTACCTTAAATAGATATCGACATGATTCCAATCCATTCGACTCAAACACACAATAATATCAATTAAAAAAAGAGTCATTTTGCTCCCATTTTTGTGTGATCAATAGAGACAACACTCAACCCCAATCCTAGCGGATAAGGGCATCATCACCAAAATGATCCACTGAACTCAAACACACACAAAAAAAAGGGAAAAAATAATAATAATAATAATAGAGGTTCACCAAAATAACATATATATTGGTCCTGACTCCCATTTTTCGGATTGGGATCACCTGCAGTTTGAATAGCAACTACAAGTTAAGCTACTGCACGCAATGGCAGCCCTCCATTTTCTTGATGAACGAACCATATCATTAGCTACATATCGATTTATAAGTGCTCAACAATTCTTGCAATAGTGATCTACAGTACTCAGATGCATCTTGATCCTCGGTTTCGGATCTAACAGCTAGCAGTGGACTGCATAAGTTGCATCGACACTACCAACTGCACCGGATCCGAATACCATTTTTACAAGAGCAATAGGGAAGCCATACATCCCTAGCTAGCACTAGTGGATAAGGGCATCATCATCTTGGTAGGTCACTTGATCTCCCATGGCGTCCGCACTTGGTCCATGGGCCATGGCATCACAGGAACTATAGTTGGCACTAGCCCCACAGGCCAGGTTAATGCAAGCTTAATTATGCTGCCAGTAGATAAGCTGCCAATTGGCTACCCCACTGCCCTTTTAACTCTTTAACATGGCATCAATGCCCCTTGTGGACCATATATACAATAGCACTTAAAGAGCTGATATTTTAGCATAACAATCCCTTTAAATCACACATACATATCACTCTCAACTCCGGATCATCTTAAAGTAATACTTCAATATCTGGACCTATCTGTCAGTGACTGTTTATAGTGATCTGCGCGCGCTAAGACAAAAAATTCATGGCTTTGCAAAGAGTGTAGCTAGCAAAGAACCTTCCAAATGAGAATTAGCTAGCTGTGGCATCTCAGGATTCCACCAAAATATTGTCTTACTTTGGGCACAGAGTAGAAGAGGAAGACAATTAGTTAGTTAGATGCATCGCATGCTGTCATCAGCAGGGAAGAAGAACCGATCGAATCGGTTCGATGGCGACGGCCAACCTAACAGCCAAATTCGCAGTCGATCATTGCAACTCACAATGATTATACCTTCGATCCATCCGGTTTTTTTGGGTTTTTTTTCCTCTCTTTTTGAGTTTTTTCCCCTTCGTTTTCTTCTCTTTTCCGATCCTTTTGCGTGGTTGGACACATCAAGCATGGCCACGATGGGGATTGGTGCTAGCTCAGCTCGATCCCCTAATGCATGCCCTGATTGCAGCCACTTCATCCGGGTTCTTCCGAATTATCCTCAGCTGGCCTTTTTCCTGTAATCAATTTAATTTCTTCACTGGTCCAGTCTTGTGATTATTAATTACCGTTTAGACTTGCAGCAACTGGATTTCTGGACTAGTCTGAATCTCTCCAAGCCGCCATTGCTGAAATTTCTATGTTGGATTTCTGGGTACTGCGTTCGTTCAGCCAGTTTCCAACTCTCCCATCTACTTTTCCGCACGCACGTTTTTCAAACTGCTAAATGATGTGTTTTTTTATAAAAAGTTTATATACAAAAGTTGCT